CTCAGCCTCAACATGAGCCTCAGCATGATCCTCAGCCTCAACATGAGCCCCAGCACCAACCTCAGCCTCAACATGAGCCTCAGCATGATCCTCAGTCTCAACATGATCCTCAGCATGATCCTCAGCCTCAGCATGAGCCTCAGAATCAGCCTCAGAATCAACCTCTGCCTCAACATGAGACTCAGCATGATCCTCAGCCTCAGCATGAAGACGAGCATGTGCAGCAGGCGAAGACTCCTACGCCCCACGGTCACGAAGACGAGGACTCTTCGCACGCTGCACCGAGCCAGGGCGAGAGTCCCACCGGTGTCGACGCCCTCCACTCAGAAGGTCCTGATAGCACCAATCCACATGCGCCGGCTTCTAGTCAGGCATATGGCCATGCTCAGCCCAGTGGTAACGACGGGTCCGATTTTGATGTGCCATCGCCCACGACTCTTGCGCATATTGCCCAGGGTTCGAACGCTCATGCACCCGCCCCCACCCTCGCCGTGCATGACACGCCATCCGCATCCAACGCTCACATGGTCCTAACCTCGACGCTCACCGTCGCTCATGCCTCTTCCTTCCATAAGGTCCCTGTCTACGTCCCGATGCCGTCGAGCAATGGGTTGGGAGCTGGAGAATCACATGCATCTAGCACACCGGCGGCTCACATTCCAGTCGGCGTTGACGCTGAGCAGCACACTTCCCATGCTGGATACAGCCATGCTACTCCCTCGCCCTCTTCTCAGGGTGTCATGTTCACCGGTGGTGCTACTCATTTCTCGCCTAGTGTGGGTGTTATATCCCTGTTCTGCGGTGTGATGGGTCTCTTGGCATACGTGTTGTAAAAGGTGTGGACTTTTGGAGTTTATTTTCTGTTCTTGGAGCCTACGATTGAGGCATAATGTTCTGTAATTGTTGTGTTTTGAGTCCAATGTTGGATCCATGCATGCCCATGTCTCTCGTTTAAACACTGCGCTTGTGATGAAATAATTGTTAATGAATGTTAATTTATCTTCTATTTAATTTCATTTCATATCGATAATGTATCTTTCTGTGCTTGGGACGTTTTATATACGCCAATGGCACTTTAATAGACTCCTTTCCCCTTGTGATTGTGTCAATCAGAGTGCTTCTCTAGGGATGTAGTAACAGATGCCTAAGACAGGGTCCCCACTGCTAGACCTTAACCGCCTTAAACAGTAACAGGGCACGTGCACGGATCATACCCTACTATACCATCTTGCAAAATTGTCTACGGAGTAAGGCACCCTCCCTTCTCGCCTCGTTTTCAAATTATTGCGCAGTAGAGCAAAACCTGAGAGCAATTATGAAGTCAACCCAGTTTCCAAAAGCCCCAATTGCATAACCATTCGGTGATGCTCCGAGGCTGATATCATAACCCCATCATCACCCACAATCTAGAACTGGAAACAAGTGACATCACTTATGCCAACATCAATCATATATAGCCTCGTAACAGCACAGATCTACAGAACTATCTAACCCTTGATCATCGTACAAATTCATCCCATCACAACTTTCAAAACCAAAACTTACCAAACCTCAAAAAATCTACAATCAAAATGTCCTCATCAGACCCTCACCGCGGCGGCACCCTCTCCGAAATGGCCCCCCAGGGCACATCCATCCCTAACGATGCCGGCAAACAAAACACCCTTCCCTCCGTCGCGCGCCCCGAACAACGATCCGGGAACAGAGACTTCGATAACCAGGGCCTCGGCGGCCCTTCTGCTGCCTTCGCGGCCGATAATGACACCGGACTGCCCCGGGGTCCGAAGGATATGGGACTTTCCGGAGAGGTGATTACCGGCACGGGGGATACTCTGCCGGCAGAGGTGGAATCGAAGTGGAATCAGACTGGGACGAACGATCCTGGTGCGAAGGGGGATACGCGGAATTTGAAGCATGCGCAGTTGAATCGGAGTGGATTTGAGAGGAATGTTGAGGATGAGGAGTGACTCTTTGAGTTTGGGTTGGATTGGGTGTAGTTGTGTATTATATTAAATATTGTTAGGGTATCTATATTCTGGTGATTTATTATTTCGTGTTACGTGTAGTATATAGAAAAATGATTATTGCATGAAACCCTTGTATATCTCTTCCAGGACATCCCGTTTGCGTTTCCGATCCGCTTGCTCGGCTTCTTCGCTTTCATCCGGTTCTCCCTCCGGTTCCCGCGATACCCAGGCGCGAATTGTCCCATCCCCATGAGCAGAGAACATCTCCATACCCTCGCCCGACGCCCCATTGCCCCGCCACACGAGCGAGTTAACCCGTGCCGCACTGAGAGCAGTAGGGCGTCCAAGAACACCCTGCTGCCCAACCATGAGACCGGGCACCTTAAGCCGCTTAACGAACGTCCCCTCACGGAGCTCAAACATGAAGATCTCGCCGCGGTCATCGGTATCGTTGAAATTGGGCCACAGGAGCGTCTCCTGCCCGGGACCCATGACACCCTTTGGCAAGAGTAAAGGCACTCTTTCAGCCAGATGGGAGGACACGGCGTTGCGGACCCGCGGGCCGAAATGGACCAGTGTATTTGCGCCCGTTGATGCGTCCCAGACGCGGATCCGCGCGTCCTGCCCTGCTGTTACCAAGTGTGAGCCGGTAGAGGTCCAGCGCACGCCCGTTACAGCGCCGTTGTGTGCGCGCGCGTGTGGGGAGAAGGCCGGACGGCTTTGGTAGTTTGGTGGTGCGCTGCGGGGCGGCACGAGGCCGACTGCGTCGTCCATATCCAGGGTCGCGATGGCGGAGTTGTGGCCTCCGCGGCGGATGTCGAAGAGAATTACTCTGTTATCTTCAGACGCCGAGGCTAGGATGTGGGGTCGATGGGGGGCCCAAGAGACCGATAGGACTGAGGAGGAATGGCCGGGTAGGCCGTGGGTGGATAGTCCTGAGCGTAGGTCCAGTAGTCGCACTGGCTTCTCGGCTGTTCCGACCGCGATGAGGAGCGGTGATGCGGGGTGGGGTGATAGGGAGTGGGAGTACGGTGTGCAGTCGAGGTTGAAGGTATGTACCGGTGTGATGGCGGCTGGCTCGAGAGCTGACAGTTTGAGCGTACAATCGCGCGACGTTGTGAGTATGGTCGACGGCGCGGGGTCAAATGGGTATATCGATACCGAGGTAATAGCGTGCGTATGCGCGTCTTCATGCGACAATTTAGTGACTGAGGCGACAGATGTATGGACATGGCCAAGTTCTGAGCCTCTGCTTTCCAAGTCCCATAGATGGATCGAGGGGTCGGCGCCACCAGAGACCAAACTGCTCTACTTAGCACTATAGTAGACGGCAGGAGCTGGGGACATACAATCGTCCGTCATAATGATCGATCGCAAGCACATTTACCCCGGCTCTATGAGCATAGAGCTCGCCATCGGAGTTCAAGTGTACATCGACCGGGTTGTTGGACTGTCTGGCGTCCTGGCGACTGGAGAAACGGATGCCCGGGACTGGTTCGAGGTGGTGAATGAGCTGAGTAGTTTGGGCAACATGGAAGGTATGTGGACTTATGGACCCAAGGGTCCTATTCAGAAGATAAGCATTCATTCATCAGGGGGTGTCAATGAGGGTTGCTGATTGTTGCTCGGATCTGATCTGATCTCATCTCATCTTATCTGGTTGATTGATTGATATAGGCCGGAGAAATGTATTTCCACCGGCTTTAAGTTGATCCACCTAGTTTTAAACTACTACTTCTTAACTAGAAAAATACAGAATAATCGAAAGAGTAATTGTATCGATTTAATGTATATTGACAGAGCTATATAGCTCGGATATGTGGAAGAGATATCATAGGTCCAGCTATCCAAGGGACAAAGGAAGCCCTTATAGCTCTGAGCCAATCGGCTCTGACATCAACATCTATATTTTAATATTCTAATTTCTCCTTGCTAACTCTGTCTTTACGAGGCTTCGAGTAAAATAGGCGTAGACATCGTAATACTCGTGGGTTACGGAGGTGTTGTCATTTCTTGCTAGGATGAAGATTTTGGGTGGAACCTCGTTCCTCTTAAATACATGCTCTCACTCAATAAAAGGCACTCCAGGTCCTGGAGGCGGTTGTCTGCGTATTAGGTGACGTTATTTAGCTGATCTTTGAGGGGTGAATATACGTAGAGTATTCATTATCATTAGACAGGATATAATGTGAATCATAAGTTCGTACACTTTCCTCGTCAGCATGTTCTACATTGTAAACCATTTGACGCCTGACTGAGCTACACGATGCATCCGGATTCTTGCCTTCAAGTCCTGTGCGCGCAAGATGGTCTGACGTTCTCAAGCGACCGTCCTCCACTTCGAAACAGCTTTGGCGGTACTCGTTCCGGAGAGCCGGCGAGGCAATAGATACGCCAAAAGTAAACGGGTCGATAATACCAAGCTCAGAGGGAGATCTATGAAGCAATACTGGAAATTGTTGGAAGATTTTGACCCATATTGTGGTGGTCGCTATCGAAGAGGACCCGAGAACAGGAGGATCTCGGCTTCATGGAGGATCTTCTGAGACTTTACCGAATATCCAACAAACCACCCGACTTCCTGGTCATTCTAGAGAGAAGAGTCGTATCTTTGGCAAAATAACTGATATCATCGTCGAAGCTCGCCTTTATTTTCCGGAGCTCCGTTTCTGTGGACGAAGGCCCCTCTTCCAACGTTCCCACTGCTTTAACAATGGCCGTACGCGAAAACCTTGCTGAGAGAGGTAGGGTTGATTCGCATCAGTGTCTTGAAACATGCATCCACAGCGTCACGGTGTGAATAGTCCATTTTTGCTCATTTGGAGCTACAAATGACCCCCATAAATGTCTACCAACTATCTTATTGGCAGTGGACCGTTAGACAGTACGCAAAGGGGGGCAATCTGTGAGCATACTGGGTAAGGTTGGTATCAGTCTGGCCCCTACGCCATCGCCGTCCCCTCCTCCTAAGGAGGATGTGTCTCCTGCTGCCCCTCCCCTTCTGGGGAGGAAGAGACCCCCAGTCCACCCCTATGGAGGAAGAGGATGCAGTCTCCCCCCCCGCCTGAAAATGGTGAGGGGTGGTGCCTGCGGTGCCTATGTCATTGCGGTTCGGCCCCTGCGGAGGAATGGGTCGTCTGTGTGGTCTTTTCAGGCCGCCGGGCCTGTCTGCGATGTGTAGGTGGTCACCGCCACTGTGTGCTGGGAAGGGATATCCCTTTCCCATTCCTGTTATTATTCGATGCTGAATTTGCATATGCCTCCTCGCAGGCGGACGCGGGCTTGGTGGCACGCCGCCATTTTGAGTGGTTTGCCTTTGCCGCTGAGATGAGGGAGGCCCTCGATGCCGCTGTTCGCTCTGCGGGTGTGGCTCCAGGAGCAGCCCGCCACAGAGGTGATGTCCGTGGTCGGCGTCTTGATTCGAAAGGATACTTGTCTTTGAGACGAAGGAAATCGGAGCCGGCCACACCTATCAACAGCTTCACCACAGAAGTAAACCTGGGTTGTAGAATTACGCTTTATCGTATGATTGTCGGTCAATGAACCTTTGCTGGGGAATCCCAATTGTTTCCATGTCTCGTATAACTACGTGGAGGAAACCTACGGGCCTGTACTTTCTATTCTCTATGGCTACTGCTTCTTTTCCTTCCTTTGTCTCGACCATTCCCTTTATTTATAGCCCTTTTCTATGCTCCATTGGCTATCTGGGTGGTGCCATGATAATTGTGTGCAGATAAAATTAGCAGAACCATATAATGCATGCTATATCACCTACCAGTTAATGGGCTTGAAATGAGCTGACAAGAATATTGCGTGTACCCTTAGCATAGGAAGAATTATTCAGCATTTAATACACTGTGTACTAAAACGTTTATGGAAATAAGAGAGAGAACGCGGAGCAATAGAAGCTCCGGGCTTAAATTATATTAGTATGTCTGATCTTATACAAACGAGATCGGTCATAAGGGATTAAGAGAGTGCTCGTAAAATAATATTGATATTGTGAGTCCTAGTGCAAATTCTGCATACCCACCATTTCCCAATATCGCCCTCGCCGTTCCATTAGCTGTTCATGGCTTCCCTCACCAGAGCTCCATCCTGCAGTACGCAAATAACATCTGCATTGCGGATGGTGCTCAGCCGGTGGGCCACCATGATGGTGATTCGATCCTTTCGGATTGCATCCATGGCCGCTTGAACAATGGCTTCAGACTCGGTGTCGAGTGCGGAGGTGGCCTCGCCGAGTAACAGTATCTTCGGTCTCCGAAGGAAGGCCCGCGCTATGGCAATGCGCTGCTTCTGACCTCCACTCAGCATGCTGCCACCAGTGCCGACAAGCGTGGACAGCCCGTCAGGGAGTGACTCTACAAATTCAAGGATATTGGCTTGTTTGCAAGCGGCTAGAATATTATCGTCGCTCACTTCCTCTCCCGCCAAGCCGATGGCGATGTTCTCCCTGATAGTACCCGAAAACATAACGGTCTCTTGGCTGACGAGTGATATGGTTCGACGATGTTCGTCTACATCTCGTTGGCGGATGTCCTGTCCATCGATGAGAATGCGGCCTTGGTCTGGCTCGTAGAATCGCTCGAGTAGCGAAACACACGTACTCTTTCCGCTTCCGCTTTGGCCGACGAGGGCGAGTGTTTGGCTCGGTTCGACTGTAATGCTAAGATTGTCCAGAGCCCGCCTGGTAGGTCTGGATGGGTAGGAAAAGACTACATTTTCGAACTCAATCCGACAAGCGTTGATATCTTGATGATGACCGCCCTTCACGTCGTTGTATCCGGTGGAAGTGATCAACCCTTGTGATGCATTGTTGATTGTAGGTTTCAAATCTATGATCATTTGGAGCTCTTGACTCGCATGCATCGCTTTGCTTGCATCGGGAGCATATGTGAATATGGACCCAGCAATTTGTGCCCCGAAATAAGACTAACGAAACAGATATACACTTGAAACTCGGAATATTCACGGTTTGCAATAAGAGTGCCACCATACCAGAACCCCAGTGCTGCACACAGATATACAATGGACTGCGAAGCGGCGTACAGAGCAGATGCAACGAGTATCGAGCGAAGGGACTTAGCCGCTTGTTTGGTTACAAAGCCGTCGTAGCGTGCCAGCGCATATTCCTCCAGCCCAAGAGAGGCGACCGTACGTACCGAGCGAACCAGCTCGCCGGCGTACGCTGCGGAGTCCAGTCCGCTATGTCTGATTTTGGTGTCGAATGCCGCTAGGACTTGCAAGCGGAGCCAGCCACAGACCACAACGACAGGTATCGTTGCAGTGCATACAAGTGCTAACTTCCAACCCACGGCCAGGGACAGTACGATCCCGCCAAGAATGGTCGCAATGAAGGTAAGGATTCCCCCAATAACGGGTCCACCCATTCCCGCTAGATCGTCGGTACTCTTTGATAGCACACTGGAAAGTGCGCTCGGCCTATTACCTGGCTCGTCACCTCCACACCCATCCAGGAAATGAAAGCGGCACCTGCCAGGGCGACATAAACCCCGGACCACACGGTGACTTGGTGTTTGAGCTGCCCATACTGAGAAGGAGGATAGCCAATCACAGTCAAGAGCTCGGCGAAGAATACTGCTTGACTGCATTGACTTATCAGTCAAAATATAGCTGTTGAGATCTGAATAGGACAAAAGATACGCACACTGGGATCCCTGCGCCTGCAAGTAGCGCGCATATCAACCCGAAAAGTAGCAATTTCCAGTCGGTCCTGCTCATGCGCCCAATGAAGGATAGGGTTTGTTTTGCGCTTGGTTGGTGTACATATTTTCCTGTTGTTGTTTCTGCTCGATCTGTCGAGGGGTGGCAAGCTCGTTGGTTTGCACCCTGTGTATATCCTTCTCATTCAGACGATTGACGGTACTCTTAGATGTAGTGCTATGCACCCCATCAACGGAGAGCCTTGTTGCATCTGTTGCCGTGCCCTTTTTCGTATCCTCAATCTGTTGTTTTTGTACCAAAGATGCATAGACCCCATTCCGCGCAATGAGTTCATTGTGACTTCCTTCCTCTACAACCCTTCCTTCGGCAAGGACAATGATCTTATCGGCATTCCGGATCGTTGACAGCCTATGCGCGATGATAATGGTAGTGCGATGCTCCGAAGCCCCATCTAGCGCTGCCTGCACCGTCGCTTCAGATTTAGAGTCCAACGCCGATGTAGCTTCATCTAGAAGCAGGATCTTCGGATCTTTGATTAGGGCACGGGCGATGGCAATTCTTTGCCTTTGGCCCCCAGAAAGCTGGAGACCCTTTTCACCTACTTGGGCTTGGTAGCCGTCAGGAAGTGCCATGATGAAGTCGTGTGCATTGGCCTTCTTGGACGCCTCTGTTACTTTTTGGTACTTTTCGGCTTCGGATAGTCGATCTAGAGTGCCAGAGCAACCGTATTGTATATTTTCGAATATGGATGCATTGAAGAGCACCGGGTTTTGATCAACAAGGGCGAGTTGGCGGCGCAGCCAGCGAAGGTTAAGCGTTTGAACATCTCGTCCGTCAAGCACTGTGCTGAGTTAGCCATAAATATTCTCACGGAGTATTGAAAGGCTACCTACTGACTGTGCCACTCGTTGGCTCGTAAAATCGTTCCACTAGTCCCAGGATACTGCTCTTCCCGCTTCCGGATGGACCTACAATCGCAGTCTTTTTCATTGCTGCGCAGGTCAGGGTTACATTCTTCAATACTTTCACATCGTCTCGAGACGGGTATACTAATCCGACCTCGTCTAACTGGACATTGCCCACCATGCCTGGCGGCTGTTGCCCGTCCTCGGTCAGTAGATCCTGAGGAGACCGTCTCGCGATGGCCTTTAGCACCTCCCCGGCAATTGCTACCCCGGAAGTAAGCGCCTGAGCTGACGGCGCAATTCGAATAATGGCAAATGGCCCAATCGTCACGGCTAACGTCGTTGCAGTAATTTCTGCCCCGGATACCTCACCTTTGACTAGGAATTTGGAACCGGCCCAAAAAGAAAGCGCGTAGAGAAGACATGGCATGGCATTCATCCACGCAATCAAGGCCGCCACAATATTTTCCGCTTTGCTATTGACCTCTGCCACCTGCTCCAGCACTGACAGATAACGTTGGGAGAGGAGTCCTTGGATCCCGAATGCGGTAACATACCTGATGGCGCTGATGGCCTCCTCGGCGACTCCCGAGGCCTGGCTGTACAACTTCATTGCCCTCTTGTGGTACTTAACCGAATATGCACCACCAATACTTGCGGAGGCACCCATTGCAACGAAGAAGGGACTCATGATCAATGCCGTCTTCCAATACATGATAAATGCCACGGCGAACGCAGCATAGAAAGTCGCAATCGCGCTCAGCAGTACTGAGATCTTGCTTGTCACTGCTTCTTGAACTGTGCCCATATCTGACATGGTGCGATTTGTTATCTCGCCCGGCTCTAATAGGTCGAAAAATGCCATGTTCTGGCGCATGATTGCAGACAGGTACGCCGTGCGCAGCGCTCGCGCCATGTGGTCGCCGGAGTAGTAAAATCCGACCGTGGCTACATAGTGGAAAACGAAGAGACCGATGCTGAGGTAGACGTAATAGAGATTGAATGTGGATAGTTTCGAGCGCAATTCGCCCTCAGTGACAGTCCCTGCGGTGAAACCATTGAACACGCTGACGAGAAGACCGTAGATGACCTGTCGCACAATATGAATGAGTTACTACACTCCGTTCCACTACGATCGTTGGTATACACCTACCGGAACTAGAGGATTCAGGGCGCCTGCGAAGATAGCGCATGCTGAACTGACGGACAATATGATCTTGTCTGCCAACGTCGCGTACGCAAACACGTTTATACTCTGCTTTTCTTGACTTTGAATACCATTCAACTGCCGGTCCAGAATGGCTCGCTTGCGCTCGTCGCAGCGAGCCTCATCTTGCTGGGAGGCCATCAGGGCGTATTACTCGCGTCGACCACAATTGAACCGGCGTGAAAGAGCATATAGAGAAGACGAGGGAGAAAGGGTCGTCTCCCTAATTAAAGAGCTGTTAGGGTTACAGAGGATGATGTGATCTGCAGAGTGATCTGCGATTGGCCGAAAGTCACCCCTTCCGAAAGGAATCTTCTCCACCCCGAACCCCGATATACATACTCCGGCTCACTTGATCGACCGAATGTTTTGCTACCATACATCTCACCCCCTCGGAATACGTTTAAAAGACCGTGGGAAATGGCCAGGTTCCCCTCAATAGCGTCGTAATGCCTGCAGTGCCATTCACCAATCATTTGACGCGACTTGTGCAAAACATGTTTCCAAGAACCACGACTAGATATCGATGATGTCGATATGGCTATCGCGGACATCAAGAACAAAGAGAAACGCCAGCTATCGCGTCCAAGAGACGTCTTTGGCAATGATGTCCCATCCACACATTTGCCGACTCTAGCCAAAAGATCCGATCCAAAGTACTCCCGGTCCGGATTAGCAAAATCTCTGTCCTACGCATCTATTGATCGGCCCAAGTCCATGGCAGATAAACAAAATGCCCTGATCAAGACTTGGGCCATCCTGTTACATTCATATACGGTGTCAGAATCAGTCGCCTTTGCAGTTACTGGCAAATAGCCCGATGCAGAATCAATGCAGCTAGTGGTCTCACGCTGGTCTACGCAAAGCAACGGCCATCAACTACAATTCACGGCTTTCCTTCCCTCGGAGCACGGCAATAAGGTCAACACCGCGGTCAACCTCACGGACATTTACAACTTCAACAATGGCTTCAGCTATGTCCTTCACTGGTCGGAAGAAGGTGCGGGGGACCTTCGTCTGTATGCCAAACAGTCATTGGTGCCTCACAAATTCGCATCGGCTTTGTGGAGCACACTCCTCGAGGTCAATGCCAGTGTTAGGAGCACAGATCTCCAAGAGCTGGGAAAGAGCTTCATCAGCAAAGCGGACCTGAGGGCAATCCGTTCTTTCCTACCAGCTCCGCTTTTTGAGGGTCAGTTGTGCTTACATCAACTCTTCCAGGAGTCCGTTCGTGCCGTCCCTCGTGCGACAGCAGTGCAAGCATGGGATGGATCCCTTACGTACGCAGAGTTGGACAGACTGTCAACCAATGTGGCAAGTCAACTAGTGCGCAAAGGGGTGAGGGTTGGCCAATATGTTCCGTTCTCGTTTGAGAAAAGTGTGTATACGGTTGTTGCCGTTTTGGGTATTCTGAAAGCCGGTGGAGCAATTGTCCCGATTGACCCATCTCAGCCACAGGCGCGAGTTCAGGAGATAGTTAGAGAGACACGTGCAAGTATGGTCGTTGCCTCTGTATCTCAGGCGTTGACCTTCGCAAACTTGGTTGAGACCGTTCTGACAATCTCCTCGAATACCGTTGAGAGCTTAGAAGATACCTTCGGAGTTAGCACAGAATTGCCCCAAGTTCAGCCTGAAGATCCAGATCCTGCCATGTTAATCTTCACCTCAGGTTCAACAGGAAAGCCTAAAGGCATTGTAATCCAGCACGGTGCAGTATCGACCCGCTGGGTGGCAGAGGGAAGAGCGTTCCAGTATCATGGAGCCAGAACCCTGCAATTTACGGCATCGACATGGGATATATTTATGACGGATATCTTCACAACCTCGACATTCCATGGCTGCATCTGCATCCCAAATGAAGAAGATCGAAGGTTCAACCTCGCAAAAGTTTTGCACAGAGTATAATGTTACCTTGGTGCTCATCACTCCAACACTCGCCAACTTACTGGAACCGGCTACATTTCCGACACTCAGGACTCTTATTTTCGGCGGAGAGGCTCTGAGGGATGATATCGTTCAGAAATGGTCCGCGGTCGAGGGACTCTCTCTTAGCCAGAGCTACGGGCCGGCAGAGACGGGGCCTTGTAATACCGGAAATGTGGCAGACCGACCAGAGATTCTTGGCTATGCATTGGACTATTCAATTTGCATGCTTATTAACTCCAACAACCATGATAAACTAGTCCCACTTGGAGCCGTCGGGAAACTAGTAGTTGGCGGACCAAGCTTGCTTCGAGAGTATATTTACAATGCTGACAGGACTGACGCTGCCGTGATTGAGAATCCTACTTGGTCGTTTAGTCTGGACACGCCCATGAGGCGATTTTATAAGACGGGCGACCTGCTTCGTTACAGTATCGACACTCTGGATGGCAGAGTAGAATACGTTGGTCGTACTGACGATCAAGTCAAATACCATGGTCAACGTATCGAGCTTAAAGAAATTGAACACCACTTGAGCAGCTTACCTGGAATCGTCTCATGTATGGTCACTCTGGTCAAGAAGGGCCATTTTAAAGACAGATTAGTAGCAGTTACTTAATGCAGCGGACGCAGCAACCCCCACGACGCGGGGGTAGCTCTCTATACGACATGATGCCGGCCTAGCTATCTCACAGGTCAAAAGCTCTCTGTCGACCCGACTACCTGAGTATATGATTCCCAATGGACTATTCGTGCTTGAAGAGATGCCTCATAGCAATTCACTCAAGCTTGATAGGGCTCTCGTCAACAAGTGGATCTCCGATATACGGAGCGGACCGTCACCTGGCCTTGTGATAAACTATCCAACTATTTGTCCATAAGATGGCTCAGCCTAAATCTATCCTCGTCGTTGGATCCGGTGTCTTTGGGCGTGGGTAACTCTCTACAGTTCAGAGAATAAACGCTAAAGTTTTCAACAGTCTCAACGGCCTATTCCCTAAGCCGTGATGCCAGATTCGCAGACACAAAGGTAGTACTGGTGGATCGATGGGACTTTTGAGCTGCCTAAGACTATTGATGTTGGTAGAGTGCAGGAGAAACTTGTTAGTGTTAATGCCAGCGCTGTTCTGCAGGTTGTGTAAAGACAGATTGACTCCATTTCTACACAGGAAGGAAATCATATACCTTTTTCGAGATACGTATGGTGATAGAGAGACCGTTGCAGCTTGATAGTTGTAGATGACGTGCTAGACAGCGGCGGTGTAGCTAGTAACCCATTACTAATAACATACACCAGAACAATACGATAACATCTACAAACTACATCATATCGTTGTTAATGCCATCAATGATTGTTTGGCCAGTTCACTACAATGGGTTGAAGCCAAGCCAGTGCACTTAGTGAAAAGCCTCGCATTGTTGATCATGCGGACTTTCGGCAAACCGAACGAGGAATTTGGGTCGGAGGAAGCCGACTCATTTCGGCCTTTCGTTGCATGGGTCGGCTGGGACCACCATAGAAACACTTATACATTGGGTTAAGGCCGATAGAAGGCCATTTTTTTTGGCTTTGGGAAGACATTTGTTCCCACACGCCGTGCCACTATATATGTCTGGTTCGGTGCCCAGTTAGGGCTAATAATGAAGGGAAGGGGTCAGGTGATTCTGGGTGATTCCCCTTTGTTCGCTAAATGCAACCCCCGCCCCTAGTATGCTTGGCTGTCAGATATTAGTTACTACTAGAACAATGAGGTCTACCCAAACTATTCCTTGAAGTCGATGTGTCTGTCTTAACCTACCAACACGAGATTATCTTCTCCATACAAATCCCCAGCATTACTGACGCCCATAGTTCGTGGTGATAACAAGCATATTCCGATGTTATACTACACTCCCGTATCCCATTCAACGGCAACCTCGCAGAGGGTTCATATCCGTTCGAAGAAGGATGAGAGTAAGGAACGTGCCCTGATCTTACCTTTCCTCCGCTAAATATGCACAGCACTATTACTGGAATATTCATGGGATCTACTCAAGAGCCCATCCACCGAAAATCCCTGGCAGTCCATAGACATCGTTTTCCGACACGTAACGTCATCTAGAGTCGTCAAGGTTCCCAGTAACTTTGATGGTCTGTACATCCTCCATCAAAGCGATGACAATGCCCCAGTGGAGATTTCTGCAAAGTCCTTTGTCTCACCCAAAGCGTTCGAGTTCTTCTTGCAATGCCTTCGGGCAACAACCGCGTCTAGTCCGCGTGTAGCGAAACTTATCGTCCCCTTGCAGAAAGGATATATTGTGCGCCCAGACATTATTCCTCTGCGCCTACGGGACTCCCAATATGTGGAGACGGCAGTATCCTTTGCAGAGCCCTTTGAGACCTACGATGGCTGCGCAATTTCAGTTTCCGATACCCCCGACCTAGCAGCACTTTTCTCCGCCGCCACGGCCGGACTCCTTCTATATCATGAATCCCAGCCCGTCTCAGATCACAGTCTTGAAGCATTATCTCTAGTAGTGGAATCGGACCTTGAGAACAGACTCTCCTTTCCATGGATATTGCGTGAGCTCGCAGAACGCAGAACGCTAGTGCTCGTTGACGCAAACAGCGGACACCCTGAAGACGGGCTGGGCCTGTACCATGCCGCAAAAGTGCTTGGAATTAAGCTGGTCGTGCTAGAAAATGCAGGACACTGGCTCGAAGGACCCGAATACGCCCACTGGCGCGAAGCTTTCATCCCAACTCCCTTGACCAATCCCCCCAAAGAAGACGTAATCGACCACATTGTCAACTCCGTGAAGGCTTACGGCAAGCCAGTAGACGGTATAGTCACTTTCGCCGACTCGTTTTGGCCGTACATTGCCCAGGCCGCGCCGCAGGTGGGCCTTCAGACCGCCTCGCAAGAGGCGCTCAGAATCGCGACGAACAAGTACCTGACGAGCGTATTCGCCGGGCACGAAGCCTATCGCGCGTCGAGCCTAGACGAAGCGCTCGATATTGCTAAGAAAACAGTTATCCCCTATCCTCTCATCATCAAGCCATGTGATGGCTGGAGTTCAGAAGGCGTATCCCGCGTCGATGACATCGACGCCCTCACAGCGGCCGTCAACTCTATCGATACATCGCGCCACGGCACCGAATTCGTCATCGAGAAATACTGCGACGGCCCAGAAGTCGACGTCAATTTGGTCCTGCTGGACGGCGAAGTCCTCTTCTTCGAAGTCTGCGACGACCTCCCCAAGTCAGCCGATGTCAACGGCCCCACCGTAGGCTCGCTCCATAACTTCCACGAGCTGAACAGCGTATACCCCTCTTCCCTACCCTCTAAGGAAATAGACATCCTCCGCAATAGCTTCCTAGAAATACTCCTTAAGCTCGGCCTCACAAACGGCATCATGCACCTAGAGGGCCGCATCGAGTTCTCAACAGTCGAATATAGAACCGAGAACGGGATCATCGACCTCTATCCCCGAGACACTCAACCTACCCAGGACCCAACAGCCTGGCTTATCGAAATCAACCCCCGGCCCCTCGGCATGACCGGCTGTCAGATTATCGAATCAACTTATGGAATCGACTATTGGGGTCTGGCTTTGCTTCTCGCCGTGGGCGACAAAGCTCGCACCCGAGCCCTGTCTCAACCCTTCAAACATGGTCCCCAGTATACGTGCATTATGGTCTTTATTCCGGCGGACTATCCTGTTTCGGCTCAAGGGATCTTTGACTCCGAGGATATATGCGCGGATTTGATTGCTCGACGACCGGATCTTGCGAAGCAAATTAGTCGGTGCGCGTGCCTTGTCAAACGGGGACAGAAGGTTGCGCATCCGAGCTCCGGGAAGCATACTTTCTTGGCATATTTTAATGTATATTCGAGGACGGGGAGGAAGGAAGCGTTAGAATTGGCACGGCAGATTAGGGAGGAGGTGAGGTATTCGTTTATTTGAGCTTGGTTTCGGTCCTTGTAGGGTTGTGGACTCGTTGGAGGGTGGATGGGGATACCGTTAGATCAATGGTTTATAACCCCTGGGGATCTAAAAGGAAAGGGCAGTGCGCACTTGCCAACCAGGCCAGCTGTCCACTATATGAAAGGGGTCCCTAATAATTTATGAGTTGAGATACCTTCATAGCGATATCAACATTCAACATTCTCATTGACTTTTATCAGTGTCTTGAATATGAATACGCAGATGGTATCGACCGGGTGATACATGAATTGCATAGACGAGCCTATATTTGTCTCTGTCCATTGGATGGAGACGCCTAAATAAACTTAATCGCGGTTGACTAATTCTCCTGTAGACCATGCGTGTCGTCGTCATTCAGAAATGGCTCCAGAAGAGTAGCAGCCTAGGGTCGTAAACGAAAATATAAAGGAGTGTAAGCAAGACATCAACGGGGCCTATATGGCGTAGGCAAGCCAGTCGGCTGTAATCATTCGATATTTTTATAAAATTGAAGATTGGACAGCCTTGATACTACACAATCACTGAGGTCATTGAAGGAGCGAAGCACGTGTGGATAATGGAAATATCAAAAACAACTTTTTGCTGCGAGCATCGAGATAAACGTCTGGTATCAAACGAAGATCCAAAGTCAGATCCGATGATGGGAATAGAGTTGGAATATCTCGATACGTCCATAAGTGTCAGTAACACTTGGCTGTGGCTACAACACCAAGAAATGAATGCACGGTGGGACTTGGCTAGCAGGTAAAGACGTCTTTGGTTTGAGTATCCATTCCTAGCAGTAATTTTCGTCTATAATCAACATAATGATCAAGAAGGTTCATCAGACTCGCTTGGTGAATGCTATCAGAATCGAAATAGTACACTCCATAGGTGCTGAATATTCACCAGAACAAGGCCCATAGTGCAACTTGTCACTGTCTCGACAAGACGTTTGTTACTAGTTGGTTTGATGGAGGGCAAATCCATGTGGCTCACTCACTCATATATAGAGAGACCTTCAGTCCTGGCCGCTACAATGACCATCCTTGTAACCCTCACCTAGATGGCGGTGTTGTGAAGGTCGTTGCTTCTACCCGAATAAATGGGCCTGCCCGAATAAATCTCATTCGGCATTTTTTAGATGATATGTCACTCTCTCCGCATATACACCTTCCTCCAAAATAGGGCTACTACTGAGTCTGGTGCAACTCTTACAGCGTGGATGGTATCCCCTTGCTTTGTATCTTTCTCCACGATACATCCGAATGGTAGTGGCGATTTTCTTGCTAGACCAGCCATCAGATGGACTGGCCGCGTTATAACATCTGAACCGACCCATGACATTCGTGTCGTATTCTTGAATGCATCCCTTGGCGTTGTCAACTTCATGGATGTCGAAATCGAGGAAATAATCGCTATGATACTTCAATATGAGGGATGGGAACATGGTCCATCTGTCTTCAGGTGTCAGCTTTCTAGAAGGCATGTTGACTCTTCCAAGAATGATAGTCAGAAATTGTAACAATGATTATAAATTTGGTTGGGCACGGGTATACTAGGTAAGGGGTCAACAGAGACAGGATATTTCTCGACTGTGCCATTTCTAAATATTGAAGTAGTGCGCGGTATTATTGCTATGGTAAACACCATGGGAAACGAAAGAGAACAGGCAAGGCTTGCCTCATCGGACGCACTTTTTAACTTCCGCGTATTAGCTTCCTTGAAAGCAGACGGTTACCTCGCAGTATACTTCTTGTCATGGCTATCTAACCAACATTCCGAGACAATCCTAAGTTGAGATTTGGTTAACCAAGCTTCTTTGGACTACCATGATGCTGTAGTCAAGTCACTTGCTCTAATCTAGACCACCCACAGTCATTTCGTTCTATCGGTGAAGCTGCTAAAGAGTGGTACCCTAGCATCACACGATTGAGACTGGGCCTTTGTGAGCATCACACGGACCAAAACCTCGAGAAGTCAGACAACACACAGCTATACAACCGGTGGTGAGGCCTCTCTTGTATTTCCAACTTGAACCAACGCTCTCCTGCCATCTTGTTTCACTGCGGTCAAGCTGTTATTACTTCGGTTTCAGGTGATATTAAATCGTCTTATTTGAGGATGATTGATGCTGAGAAAGAGAGGACTGCTACATAGATATTTTTCACATGGAAAATGGTGTATGGGCATATAGCTCCACAGCGATGGGAGACAGAACTATGGAATAGAAAAGGTGTTGGCCAATGCAGTTGGCCAATGCATAAGGGAGGAGATACTAAGCCCTTAGCGGAAGGCGGTCCTAGAAGGAATCCGCGCTAGGGAGACCTCCTGAACCTCGCAACTAGACCAGCGGCCGTTTACTAGGAAAGTAGACCACCTCTATTTCCACCAGTTCAACATACTGTGGCTTATCAACCAGTATATGATATGTCCAATCAAGACCAAATATCCAAGTTAGCTAATACCCAGCTCCAAGCGTAGACAGGTTGTATATATGGACCCTGCAAAAGATACAACAGTCCATGGGCGGTGTCAGAAAACGTTCAAAGATTCTGCCGGGTCAATGCACCCAAAGGTGTCCCGTCCGCCTGCATGCGCTTCTGAATGATAGGAAGAAATCTCTTATCAGGAAAGCAGCTTAATTATCCACACGTGATCAGCCTACAGAATCAGATGAGCGTTGATCGACCACAAAGCACACTTAACGACATCTGCTACAGGTCTGGGGGCCGTCGTATGGATACCCAACAGACACGCCGAATTATTAATGTCCCAAGGAAAGTCCCTTGCGCTAAGTCAAAACTCTTTCCTCCAACCTCCGGAGAAGGGGGATAATTCCGAGGAGGATCATTCCGAGGAGCTTTCTTTCAGACGACAGAAGCGGCAAGCAACTGTTTACGATGCTGTAGCTGGTTTGGCGACCGATCCGGGTTTTAACCAAAGGGCGCATTCTGATCGATCTTAGGCCGGATAAATGCGCATGGGTTCCTCCCACTAGTGCCGTTCGCTTCGCGATACCGTGACACGGCGTCGTCCAATTCTCGACCTGTTCGTCCGGAAGAAGTTCTCTTTCGTCGGCAAAATGCACCCATCCGGTACGAGGAAAACGACTTTTACTTTGCCCACGAATCTCTCCCGCCTGAGCGTCCGCTGCCCAGTTCCGACTTGTTAGAGGCTATTCATTCCTACTCGGCTGATTACTACGACTACGCGACTCCGGATCGCGGCCAGGATGATTACCAGAGCATGGATGAAACGGCATTGATTGCCATGGGCATACTGATGGAGGAGATGGCGAAGGAGTCCCTGGGTGAGACAGGGGACCTGGTTCTCGTGGAGGGAGAAGAGCTACGAAGTGACGAAGATCAGTCCCAGCACCAGACGACAAGGAGCGCCCGCCGTAAAAGGGCCAATACCGGTCGTAGTAGTATCTTGGCAAGCTCGGGAGACGAACTAGGGAGTATCGTGAGGAGGCATAGGAAGAAGCGAACAAAGAAACAGCGACTGGTTCGGACAGCTTCGACTACGGATGCGGAGTGAACGAAACACATTCCCTGCGACTAGTGGCAATTGCGTGGATATATCGTGCCAGCTATTAGTAGTTTCTTTTTGCCTGGAATTGATTGGTCTCGTGATTTGGCCCATACGCACTTAATAACAACAGTGGGTGTTGGTGATTCGGGACGCTTCGATCCCTTGACAATTGATCCGCCAATGAGCGCCTGGCTCCAAACATACCAACCCCTAATGATGATGCCTTGGAAACGACCTGTGGCATTTTACTGGCGTGCCACCTGTCAAATGACAGCTCACGGCGATGAGGCATTTACCCGAATTGTGTAAAAACTGCTTCTAAGGGGGGTGGTTGAGCTATCCATTCTGCCATAATCAAGCATGGCATGTTTCGATCCTGCGGCCACTTGGTCTGGATCGCGCTTGTCGAATCTTTTCGAGTATCCTCGGCAGTTGTGGCCCTCCACTGTCTCATGAGGCACAAGCTAAAGGCTTGGCCTTTACGCTTTCCGGCTTGGAAGCACATATCGATTGGAGGACCGGGCACTAGACCGTCTTTAAAATTCTCCGGGCTTGAGCCACAGCATCCATACTGGCCCTTTCAACCCCAGACCTCCTTTGGCTTTCTCCTGGCTCATTTCTGGGGTGCATTTCTTGACAATTAGCCTGAAATCAGCACGCTTACCTCTCATCGTGTGGGGAAGGCGCCTTGGGCAATCTCCTTGGACGAATCATCTCATGCTATGGCATGTTTCTTCTCGGCCCGCCGAGCCTGTGGAGATTTGGTGTACTGGTCTCTCTGCACTGAGGTCGAGACCAGATCCCTTCCGCCTTATGGGAACATGTTAGTCGATCCAACCCTATCGTGTCTCAAGGAACCTTAGGTAATTGGGCGCGCTATCATGCGTCCTGAACAATTTAGCCGGACAATATACGGGGTACCGCGCCGCTTGATATCAGATTCTGGCGCTTGACTAGATTTGATAGACGGAAAAATGACCGGATGAAACGATGTACTACTGGGTAGCTCTTTTAAGATGACTCTCCCCCGCATGCAATATACCATCGTAGCGTACGGACTTGTATCTTCAAATCACGCGTAAAGACCTCATTCGCGAAACCACCAGCTCCTCCCTGAATTTACAATGGGTTCGGGCACCTTCGAACTTGCCGGTCGGCAGTTCCCAGCGGTGACATGGTGGAAGAATCCTGGAATGAGAAAGACATATATCTGTCTAGGATTCGTGGTGCTCACGTCGGTATGCTGTTCGAACTCACCAGTGATAGTCTGTTTCGATGAGATCTAATGTCGAGATTTGAGAATAGGCCACAAATGGTTACGATGGATCGATGATGAACGGTCTGCAGACCCTGCCTCCCTGGCAGGATTACTTCAACCATCCGAGTGGCTCTCTTCTGGGAATTCTTAGTGCCATCATGTCTTTGGGATCTCTGGCAGCTTTACCCGTCGTGCCTTATATTGCGGATCTTTTGGGACGCCGGATGGGTATTTTGATCGGTTGCCTGATCATGTAAGTTCTAGCGCCGGTGGAGATCAACATCAACTGCGACGGTGCTCATAATTCGACTAGGATCCTGGGCGTTGTTTTGCAGAGCATCAGTGCGAATTACGGCATGTTCTTGGCCGCGCGATTTTTGATCGGTTTTGGCGTCGCCATCGCTCACGGCGCTTCTCCGCTATTGATCACTGAGCTGGTGCATACCCAGCATCGTGCTATCTTCACTACAATTTATAATAGTATGTCACGTTTCCCCCCTACTTGTCCCACACGTGCGCTTCCTCTAACATGGTACAGCAACATGGTACCTGGGTGCCATTGTCGCAGCATGGCTTACTTTTGGGACAAACAATATCACAAACAACTGGTCTTGGAGAACCCCAACAATCGTGCAAGCTGCGCCGTCGGTCCTCCAGGTCATTTTCATCTGGTTCGTCCCCGAGTCACCCCGGTTCCTCATCTACAAAGGCAAGCATGAGCAGGCCCTCAAAGTTATGGCGGATTGCCACGCCAATGGCGATCAAGATGATGAAGTGGTTCAACTGGAAATGCACGAGATAAAAGAGACAATCCGGCTGGAGAAAGAGCTTGAAAGCAACAGTTGGATGGAACTGATCCGCACCAAGGGCAACCGGCACCGGATGATCATCTGCATCACGGCCGGTCTGTTTTCTCAGTGGTCCGGAAACGGGCTCGTGTCCTATTATATTTCCAAGATCCTTGATCGGATCGGGTATACCAGCTCTGTTGAGCAGAACCTGATCAACGGCTGTCTCAACATCCTCAACTTGATCGTGGCCGTGACTATGTGTTTCTTTGTGGACAAGGTCGGACGACGCAAGCTCTTCCTCATCTCGACCGCCGGTATGCTGGTGGCGTTCATCGTGTGGACCATTTGCTCCGCCCGGTATGAGGTCAATCACGCCTCCGCGGCCGCCAATGCGGTGGTTGCCATGATCTACATTTACTACTGTTTCTACAATATCGCTTGGTCCGGCCTTCTGGTTGGTTACACGGTGGAGATCCTCCCGTATAGTATCCGTGCCAAGGGTATGACAGTCGTGTGGCTTTGCATTGATGCCGCGCGTAAGTGCTTGACTTCACCCCCGGGTATGCTAGTTGCTGATCTTTCACAGTCTTTTTCAACCAATATATCAACCCCATCGCCCTTGATAACCTTGGCTGGAAGTACTACATCTTCTATTGTGTGTGGCTGGGGGTCGAGCTGGTCGTCGTCTGGTTCTTTTACATTGAGACGCGTAACACCCCACTGGAAGAAATTGCTCGCTACTTCGACGGCGACACAGCCATCGTCGGCGGTGCTGCCGCTACCGAGAAGGCGCGAGAATTGTCTAATGCACTGCACGTCGAGGAAGTCGTGCCTGCCAGCGAGACACAGAAGGAACCGGGTCGCGTGAGGGAGCTGACGGTTTGAGACTAGAGTCTCAGGGTGCTGGATCACACTCCATGATGCGCTCCGTAGGTGGTTCGTGTATGTACCTTCGGCTTATGACCTGCTCTATATAATTTATATCTATGAATACTGTAATGACTGCTTTGACGTATGTGGACAAGGTACCCTCCTCCATGTAATCTAGAAGATCACGAGTTGAAATTCGGACCAGGTGACCGCACCTGACATCGATTGTCTTACAACCTGAACTACTCACAGAGAAAGTGTGTGTGTGTGTGTCAGTCTCCCTTCAGTAGTATCCCTGATACATTTCACCCACAAGTCATTGTTAGATAACCCGCATCATGGTGTGTCCAATAACATACTCTTTCAAACAAATACAGTTACAAATAAAAAGCTAACCGAAGAACAGCCACCTAAACTTACGAAGGCAGAAAAACAAGCCCGGATCGTCTCCCACCTTCGCTCCACGGGGACCTGTCATACCCTCAAAGACCTGGAGAAGATGCTCCCCTCGGTCGCCTCGATCAACGGGATGCAAGTAAAGGAGTACCTGCACGAACTGGCCGATGAGGGACAGATCCGAATGGAGAAGATTGGCAGTGGGAATTGGTATTGGTCGTTCGCTGAAGAGGAAAAGAAGGAACGGGAACGACGGGTGGAAGAGCTCCAGAAAGAAGTGGATCGTGTACGGCGCAGTAACGAGGAACTGGACCAACAATTGGCGGTCAGGAAACGGCAGAAGGAGGAAGACGAGGCCACGCTGGAGGCTGGTGAGCGAGAGAAGTTGATGCGGGAAAAAGCGGAGTTGGACGCCGAATGTGGGCGGCTACGAACGGAGTGGCTGGCAGTGTCTACAAGGGAGAAAGAGGGGGAGAGGGATTTATTGAATAAGGGGATTCAGGAGTTGAAGGATGAGGTGCAAGAGTTTCGACGGGAGGCGGAGATGTGGACGGATAATATCTACGTGTTGGAAGGGTATATCAAGAAAGTGGCCGGGGGGGATCGAGAAGTGATTGAGGCAATACAGCGAGAATGTTATGGGGAAGAATATGTGGAAGGGGAAGGATTACGCGAGTGGGAGTAGAATAAATCAATCCAAGCGATATAACTTTAAAACCGACAGATGTGGAGGTTGCCAAGTCTCAAAGCCCATGAGAACAAAAAGCTTGACTGACGACCACGCGAATTCGTTGGCTTTTCCACTTTCTCCGCCTGGAACTTCTTATCGCGAACGCTTTTCTCTCTCCACCTCCCAACAACCTCGAAACTCGACTCCTTCTTCCCCCTACCCCACCTATCGATATTATTCTGCCTGCGCATACGGAATCCGAGAGTCCCGAACCCTCATCTCAAAACCGCCCCCCGCGTCGGTTGGATTGATTCGCCATCCCGCATCCTCTCTCGTCGCTCGTGTCCTTCGCACCTCCTTCTCCCTCTCCCTCCTCGCTCTCCCTCGCTTCCGGCGATCTGTACTTCCGGGGCTGAGGGTAATTTCGTAGCCCTTTTGCCGCTCTCTCTCCCACATTCTGGAAATGATGCGGACCTGTCATCTTCTCTCGTGACTGCGCCTGTTCTCTCGGACCCTCTCCGCCTCCACCCCCCTCAATCCGACTCGTCGTTTTGTACATAGGCTCCCTTTTCTATCGCGTATGCCCTTCTAGACCGGAGGGACACGCTAGCGAACGGAAAAGGCAGAAATTAAGCAAAGACAAGCAATACGCCGTCGTCGTGTGCCGGTTTCGCCCCGGGTCGGCATTTGCGCCCGACGCTGACGTTGGGAATCGATTGCCCGAACCTCACGGCTTGATTTGATCGATCCATTGTTAATATCGATCTGTCATTGTTTCTACTCACTAGTTTATCGTGCTACACCGGGGAATTTCCAGCGGTCAGTCGACCATACCGATCGGTGACGTGGGATCATCTTCAGCACCCCCTTGCTTGTCAGCCGTCCAGTTCGTTGTTTGTGGTTGGTCGTTGGATACTGTGGATATTGAAGTTGACTCTGTCGTTACATTCCTTTCTCCGCTCCCTTACCCTCCCTTCTTTTTTTTTTTTTTTTTTTTTTTTTTTTTTTTTTTTTTTTTTTTTTTTTTTTGTCGCCCCTCTCACTTCCTCTTTTCCTCTCCTCTCTTCTTGCCAATAAGCACCTCCACTCCTCTTGTATGGATTGAGGGAGGTGTGACTGTGGGTCATGTCCGTCAACTCTCCCCCCGCTCAGCCCTCCTCTTCGCCGCTCGGTCGGAATCGCAGCTCTCTCTTGTCGAAGTTTCGTTCGACTCTCGGTCAGCGGAGCCGCAGCCTCACTGATTTCTACATCGAACCCGAGGATCCCTGGCGCTCATATTTCCCAGGGGATGTGATCAAGGGGAACGTTGTCCTTACCGTGTCGCGTCCCGTTCGCATTACACATCTGGTGGTTTGTTTACATGGCTTTGTCAAGGTGTTCAAAAATACGGTCCCATCGGGGGAAACAGCTCCTGATGTGGGATTTCTCGGCCCGGGGCGCGGGCGCCGAGGGGCGGAATATTTGGGGAATGGGCTGGCCACGCTGTTCGAGGACGAGGTGGTCCTCTGTGGAGAGGGTCGGCTTAAGGAGGGCATCTATAAATTCCGCTTCGAGATGTCCTTCCCCCCATATGCCCTCCCCAGTAGTATTAGTGTGCGTACCCAGTCTCGCTCGGGTTTCCCCTGTTTCGCTAACGGATATGGTGTCTAGTTCGAACGAGGCACTATTACATACATGCTTACGTCCACCCTAACAAAACCCACCACCATCAACCCAACCGTATCGTGTCGCCGACGCGTGAACCTGCTGGAAAACATTGATATTGCTCCCTTTCCTGCCCCGAAAGCCCGTGTCGTGACCCTAGAGCCCGTGTCGAAGCGCACGCGGTCCAAGGCAAAGGCAAAGTCGACAGGATCGGACGTCGCGGCAGAGTCAACGTCGGTCGATGCCTCCGTCAATAGTGCGGCCGGTTCGGACCATCGGCCCCCATTAAGTCCCGCCCCCAGCAACGTCAGCTCGTCCAGTCGGCTCAGCAACAGTAGCCAAAGCTTCCAGATCGCCAGTGACCCGAGTTCCTCCACAGGGGCCGGGCTGCGAAATAGTGAGGCGCGAAGTATTACCCCGTCCCTAGGGGACAAGATCATTACAGCCAAGACGGAAGTTCTGCGCGCGGGTGTGCTACCGGGTGATACGCTGCCCATCAAAATCTCCATCAATCATTGCAAACAGGTGCGCAGTGCGCATGGGATCATTATCACACTCTACCGCCAAGGGCGCATCGATCTTCATCCATCCATTCCGATTGGGGTGTCCGCCGATGGTAAAAAGCCCGTCTATGAGGACATCTATCCGCGGTCTCGAACGGGGTTGGGAGGTCTGACAATCGGCACCAGCCGGACCAGCAGCGTGTTTCGGAAGGACTTGGCGCAGGCGTTCGCGCCGCTGGTAGTTGATCCCACCACTTTGACAGCGATCGTGAAGACCTCTATCCGGATTCCTGAAGACGCCTTCCCCACTATCACGCGGACACCCGGAAGTATGATCAATTTTCGCTACTATGTGGAGGTCGTCGTCGATCTGCGCGGCAAGCTCACTTCGCCCGAGCGGTTTCTGCCGCGGTTCAACCTAGTGACCTCTGGCAGCAATTATTCGCCCAGTGGGAAGGTTCTTAATGCATCCGATGGCAGCAACAACGCCATTACCGCGAATTGGGCCGGCAATATCCTGGATACCGACCAAATCCGCCGCGAGAAGGGGGTCGTCGCCGTGGCCTTTGAGGTAGTGATCGGCACACGTGATTCGCATCGGCGGAAGGGCGAAGTGCGGCGCGCGTCCTCGGCAGCCGCGAGCTCGGACCTGCAGTCGTCCACCAGCCATGCCCCCGTGAATGGGGAACATTGGCCGGTCGATCAGCACTCCGTGCCCAATGGAGAGTTCGATTATCCGTCGCCGGAAGACTATGGGCCCCAGGAGCCGTTCTGGCCAGAGTATGGCGACGAGTCTCACCCGCATTACCAGTCGCTCGGCGAAGTGGTATCCACTCCTCAATCGGAAGAACCAACAGACGAGAAGACGCGCATGCGCCAGGCCGAGCAGATGCTCTTACCCAGCCAACCGCCGAATGAGGCCGAAGCAGGGCCATCGACCGATGTCCCCACGGCTCCAGTGCTCCCCGATGACGATCGTATCAACGGCTACCACCATCTACCCTCGCCAACTGAGAATGCGGATCCGCAAGCGCTGACGTCCGCCGAGTCGGTCCAGACGGTTGTCCCGGGCAGCAGTACAAGACGGCCAGGCGAGCCCTTGGCGCCAGGCGACGACAAGCAAGAGTTGGAGCGACAGCGGCTCATGATGGAGGCGAGTGCGCCAGATGAGACGGTTCCTCTGCCCAGTCGCCCTACTGATGGACCGAGCGCGCCCGTCTTCCACGACGAAGGAGATCACCAGCTGGTTGGTGGAAACGCACATGGAGACGAGTCATTACCGCGCTATCAACGATAACAATATATGAAGGGATACTGATACGCCTTGTTTTTCCTTATGAGATTCATTTGCATTTACGGTTGGGTTAACCGGGAGATACCACCATGTTGGCATGATTTTGAAGTATATTTTATACTACACTATATTTATTGTTGTCTGAGAACGGCGCTTCCTCAGCGGAAGTAGATATCGGCGTTTGGATTGTTGGCATAGCAGACAGGTTATCTGCTCTCAAGTGGATACATCGTATATCTTACCTTTTTCACTGTCTCTATCCCATGGAGGTAATTTCTTCCCACAGAGGCGTTCCACTACCTGCTTCACTTATATAATTCACGACGGATACCCAATGGGTGAAGAAATCAAATTTATATGGAATACTTTCTAGTCCACATAACCCAACTTCTTTGTAGAATTCTAACCTCTCCCTCCACCCTCCTTATCAGACAAGACTTCTTCAGAGTGCAGAGAACCTCTATCGATCTCTAGAACATCTACAGACATATTGTTCATAATCTTTACTTCAACAATGGTGGCTAAATTTTTCAACAGAGTATCAGAGACCCAACGCTTGTAGTTGTCTAGGAGGCAGATGTCAACTAGCCACTATCATTGGTATGGGCAAGTTTGGCAAATCCAGGCTGTGGACGAGAGTGTTTGAGAGGACTCGAAGGTAGGACCTGGCTTAGAAGCCTCACAGCTAAGATGCCAAAGATCCTACGCTAAGCCAAAGATCCTACGCTACTAAGACCCTTCACCCCAAAGCGTATCTCCCAGGTTTTGACCTCTATTCGCTTCCACTAAACATGCCTTATGTTATAATCTTCTAACTTTCCGCTCACGAAGGAGATAAAGGGATACTCCCGGTCAGGGCCTCAGGGCGGGTCTGTTTTGGTATCGCCCCCTCAAATGTTTGACGAAATAGAGTATTTACAGGCTACCCTCAAAGACCTTACACATTTCCAGGGCCTAGAACATCTTACAAGATACTCGTGGGGTCGGAAAGTCATTCGTATTTAGTCTATCATGTTTTCCCAGACAATCTCCCATGATGTGATAAAACACAGGTTCCAACGAAAAGCAAATCGTCTGGTCGAGGCATTCCTTCGGCGTATAAACTAGCCTACGGGCCACGGTGAACAAAATAGGTTTCCTGGATGAGTAATTGAGGACTGTGCCGAACGATTATTTCTATTCTTTTATGGGAACTGCTAGCTTTATAGTAGAATCTGCGATATCTACAACGGCGACAGCAGTTGCAAAGAAGACCTATCAATCTCCGCTACAAGTGCATTGATGCCATTTAAACCTACGATAATTACACCGGCAAGGTCCTATTACTCCTACCAAGACATGAACCTCAACAAACTGTGGTTTTCAGCACGGCCATGCTTGAACGGAGCCAGCATCCAAACTGAAGAAATTCGAATAGCAAGACATGCACAGACCTCTTCGCATTCAGAGTATCACTCTCCAGGCTTGAACCTGTGGGGACCAGCGGTCGAAGCAGGTGTATTCGACCTAATCATCTACAATCAAGGCGACCGTCTGACTGCCTTAATCGATGGCGAGACGCGAAATACTCGCTGACTGAGGTTGGATCGATATCGCGCGAAAGGCACGCGATTTATGTCTACAAAAAATACATCACGGTAGAAAACCTTGATCCCCATTCCAGCCAAGTTGATGGTATTCCGTCTAACACCATCTTGTCGAGTACGCCAATTCGTGGCTTCACTAGAGGCTACACACTACTGGTTCCTCACCAGCTAGGCTCCGGCTAAAGGAGAGAAAGAACTCGTTTCACCCTGCAGCTAGTGTCCAAAGCCACTGGTGACCAGGCTATTGAAAGAACACGCCATCTAGGCCAGGAGCGAATTGTGCATCCAGGAAGACGTTTTCCTTATGAGAGTCAGCCAGCTTTAGTATCGCTGATACATATTCGTAAATCGAATCCTGAGGCGCCGAAGCGATCCCTCTCGGCCATGGTGTCGCCTGGTTCAATAACAAATAATTTCAGAGGGAAGAGTACATTTCGCGATGGTCCATGCTGGGGATTGAGAACCCAGAATCATGCAGGCTGCAAGGAGCGAGACGATCGACCTCGTTTAACCTCTGGCAACCCGTGATCGTATGGGCAATATTCAAATCCTGGAGACATTAAGTGGAGTGAAGAGTAAGCTGAAAGGGATAAATCCCATCATCCCGGAAACTGGGAGTATAGCTCTTCAGAAGCTTATACTCCTCATGGGTTGTAACGATTTTATGTAGTATGTGTGGTCCTTCATATGCGTCCCTGCTGCTGGCCTCGGAGCCGCGAAGATTCCTAGGGCTCGAACGAGAACGCGCTGGACTCCAGGGCAGAAGGTAGAGGATAATGGAGCTTGAAATACTCATGTTAATCTTTTGAACGGCATCTCCATATCTAAGAGCATGAGCTGTTTGTTATTTGTAATATTGCTTGTTTAGTAGGATAGTATCCTACTAAACAAGCAATACAATTCGTTCAGCATCGTACTCCTCCGCTTCTTGATATTTTATTTGAAACTCTCGAATATATCAGTCTTCAGCTCATCTCCCACCTTGCAATCCTTCTTTTTGTTTTTTTCTCCTTGAAGTGGGTGCCTCTTGGATACCAATCCCCTCTGGTGGCTCCCATATCCCGTCCTCATCGTCCATGGCAGCTTCGGCCTGTTCAATATCGACGACAGCATCATCCAAGGGCAGACATTTTGTGCGATCAAGAGCTTTTAGCACCAGAATGTATTTCCAGTAAGAGTCTTGAATATTGAACTTATCTGAAGTCTTCGAAATCTTCAGTCTTTCTTTTGGGCGCAGGATTCCTATGGCCCATTTGAAGTTGGGATCGCTGTGCTTGTTTTTTTTCCTCGGAATCTGGGTATATGTCACAGATCGAATAGCGATTCGGCCTGATAACTGTACAGGATACCCTGGCCCAGGTGCATAGACAATCGGCCACCGATGAGGAATATCAGGCCACACGACAGATTGGGTTCAAGGGGGATTCTGAATCCTTTAGGCATGGAGCCTTTAGCTATAAATTAGCGAATCGTTAGCAGTAGTAGGAGATCAAGAATCAGTCTCCTGGCTGAATAGTATCTACTGCCTGCCTTTGACCTCTCTCTTTCTTTTAGCCTACGTACCCTTACCTAGTTGACAGGTCCTCTACCCTGAATAGTAGATACCTTTGACAGAGAGAATATGAACGAAAGAGAAAAGAAACAGAATTGAAGAAAAAAATAGACTAGCCATAATAAGATAGTAAGCTGAAAGTGAATAAAAAGAGAAGTAAAAGTAGTAAATTCAGACAGTATTTAGATATCAATAATGTTATGGGACTGACTTACAGGCAGCCCTATATCATGGGAAGCTCTGCCTAAGGCATCGCTGCCAAGCCTTTACCACACAAATATTTCGTACGATGTGTTATTTCTGTTAATTAGCTATTTCTTCTTGTTCAATAGGCACGCTTAGGTTAGAACAATCTATTCGTCCCGTAACAAATAATATATTCTACTTAGGCATTAGTGAGTTAAAAGTGAATATAAGGTAGTGTAACAACTATATAAATACTCTGTATAGATAAGAACTATATAGCATAATAAAAATAATGTGTATAACTATAGTATGACTAACATCTTATTTTTATCTATCTTAAATCATCTGTAACTGTGAATAACTTACATTTACTAGTTAAATTAGTCAGCAACCTCACGTTGCCAACCCACTTTGCGCACTATGTAGAGTCTGAAGTTAATAAAGTCGGGGTTCCTTGTAGAGAACTCTACCCGGACATCGATCAGGTCCTGAAATAGTCGGGGCATCCCACAACTGCCATGGATAGTAGAATAGCAAATTTCCGTCCTGGTCTAAGGAATTGATGGCAGCTCCGTAGTCACTAAGCTCAATAGTCTCCTTGAGTTGAAGTTCGCCTGTCAGCAACAACTGGCCAAGGCCGGAGTGGCCTGCTATACGACAGCTTGGCGATAGAGGGTAGTATCGGCGAAGGTGATGCCAATCATGACACATATCCACATCTATTGAACGATATCCATAAGACAAGAAGAGTATGCATTATATTCCCCAGGTTTACAGATACCCCAGATTGTGTAACCGACGATCATTTTATATACCTCGGTATTTATATAAACTGGTTGAGCAACAACTGGCACAAGTCCCAGGGCAAGTATATAAATTAAGAGAACAAACAAAACAAAGAAAGAAAAGAAAACAAACTCCACAATCACCTGATGACCAATACAAACCCATTTGATACTCATTTTCATCACCCTTGATAACCGATAAGATTGTTGGGGAACCAAGTTAAACCCTTCTTGGCAAAACCAAGACCATTAGCGACACCTCTCCATAATTTAATCATATACCCTCAATCTCAATCTCAATCTCACCCTCTCATCTTCCTCCTCTCCCTCACCTCCCCCTCCCGCACCCACACCCAACGCAAAAGAAAACGAGACAAAAAGTCTCACAAAACAAAGGGCAAAATGGCCTTCCGAACTGGGTCCTTCGCGACCTTCCTCATCGTCTGCCGTAAGCCCCCCCCCCCCCCAAAATAACATAACCTCACCCTGTCAAACCACAACCACTAACAAGAAAATCCCAAACAGCAACATCCTTCTTCCTCGGAATCCTCTTCTCCCTCCTCCCCTACGACTACCCGATCCTCTGGTCCAACCACCCCACGCCCCCCTCCCACTTCTCCTACTTCGAATCGCACCTCTCCTTCCTCCATGCCTCCCCGCCCCTGATCCCCCGCATCCTCCACATTGTCATCTTCCTCGGTTTGCTGGGCCTAATCCTCAAACTCTACAAACCCAGCGAATCAAACATGCTCTTCGATGGCGCGTCACTGGTCCTCTACATGTGCGGCATCACCGTGTACATTGCCAATATCGTCAAGGGGCTGAGACTTGTCTCCGCGGGGAAATACGGGGAGGAATTGGTCTCGAGTGAGGACGAGAAGGGCCAGATCCTTAATCGGGAGGACTCGTTGAAGGTGCTTGCGGCTAGTAATACTATTTTGGCGCTTGTGCTGGTGGGGGTTCTTGTTTTGCAGGCTGGGCAGTGGTATGCTGAGCGGAAGGACGCGCAGGAGGTGGAGGATATGAAGGGGGGTGGTAGTGGGAAGGTTGGTGGTGGTGGTGGAGATGGAGAGGGGGTTAGTTCGGGGGTTAAGGGGAAGGGGGGGTCTGCGAAGAAGAGGAATTGAGTTGTTGTTGCTGTTGTTGTTGTTGTTGCTACTAAGGTGGGGGTGGTGTAGGGGTTTATGATTTGGTGGTTTTTTTTTTTTTTTTCCCTATCTTTGTTGTTTTGAGCCCGGTCTGGGTTGGATTGACCGATTGCTTGAATTGGATGGGATTTCATTCATGGGATGGTTTCATGGTAGCATAGTTCATGGTCATGTCAAAGTTGCTCGCATAGTAGCGTCATCTTAACTACTACCTGTTCTATGTACACATACGTCTCTCGTTTCACGATCGTCACGCAGTAGGGGAATCATAAGAGAATGGAAAGAGCCAACAACGTAAAACATATCCCGGAAGGCCACTACATCACTCGTTCGGGCGCAAACGAAAACGGACTCCGGGGGAGATCCGGCGACCGCGGACTGAGTGCTTTGGCGAACAGTTCTTCGCCCGAATCGGCGCTGGAGGTGCGCGCGATCGTGCTCATCGACGCGAAGCCGTTGTTGTTCTCGTCGCGGCTCTGTTGCGCTTGGATCGACTCAGGCGGGTAATGCACGATCGTCCGGATGGGCTCTGGCGTTTCGGATTTCGGCGTCGGCTGCTGGAGACGGTGGAAAGAGTTGAAGGACGAGACGGCGACGTCCGGCGATTGGGGGGAAAGAAGATGGCGTGCGGCCGCTGTTGTTCCTGAGCGTGTTAGTAGAGAGCTTACCCGCAGGCCGAACCGAGACGATAACCCACCGTCCGACTTGGGAGACAACTCGCGCTGACTCGTCTGTAATCGCAGTCCCTTCAGTTTCTCTCCTAGCTTTCCTCCGCCGGTGCTGGGCGAGACTGGCGTGGTCGGGCCCATGGGGTAGTGCAGGTCAGGGTGACTCTGGACGGAGCTCCTCTGCGACTCTGCATTGGGCCCGACTCCGAAATTCGACTCGATCCACTCCTTCTCTTGCAATGCCATGTGCAGGGCGATCCCCTCCACGTTCGTCAGACACTCATCCCGAATCTCCTTGTCCAAGGACTGCAGCCGTTTCTTCGCCCAGATGGTGTGCAGAACGCCCTTTTTCCCGGCGGATCGCCCGTCGGCACCCAATTCTGGCGGGAAGATGGCGGGTAAGGGGTTCAGCTGGAGGGAGTGCCTCTTAGATGCAGACTCAGTAGCCGGCGGCTCGTACGACACGCTGACCACGGGCGGAATAGTAACGTGAGGCGGGAGGAGGAAGTATACGCGACGCTTGTGGTCGTTGGTTCGTTCGTCCGCGGGGAGCACGGCCTGTTTGCCCTCCCAGGAGACATGCCAGGTGCCGCCAGTGGAGGACCGAGTCAGATCATCATCTTCCCATTCAATCATCAGGATCTTCGTTCCCTCATTGGCTTTGCCGGCTTCGAATTCGAACCGGGCTAAGGCGGTGATGGACAGACTGCCTGTCGAGACGCGGGGAGTCTCCAGGGCGGCAAACTCGCTGTCGGGAGTAAAAGGCGCTTGAGACATGGTGGATGGGGAAAGACGAGCCGGTTCACCACAAAAAAAAGAAAGAAAAAGTAAAGAAGGGGAGGTAGTTTCCGAATCAGGGCGAAGAATGTGCAGACAGAGACGCTCAGACTGACTAACAGCCGGGCTGAGAAGATGGACAATACATCTGAGGTTGAGGTTTGAGGTTGAGGAAGGGGGTGGATCACGGGATGGTCGTCGGTTTTTAGCGCCGCAGCAATTTTTCCCTTGCAGTGTCTTATTGTTGCTATTATTCGTCCTGTCCAGGAGGGATTTCGAGGACGAAATGTTTTTGAGGGGCTGTTGTTCGTGGGTTCTAATTATAGCTTTATAGTCTCTTGGCACGGCGGCAAATCGTCATCATCGTTGTTTTTGTTTTTTTCTTTCTTTCTACGCGGAGGACACCGATGTATGCATATCCGATGGAGTGACCATTGTTCCCTTCACGTCACTTCCACTCACCTTGAGGCCAGGAACAAAGGTCAGAAAGGAGTGAAACTCTCCTCTTAAAGATAATCCCAAGTCAATGACGACGATATTGACTTGTCTGATGTCAGCAATCAACCATGGATCACGAGGCAACAAACCCAATATCTCCGCCTGTTTCCGCAGGTAGCGGACTTTCAGGGAAAACAGGAAAAGAGCAGCCTCATAACCAAATATCCTTCTTCCACGTGACATCTGATCAGATCAGGAAAGGGGTCTGGTCATAACCGTCACCGTACAAACTACCTCATCGTACGATACAGTATCATACAACAGACCCGTTCATGATGATCATACGCGGGCCCAGGGAGGTATACCAGACGAGGTGAGCGTCAATGAGTGGTCATAATGCAACAAGAGCCAGAGCCAAGGATGTGATGCGATTAAGAGTCAACCTCATCCTGCAGGGGAAGTGCTTAATATAGCACAACCAGGGGCCCTCCGCACATCTCGGCCTGGATATCTGATGAAGACGTGCCAGAGCAAGATCTCATTGGTATGTCCGGAGGGGTTCAAAGAGAGGGGAAACTGCTTCATCTGCAATAAGGGTGGGAATGATGCACTCCTTATCACAAGTGCTTCCTCGGAATAGCCGCCGTGGGGGGACTGTTATGCCAAGTTGAAGTAATTGATGGAGGCGGTTGCGCCGGGAGATCTCTACAAAGGCGTCAAGTTGAGCTATTCATAGAATTAGCATATTGGCTTAGAAAATGATATGCAGGTGAACTGACCACTACCTAGGTTTTGCAACTGTCACCCGAGACTAGTCCGGGGGGGGGGGGGGGGGAGATCTGTTGTGGGTTGTCCGTCCGATGCACGCGTTCGCTATACATCATGATGATATTGAGTTCCCCAAACGTAGAGCCAAGTTTCTTGAAGTTCAGATGGCACTTGATGATTCTTGTTCATCATGTGACTCAATACGAACCCGGTATATGTACTTCAACAATAGAACCATTATCCTCATGTCCATCATCCATGGACAACTACATCGTCTATATCAACCCAAAAGGTATCCAAATATAGAGATGCCAGATAGGGCAGATACCAAAAATATCCACCCCACCCCCCCCCCCCCCCCCCCCCCCCCCCCCCCCCCCCCGGTCCGTCAGCACCACTAAGACCCCCCGGTCCTCCCAAAAAGAATCGCCCAAAATAACTTCCTTAGTCCGTGATGAAAATAGAACGATTGCAGGGAATACATGCCCTAGTGCCCGTGGATACATGCCTGCCCCTCCCCCCTCGCTACGCTTTGCCGTGCCTTACTCCTCTCAATATTGGTCGGAACACAGTCTACTTGACCTTCGTCACATCCAAGGAGGATTCGCATCTTGGTATTGGTTGGCCAGGCTGCAGTGTCTCCCCGGTCAAATTTCATCACCACAAGTCAGGCTAAACCGTAGCGTCGGATTGGTTGCTTGTTCAGGTGAAGGGAATCCTTCTATGGACGGTCGACGGGCGACGATCCCTGTTGACCGGTGACGATAGCTGAGATCACGGCGTCAACGCAAGTTTATTTGTGTGATCATGCAGCTGATTCGATCCCCGTCACTGGGCGAGGGTGATGCTCTGATGGCTTCTATTGGTGTAAAAGAATCCTGGAGGATCCAGCCAACCGGGAAGGAGAAAAAGAAAAGAAAGTGAGAAGGTATCAGCATATACCAGCGATCCACAGAGACGGAGGGTAAAAAAAAAACATAATTCAAGGGAAATGATAAAAATAGAGGAGCGTAACGCTGGTGGATTCAGTCTCATCTCATCACATTACACTACTATTCCTCCCCCACACATCCATGCCAATCATCGGCGGACCTTCTGAGGGGAATGGCTCCGTCTGCCCCCCAATACGGTCTAGCGCTGGCGCTTAACTGCATGTCCTTAAACTGCGCTTGATTGGCTGATCAACAACCTTCTTGGGCAGAGGAAGCGCCAGTACTCTTTCCTATTTCCCCTTTGCCTCGCCCTTCAATCAAAAGAGGACTGCTTGATAGATGGTGGCGGAGAGTTATGTAAAGTCAAAATTGGCGGTCGTATAGTTCGCCTCTCGCTTTTTCCTGAGAAGTGAGAACGTTGGTATTCCCTCGAGTTGGAACTCCAGTCCTGTAGGTGTCTATGACAAATTATGTAGAACCGCTACGGTATGGTTGCGGCGGCCACAATTTCTGGGGTGTAATCAGATGAAACAGCGTTTCTTGTAGACTCTACCCTCGACCAGGATCCTGAATCCGCCCTAGAAGGTACCCCCTACCATTGCATTCTGCAGAGAAGATGAAACGTTGAGCGCGTCTTCTCTACCAATCAGGCGTGGTATGGGCCCAGTCAAGATCACGCTTGGCTTCGCGGTCGCCGATGGTGGAGAGCCCCGCAAGGACCAGTAGAATGCGGATTTCCAGGGGGCAGGACAAGATCACCTTTCCTTAGATTTAGCCAGCGGGCGGCTAGTTCCTGCTTCGAAGGGAGCAAGGTTTACGGGACGTGGTAGAGTAGACATCCTGAATCCTTCCATGGCGCAAGTAGGGCTGCGGCGGTATTGTGTAATATTACATATGTGTAATATTACACGGTTAGTATTCCATACGTACGCCATATATTGTATGTACGTATGTACATACACCACTGTAGAAGCAACGACCATTCTTAACCTTCTTTGCTCGCTAGACAGGTCAGATCACGTCCAAATCAATGCCTGGTAAATCCCATGTTGGGTCTGTGCTTAATTAAGTTCTCATAGGGCCGAATATCCTGGATCCGAGACTCCAGGGTGGATGAAGTTGGGCAACAATCCGAGGGATTCACCTGTGCGGTCGAGATTTAGACTTACGTGGTAGGGTAGAGATGCGCTATAATGCATGTCACCGCGTCCGTTTTGCTGATGCCTTTTTCCTATCGTTCCTTTTGGCGACTTGTCCAATGCCCCTCAGCCTCAGCCGCACGTCAGTCCGGAAGCAAAGCCCAATCGCCGCTGTTACCATATCCCCGGGTATGCCTTGTCGTCGGACGGGTGAGAGTCGGGACCCGTGGGGAGAGACACTGTGGCTCTTGGCTAACACGTGTGAACCTCACATATGAGAAACGATATTCGGCGGGGCATCCGAGAGCCCTCAACGGGGACAACTTCAATCCGGTCTTGCAGGTTGACGTACTCAAGGGTTCCCCCACACACCTACTCCAAATGCTGGGATGTCGTCTAGAGCTCAGACCCTCAAATTCAATTCATTGGTACAAGTACTAAGGCCAAATCGTCTTGCGCTATTATCAATTATCCTCCGGTGAACATGCTGGAAGTCAACCGCTCAGTAGTAGCCTGTTGTAGCCAATATGACATGGGGACTTACCGAGTACTCCTAACCCAAGTATCCACGTTCACACCAACGCATGACCAAACAAGAGACAGTTCGCTAATTATAATGTAAAGAGGAATTAAAAAAAAAAAATAACATCTACAACAGTATTAAAGTGTGATGGAGAGAGGTAAAGGTTTTGCAGCCACCGGGGCATCATATCAATTTCCTAAAGCCATAGTAGAGTAGGACCCCGCATGAAAGAAGATATGGGAAGAAAATCAATTTAAACATCGCTTGACCTGAGTAGCAGTAAACCCCCCTCCCCCCAACGCCAAATACCGAAAGCCTGCGCTAGTGCACCTGACCGTTTCCAAAAATTCATTCACATGATACCAAACTGAAGTCTCTAAGGTTCAGGTTCGCTGGACTCTTCGCGCTTTCTCCGCTTTCCCTTCGGGGGGTCCTCGAGTTGTGTCCTCTTGAAGGTGATCGTATGAGTGACAACATGTCGCACACTAAATCTGCCACTGGGGATCGCCGTGTGGGGTCCATCCCAATAGCGCATTCTCCAGTCCGAGGGGGATGCAGAGAAGGGATTCGCGGAGAAAGGAGACGTAGAGAAAGGAGATACAGAAAAAGGGGACGCAGGGAAAGGTGAGGCAAGCGTCGCTGCACTCCTGGGAGCCTCTATCGTGGATGAATACCTCGGCGGGGGCGGGATGCGTAAAGCACGTAGAGTCCTCGGGTCTCGTCTGACTGGAGGTGCTGTATAAGGGGTTGGTGGCGGCAGCGAAGCGGTAGCGGGCCTGGACGATTCCCCATTGGCGTTGAAAGTACCACTGGCTGCACTCACTGGCCGCGATGTTGGCTGGGATGTTGGAGAGTTCGAGGTGGTGGAGTTGCCTTCTCTCAGAGTGTGGATCTTGGAGAAGTCCGGCTCTCCAGTGATCGGGGATAATATAGGTTGGAACTTCTTCAGGAACTCAGTATAAGCCGCGGGGGGTGTGATTGGCGTGGATAGTGCTTCGTCACCCCTCCCATTGCCTGCTGAAAGGCTAGAGGACCCCGAGTCACTTTGAAGCTCGGATGGGAAGACCATCGTCCGGGGTGTCTGCAATGGATGCAGAACTGGTTTGATGGAAGGCATCTTGGACGAAGAACGGTCGACTATTCAAAAACAAAACGAGAAGACCAGAAGAATGAAAGAATGATCGAAGGTGACTTCACAAGAAAATTAAATAACGGATGAGGATGGAGACCACGCGCCTGACCTTTACACGTGCGTGGAAGTAGAGAGGGAGAGAGTATAGTAGTAGTACTAGTAGAAGTACTAGAAGTAGTCATGCAATGGACCACAAGGTCAGACTACGGGACGAGAGAGTTAAGCCGCAAGTGACGGGCGTCCGTTGAAGGTAGAAAAGATATGAAGACTAGTACCACTCCTCGATCTCTCTCTCTGGTCTGCAATAGAAAAGAATGAAAAAGGGAGAGAATGGCAGGACGTGGAGTGAGATTTATGGTTCACGTTGAAATTGGAAGAGCGCTGAAATACGTGTAATAACGTTCACGACGGTATCAATACGATAAGGATGGGCGTAATATTTCCGGGTAAGGGTCAGTGTCACGCTTTAGCCTGCAAGCGGGTTAGTGTGTCGCCCTTCCTCCGAAGTGCGCGCCTGCGATTCCAAGTCAAGCAACAACAAGAGCAACAGCAGCTGGGCACCTCGCGAATCAGAGCTGGATCTCACGGGATGGTAGGATGGGTGACAAGTCTTGGCTAGAACCTAACGAGACCGCTACAAATGTGGAGAGAAACAAAAGTTGTGACCAACAATGGCTTGATGCCTGATGGAGCTCCAATCGATGAAGATCAGAAAAGCCAATAGACAGAGAAGAAGACGAGGAGAACGATGATCTGTGATCGAGCTAGAATACCGTACTCAACCGTTCTTTTTATACCTTTTTCATTGCTGAAAACTGCACCTGCTAGTCCTCTATCCTATGCACAAATATCCAGCAACCAACAAAATCCTTGAGCGCCTTTGCTGCATCAAATATCATATTGTATGCGAATCGGTACATGGGGCGACCTAATCACCCCGGCGGCACTTTAATTATGCTTCCTCGATTCTTGAAGGTTAGGGCAATTGTCCCTTTTGGTTCGCTCAAAGTTGACGCGAACCACTTCAGGAGGGGGCTAAGCGGCGGCTCGCCCTCGAGGAACCCCGCCAAAACAGTCGCTTAAGGGAATAGTATCATGTTCACACTGACCTGCATGATGGTCTTTCCATCCCATCACAGTTTTAGTCAGTCTGTTGGACCATCGTTGACTATATTGCTCGAAGGAGTGGCTGGGCGGTTACCAGACCGTGTTGGCGCTTCCATGAATATTCCATGTCACACACATGGCTAACCCGGAATATGTTGGAGCTTGCATCCATTCCTTGACATAAGACATTTTGCAAGCGCGGTAGCTATAGCAATTCTCCACTGATCAAACTAGGATGGCAGCTGATGCCCAGCCTGGCGTCCTACTAACGTGTTCCACCAACTCCTGCAGAAACTTTCTTACTCGGAGATCCTTGCTGGCTGATCTAAGCTTCGTGATTGCCTTAATCATTTTGACGTACCGGGCTAAAATGTCTAGGTGGTCGAAATTAACGCCGTAAGCAACAAAAGCGCCAGTCTATCCATATCTAGTTGGGTCAAGTAGTCGCCTTCGTACGTAAATTGTCCAACCTTACACAGATAACAACCGTGCAACCCTCACGCTTTGCCTTGAGGTTGGTGTTAGCGCATCCCTTTTGCACTTGCTCTTCCTGTTGGCTGGGCGAGCCGTCTGACAGACACCCCCCATTGTCATCCGTGTGCGAGGAAAGAGGGGAACGCCGCCGGTAGCACGTTGGTTAAACTGAGTCATGTAGTCCAATGGGTGTGGACTGCGGGTTGTTGGAGTACTTGAAAGCCAGTCTAGATCATAAGACGTATGCCAGTCATCCAGAAAGGTAAATGTTTACGCTCCTGGCGTCTACGCATGTCTACCAAGAACGCCCTTTTCTAGATGTTGTGGCTGGCTCTTCGTCATGATTTGGATTTGCTTCCAACATCTCTGTCAGCTACTGTTGTAGGCGAATATCAACCGTGTTGCTGTATTACCTATAAGAAAATAATGAATACGAGCATTGGTAAAGAGTCCCTCGCCTTTCCCCAACCTAACCATCTCTACCCTTTGGCATGTCCACTTCCTCTTCCCCTCTTTCCTTGTCTATCATATTTCCTTTCATGCAATATAGGGAATCCAAGGTCTCCGCTCTGAGTAGAGTCATTTATGTAAAGAACATCCAACAACTTTGTGAATTCACACTGCTATAATCGATACCATGTATCTCAGTCACTCTAGATGTTGTGAAGGACATGCCTCGTAGTGAAGTACTAGAGCAGACTACAGCATCAGCTCGCTCCACTGGAAGAATACACCCATTCCATGCCCTCTTTCTACCCCATCTTTACCTCTTCATTTTATGATGTGAGAATCGTATCAGTACGTCTACAATCGCATATACGTCGGTATGACCCGTATACACCATACTCTGTGGCCCCGCCCAGTTTCTATACTCCAAACCAGCTTCTCATTGTTGGAAGCTTGGTTGCAGGAAGAGGGGATTAGTTCCTGAGAGTAACTGCCTCGCTGGAGTAACAATCGGGTTGAAAATGGGTAAGACAAACAACCACTTCTCAAGCTCTAGTTATGGCGTTGCCCCTGACCAGGGACAGCAAGTGCAACCCCCAGAGACGATGTTCGCAGCACCTGGTTCCGGGAGGATACGCCTACATTTACCGCCAGCGTTCCAGGATCAGGCAGTTATGTGGCTATCTCGCGCTTCGTCATCGTACTATAGCTTACTCTTCTGCAAAATGCGGCTAGCAGCAGCATTAGTGAGGCAAGGAATATACGCGGAAGTGTTGTCTCGGGCCGGTTTCCGAAGATGAGGACGAAATCAAAATCAACAACACTCTCTAGGGTGAAAAAGCAACACCCAAATATAAAGCCATTTTTAGGGAGACCTGGCCTGCTTCAAGCGGCATATCACACACGAAAATATACGATCGAATAACGGGGTATTCTATAATAGAAACCTATCGGATACAGGTATAGAACGGATTATTTGGAGCCTCAAAGACTAGATCCGCCTGAAACACACCGCGGGTATATTAAGACAACCATGAGTGGAACCGCGCTCTTTGGAACTACTGGGGCGGCTGGTAAGTAGGGATGGTGAGTGATCTATGGTAAGCCGACTATTTTGGTATATGAATAAAGTCTAAGGGCTGATCATGCACAGGTTGAGGGGGACAGTGTGGAGATCAAATCAAATATATCTTGGACGCCGGACCTGCCCAACATTTTTAAGAAGCATGGCTACAGTATAAAAAGTATCTTCCTCTTACAATGTACAAGAACAACAACATCAATATGCAGATGACTGCCCCTGGCACTATCCAGTGCTTGTTGGATACATCCGATCAAGGCAGTGGGTATGTGAACGATTATTGGGCTGCGTTAGTAGAGGGATATAGGGCATATTTGCAGTGTCTGACGCAGTGGGCGAATGAGATGGGCCTTCAGTATTATTTCCAGGTATCTTACAACATGCCTCTCGATGCATTGGCAAGTATCTCTGAAGTGAACACGCCCGATCCGTTAACAAAGACCTGCTAAATACTACGGCACATTTCAAAACATTCAAGAATCTTCGAAATAACGTTTTCCTAACACAAAGGTCTCGGTGGAAGCATTGAAGCTGAGAAGCAATCTTCGCTTCGCCAACGTCTGTGCCGTGATATGCCACGGTGCCACTGGGACAATGCCCTCACTTCTGCCGCATAATCTGCAACGGCCAGTATGGAATATGCCCGTCTCTGCCAAAAGATGGTCTTGGATCTACATTCGCTAGTTAAGTTATTCCACCGGAAATACACCTCTCCCGAACTTTTCGGGCCAGGCCCTCTTCGTGATGTGGATACGAATCTTACTGGAAGCAATTGACTGCGAGCCGTTAACACTCTGGCAGACGTCGTATCGAATAGATACACTGCATTCAATATCGCATTCCAGCATGTGTCCGCAGGCTTTTTAAAAAGCGGCTTTACTATCGCAAAGTTCACTCGACGTCGTCCATCTGTCAAGGCCACTGTGAATCACAGAGAAAGTAATGAGCTCCTTTCGCCACCACCAGATGTGTATTATGCGCGAGGCAGAGATACACGTTTTACCTTAGAACATATTAGGGGCATTAGCTCCAGTCAAACCTTGCTTGCGTCTTATTGAAGTCTACCCAATAGGCCATCAATGCGAGAGGGAACATAACCCCTCACAGCTGAGGGCCTGCATCATCCACAAAGTAATTGCCGCCACTGTCACTGCTGCATGCTACACTCTATGTTTACTATGGCATTTCTTGATCACACTGGTTCCAGATAGAGATATCTGGGATGCTCTCACTTGGGCCGATGCTAGCTACGCTAGTCAACAAGGATGGAATGGCCAATGGGTACCCAATACTACCAGGGTCTAGGGCGCCACCACCGGTTTTTTCGAACGCGCGACGAATCGAGCATTCAGCTCCCCTACCACGGGCAAGACAGTTCGAACAGGCACCACTATGCAAGGCAGCGCCACGAAAGGAGGGTGAGACAACGCAGGTTGTGTAGCGACCACCAGACATTTCGCATTTATCACACGGCACCTGAGCTTCGAGACCGCGACAATGCAAAATGTACGCCGCCTTATGGTTCTTGTTGGTCAACTGGATTTTTCCTCCACTCGAAATACCGCCGCTACGGGCGATGTCCAACAAACGAACAGCAGTCCTATCGACACTAGAGATACCTTGGAGTTCTATAATGGTTAGCTCTTGTATCGCAATCTAGGTCCTCACTTACTCTCCTCGACAGATCTCACAAGCCATTCACGATCCGCGCCTATCTCAGCGAGTGATTCCACGTCAGGATACTTGACATCAACGCAAGCCACAGCCTGCTCAAGGTCGCTAGTGGGAGCCATGGTGCCGGACAATAGACAAATAGACAAAGTCTGCGAGGGCAATAGAGGAAGTGAGCAGAAGGGAAACTGAAGAGGAAGAACGCTGCAAGAAACAAAGGTTGAGGGAGAATTACAGAGAATAGCAACGCGGGGCAGCTGATAAACAAAGAGAAGTGCTTGACTATAGCTACAGCACATGCTGTTGCTACGCGTCAACAACAAACACTGTGGTGAATAGCAACGAGGATCATTATGGCTACCAGCGTCAGCCTACGAGTGAATGTCACCAACACCACATTGTAGCTACGCGAGTACACACCACTACGCCACACGACTGGTGGTAGTTACAAACGAAGGCAATTCCGCAAACGGAAACCCTGCCACTATTCGCAGCCAACTACTGCTACGTTGCACACTTTCGCAGGAAAGGCATAGCGAATTCAGGGGTATTCGCAGGCTAAGTGGGGGAGGATATAATCCTATGTCGTACGTTGGCTACACGTGATAGCTAAGTACTTCCGTCTACCGGGCGTAGCTGCCTCAGGCATATAAGCACGTGACCTGGGAAGCGAAGGGAACATCTACGTGTATATAAGGACGTAAAGGATCCCCTACCTTTCGTAGGAGATCGGCAACTCTCTACCTACCTTAGCCTACCGCTACTTGCAATCACATCTGGTAGCCCTACTTGAGCGCCTTGCTATTGGTGGCTGGGGCCTTCCTTCACTTAGTATATCGGACCGAGATCCCAGATTTGTCTCCGATATTTGGAGCACAATTTTTGATCATATCAAAGTCCAGTGCAAATTCTCTACAGCTCACCACGCGCAATCTGACGGTCAGTCAGAGAGAACCAATCAAATGATTGGGATCTACTCGTTATGCCGTTACTTCTTTTGACAAATTAGAGGACCTGCCACGCATCTTGCCTCAACTACAGGGGTTTGTAAACGGATCGACTTCTGCTGCCAGCCAAGCCTCCCATCACGAACTAATGTATGGCATACAGCTGCCTGCTCCATTAAACTTGGGAATTTACTCCCGAGCTACGGATCCGCCTACGCAGTTGTTACCTCCAGCTGCTTATCCAAGGCGCTGATATTATCAGTCCGCCAGTTACAGAAAAATATACCTTGAGATAATAGAAGATAGCAATCGGAGCCATGGCCCTCCAGCACGTCGCTGATATCCTGGACCTGGGCCTGGTATCAAATTTCCACAAGCCGCCGGGAAATTATTTGGTTTCATCATCACCATATCCTGAGACTCCATGGCCTCGACACCGACTGTGACTCAGCGCGGATTATATCTTAGCTGGCGGAAATGATGAATGTGGATACTGTCTGCATATGCAGTAGGGCTCGCAGGGAATCAAAATATGGTCATTGATTAAGCGAACATGGCTAAAACAAAGCGTCATATTTACGAACAGCACCCTACAAAGTAAAGTTTGCTCCATATGGCTCCCCTTTTTTAGCGAAAGGCATGAAGACGGCCATGTCAGCAGATAACATACCACGGTATGATCCAGGAGTCTACCGATTACTCTTATTAAACTAGCCAGATCCATCCCTCTTGGATAGTGAACGAAGAGCACTCCATGGCAAAGGCTATGCGGTACAATATCTGGGGCCCCGCTCTGAGCTTCCGGCTTATTGAGCTAAGACTTGTGGTAAGTTCAGGCATCTCGTGAGTAAGTTGCTAGTCCATGGACTGTACGCTATGTGCCATCAGCGCTGGAGGACCGGGTTCCACATCATAGCGACACTCTCCTAAATAAGTGCCCTCAGTTGAAATCTCCTGGACATAGCCTGCGTCACTGGATGCTTCTAGACTGTCATTTTGGATGAGAAATGGTTCGCAGAGACAACACTCCTAAGTCTTGGCTGTGTTATTGAATGTGAAGGAGTTATGTCCACGTCGAAAATCTCCATGGCGGCCCTGTACCATAGAGAAGTACCCAAGGCAAGTTGAGTCAGATGGAATTCCACCCTTCTACCTACTACTCACTTCATCTTTCCTTTCCTCGAGCGCTTATTTTATCACAATCACTCGGCTATCCGCTGAACACTCCACATCCTCTCGTCATTCATCCGCCAACTCTTTTTTACTATCCCTGACGATAACACTGCAAGAGATTCCAGTCCGGCTCCTAGTCCAGCGAAGAGCCTTCTAGCTCGCGTGAAGACCTGGGCTAGAGATATCACCAATCGAATGCCCATACTGCATATCCATACATACGATTGGTCGGGCATGATCTACCGAGTTGGGACCAGGCAATACTTCCAGGCCCCAACCTCTACACCTTCCGACTATAATTCATTCCCAACTTCTCCCCGGTCGAGGCCGTTCCTACCATGCCATGATCCATAATCTGTCACTTTACGGTTCACATTTAATGGTATTTTACGAAGTCCCTCGTATTCGTCAAGTCAACAGACACTAGACAATAATGCTCAGATTCTTTCACGAGTGGAGGGTTATCAAGGAACATTAAGAAAGCTTCCCTGAGCAGATGTGCAATGTTAAAATACAATATCTCGCATCCAGTCCTTATCTGAGAAGATGTCAGCAAAACCAGCGACGAACTAGGGTCCATCGCAGATTTTCTAAGCATATACGCAATCCGGTTACCGTTTTTCTTCAAGACACGACAGACACTATGTAGGCAAAGTGCTGGTTACTTGCACGTTTGCTATGTGGCTCACCAAAACTACACTAGCTAATACCTAAAATAAGATATGAGATCCGTCCTTCCCTTTACCTAAGTCAATGGTCTTGTGTAGCCCATATGCACAGCAAATTGTCCTGATGTTCGCCCTCGAGCGATGAAGCTCTCTTCAAGAGGGGCACAGCCCACAGTCTTAGGCATAAGATATTAGTCGGACAAACAGCAAAGGAGACAAAACGCATTTATTCTTTGGCGTACGGGTGAAGAACTCTCTCCCGATGACGGATAGTCGGGGGCACCTCTCTGCTAGAGACGTCCGAAGGACACATCTTTAGCGGCGATTATGTTTCAGAATTTTCAGGTGCCATACTTTATACTCCGTCCGTCAGAATGTTATAATACGATAGAACCGATCCACTGTTGGTAAAAAGCAATGTACCTTTTTATCAAAGTAGGGTGTGTCCTGCCAGGATATCATATCACGCGGAGTTTCATCACTCAGACTCGAACTATCTGAAGAGGGTGGGCCTGGCTAATGGGCCTATGACCCAGCTACCGAAAGAAGCAGTCTTTGCAATCCTCAATACGACATCAGCAGGTGCAGATCTTCAGCATTGCAGCTGGAGTGTCCATCATTATAACGTACTTGTCTTTAAGCTGCTCCTTTGTCGACCTGCCATGAGCTATAGGGTCAGGACAGACAAAGATTGCCAGGAACATTATCCAAAGACCATATATGTATTCTATCTGGTGCTAGCAATGGGGATGCTACCGACAATATCTGGCTCAGCTTTGAGGCAGCGCATATCTTTCCTCTAGAAAAGGGGCTATTATGGGTTCAGAACAGCTTTGCACGATGGATCACAGGCACTTCTTGAGGGGATGCCTGAGCTTTCAGCAATGCTAGCCTCAGCCATGTTCTCAGTGGACAGTGGGGCCATTGTAACGAGGGTATCCGAAATAGTTGGATCCGCTCTAAGCAGGAATTGGAGCAGTGCCTCCCAGGCACAAAGCCATGAATTTGGAGGGGTGTTTACCGCATCCGGCTAAGAGATATGTACAAACAACAATAACAAAGAGAAAACCGCCATGGATTAGGCTCTTTTGGGAACCTCTTCCACATTGTGCAGTTGGGAAGGGCAAGGAAAGCTGGCCTTTTCCTCTCGAAAGCTTTTTTCTTTAGATCACAGTACAGCATGTCGCCGGGGTCCTCCCCCGATATTGGCCCCGAAGCCAGTGGAGTATGATGATATTGAAGGGACTGATTTCTTTAACTTACCCCAGTTCATAACTGCCTGCTCCCAGAAACGTCACAGGCAAACAATGTCTCGATATGCTTGTACATTGTGCTTTCTGTGCCCGGTGGGTTCGAAACCCGCCTCGACGGTTCAAACTCCCCCCATAGCCGCAACCCGGAGGGTTAGACATGGCCGGTATATAACATTTGAAGGCAGGCCAAGCCTTCTATTTTGTGAAGGTCAGATACCGACTTTTCTTGCACGCACTATCCCATTCTTGATTGAAAAAGTTACTACCGGTCAAGCCGGTCCGCAACCTCGCTACCACCAATGCAACTTTGGTGAAGTCTGTCTGTACGGAAGAAAGGGAATTCTCACTTCCATGGACACTGATATAACCTGTAAGCTCGAGAAAGAATGGAAGTTAGCGACGGGCCAGCTAATTTCACTAGGACACCTCTGGAAAGGATGAAGAAGTCCAATCTGGAGAGCTATCTTAGATTCATTGAAAGCACGGATCCCCATCGTGTACTTAATAACAAAGTGCGAAGTACACAACAAAACAAAAGCAGTGACCGTCCTTGCCGTGGCACGGAGAGTAAGGGAAGAGAGCTACCTTTACATGATGCAGCCCACTCTGTGGTCGAACAATGAGCTCGTCGAACAATATTTTGACTATTGCGAGAAGTATTCTATCATCGAGTGAAGAACATTATAATGCCCTTAATCGTTATACGGGTATGGTGACACCGCTGCTACCTCCGCCACTATCACTGCTACTACTACTCCATCTTCCCCCTTCGTGGGTTTTTCGCCGAATCCGTCCCCTCCCCCTCGGGAGGAAGAGACCCCGCCCTCGGCCCCTTCTAGGGAGGAAGAGGTCCCCTCTTCTTCGGAAGAGGGTGCCGCCTGAAAAATGGCGTGGGGTAGTGCCTGCGGTGCCTCCGTCGTTGCGGTTCGGCCCCTTCGAGGGAAAATGTTGTCTGTCGGGTGTCCCCCCGGCCGCCGTGTCTGTCTGCATTACGACTACTAAACCTCTTGTATCCAGTACTGTACGGAAAGTCAGCGTCCGAGTATTTCTTAGCGGGAGTAGGTCCTCCAGCGAAGATCGCTGCGTTGGCGACGGATACCTTCGATTCGCTACCCATTGGCTTTGGGATAATCCTCTTATTATCTCGCAGCGGGGAGCCGTTCCTACTCGTTCCTGGTTTTCTGATTCCTCGTTGATCTGTGATGATCGATTTGGCTGTAACTGTCAGCAAAGCCTTCTGTGGACTGCAGGCTAGAATGCAGATTAGAATGCCTTGCGATGCCGTTAAGGTATATCAGCCAGCCTGCTACATGGATAACCCCGTTTTAAGATTGATTTGTCCACAAGTACGATCAGACTATATGTACGAAAGGGGATATATGCTCTAGTGGAACAAATTCAATCTTGATGGTTTAGGTTGAAATAGTCATGGGGGTTATAATTATAGTGTATTTCTTAGCCTTACAGGTGGCAAACCGGTATATGACTCTATCTATTCAGCTTGGTAAGGTCCCGGGAAGGGGTAGCAGCTTCTAAGGTGCGGAGGGATCGATATGCCTAAGCCACAAGGAAACAGTAAAGTGCTAATAGCTGGTCAGAACTAGGGTTCAGGAAGAAAGCCCTTGCCGAAGGATTTGCCTACTAGCTATTAGTGTGTTGTCAGACCTCCTTTACCTGATGCATCCAGGACCGGAGCCGGCTCATCTAGCGGAGTTGAGAACACCTCAAGGCCTTCTCTCTGAGATAGGCCTATCCACGCAATTAAATCAAGTCACAGCTGCAACCGGACGACTACAAAAGACGATTAGGCAGCTGACAACACCTAAACCGGTCCCCCTTACACTACCGGACGAGCACAAAGAACAAGACATCCCTTTAGTGGTAAGTCAAGGCCCAAATAATGGGCTCAGGTTCCCGACGAGCCTACATAACAAAATTGTCGGTTGGAAAATTAGAACGCTATATACAGTGGTGTAGCGACGCAATTCAACTCGACTTTCCATCCCAATGGCCTATACCTGAGACGTTGAAAGTAACCCTGGAGAACTTCCTTATATCGCATCTGGGTTTGCCAATTAAGTCTAAAGCTTGGAAAAATCTGGCTGATTGATACCCGTCCGCTCTGGATCCCGCCATCGGCGGCATTAGCTGTACATAACTCCGCTGCACGTTCCTATCCAGTGTGCTCGTTTCTATTTTCGCTCGTTGCTATTGCTCTATTGCAACTTCCTGCGTTCGTGCTTTATTTCTATTACAAATTCCTGCGCATTGTACAGCACTGCGTAGGTTTCTTAGGTTAAACGAGATCTAATTGAAGGGTATATAAGAATGTTACATAACATATTCAAAACACGCAGGAACGGAGGATATCAAGCAATATAAGTCCGTTGAATCAATTCAGGTCATCATGCATGGAGAAATACAGTGCCAACAGCATATAGATGAGACTTTTTTTTATATTTATATAAATTCCCAAGACAAGCCAAATTCACTCCTAACGCCGGAACACCTTAATAAGGGGGTATGACTGTCCGCGCTTCTGCACCTATCGCCACAGGTCCAGTGGTTCCTCGTAGCCTTTCGTGTCATGATCTCCTGACCAGCAGTGAAACAGAGCCGATGATGTATGTATAAAGAATGGAAACAGATCCAAGAGCCGACACCAAGTTGACACAGTCCAGGATAGATGGTCGTTTCCTGAAAGCAAATGTGGCGGAGCAACAAGCCCAGTCGTGGTTATGAATGATGAGACCCAGCCATCACTCAACCGGTAAGAGCATTTGCGTTCATTTGATATCCCCTTGGCGCAGATTATGACTCTCGAGATCTCCGAGTTGGTCGCATATTCAAGCCCGCTTGAAATGGGTCCCTTCAAGGGACGCTTAAAACGTTATGAGATGCAATCCCATGGAGAAAGAGAGGGGAGTACGCGAATAATCTAAATAAGAAGGTAGTTCCACCCATTCTGCAGCAAAACTTCGCGCCAATGAATCTGCGGTCTTTTGATTTCTTTCAACGCCCAGTCGGTGCCGATCTCCTCGGATGGCTCGGATGGCTCAAGCTTGATGGGATCGCTCGACGATGAAGGCTCAACGGGACTATCGTCCACCTGGCAGAAAGTTTCGATGGGGTCGTCGGTCACTCGCCACACTTCCTGCAACACCCGGTACATGCGTCCAAAGCTCCCGAGGTCGGCGTGGTGTCCAAGGGCGGCAGACCGCTCTGCCAAAACGGCCCGGAAGGAGCTGTTTGGTGTCGAAAACGCTCCTGTGACAAGCAGTGGCCACACCAGTGAGCGATCATATCCATTCTGACCGGTCGGGATATACTGAAGGGTGCTCGCAACGGCTGCCACCAGGTTAATGTTGCTTTGCTGGGTTCGGTCGAAGCCGGGAACCAGGCTGCACAGGTAGATCCTCGCGGCGATCCGGAAGACGGCCGTCATGTTCTTGGTCAGGATGTCGGGGCGAAGGACTCCTGCCAGGGTGTAGGGGCTCTCGAGTGTCTGATCGGCGGGTTCGGTGAATTCTAATTGTCGCCCCAGGGCCGAAACGTGGGAGCAAACCGCCATCGCATCGACTCTGCCTTCCTTCTTCAATGCATCAAGACATGCGATTTCGGAGATCAAGTACATAACGCGGTCATCGCAGCCCATGAGCTCACGCAATCCTAAGGACGTTCCACTTAGGTGTTTTGCACGGTAGGTGTGCGCAAACTCAGGCGTTCTTCCATGCATGGCTGATCCAAGAATGTCAATCCACGAGGTCAGTGTCATACTAAAGGGGGGAAGCATATATGGGTTTCCACATGGAGGCGTGGTCGAAAGACCAAGCCGGCTCACCAAGTTCGACGCGGCTTGGAAGTGATCATACCAGGGAATATCGGGCAGGTAGTCGTCGGCGGGACCCACGGAGCAATGGAAGAAGATCATCGCCAGTGTGGCGTCCAGAATCTCCTCATGTTTCGTATCTTCACCCAGTGCGAGGCACAGTTGGGAAACCGCATCGAACCGGTGTCGCATAATGTCGTGGTCAATCTGCTCCCCAACGATGCCTTCCGTGGTCTTTAGATGAATCGCCGCAACACTGAGACAGCAGTGAAGATAAGTCTTGTTAGTTTCCAATGCTTGCAGGATGGCTTGTGCTCGTAAATGCCCGCGTTGGTGTGCCTCCACGATGGGAAAGATAATGCGCAAGACATTGTTGATGAAGTGGTCGAGCAAGGGCCGGTCATGGTCACTGACCGGGATATTGGACTGCAAGATCGCGTAGGTCTGCTGGATGCTCTGGTCACATAGGGCCGGATCGATGCCGGGGAGTGCAGGGGCCTGGGAGAAGTACTCGTCGGGGAACCACTCTTCCTGGGGGAAAGTCGGTAGCGGTGCGTTCAACTGCGGAGGAGCAAAGGTACTGAACGTGGAGTTCATGGAGTCGTGTCGCAAGGGGACATCGTTGACATAAGTCTGTCTCTCAGTCTTGACGTCAATCTCAAATGGAGGATAAGACTCGAAGATTGGTTGAGTCATAGCTGGCGTTGGCAAATGCGAAGCAAAGATGTCCTGCTGTTCTGCGAAGACGGGCCGGTTGAATTCAAACTCAGGAGTCGCTGGCGATGTAATAGCCAAGCTGCGGCTCCGGCCAGACTGGTCCACTACATATGATCACAGAATGGTCAGCCGGAGAGGCGAGAGAGACTGTCGAGAAGAGAATCAAACCCACCAGTAAGTGTTCCATTGCGCTCGTTCATCTTGGTTTGCTTGATCTTGTGCTTGATGCGCTCCTTTTGAATGCGCCTTTGCTCGGGATTTCCCCACCAGATCGGGCGCTTGTACTCGCATTTCACACAAAGATTAATGCAAGCACCGCAGGATGGGTGTTGCTCATCGCACTTCTTTCGACGGAGGCGGCAGGTAAAGCAGCCTACATAGACCAAACATCTCCAATCAAAACCCGGACAGTGGCTTAGCGGTCTGTAACGTAAACCTACCAGAACGAGACCTCTTGTGCGACTTAATATTTGTCTTTCCCGTCCCTGTGGAAGGTCCCTCACTAGACGAGGACTGAGCGGAGTCGGTAGCGGCTTTGTTTGCTGCAGCATTGCTCGGGCTGAGCTTCTTCTTTGAAGACAAGGGCATCTTGACGAGGGATTGATTTTTTTTTTTTTTCAGGTGCGATGCTGGAAGAGAGGCCGTGCGCTCCGATATACAGTGGGCAATGGCGTCAGGAATTGCCAGGATTTCGAGCTACCAATTGCGGGGAGGGGTCAGAATGGGTATTGGAGGTGTCAATCGCAAAGCTGAACCAGCAGTCTTTGCTATCTAATTAAGTATAAGAAGAAAAGGAAAGGCGCGGGAACAAAGGATGCGGCGACAGATAACTTGATGTGCGTGACAGTGATTCGAAAGAGAGGAACGGGTGGGATTGCCGAAGCTTTAAAACCAAGATTTCCCGACTGACAGGCCATGATGTTTCTATTTTGGACATCAGATCGGATGCAAGTGAGAAGGAAGCCCGGTGAATGGGATCCAGCGCCAAAGATTGCGGATTGGGGGGATGATCGCAGGTCGCTAGCAGGGGTCTCAACAGCATGCACGAGCAAGGAACGGGGCTAATTTTGGATAATTTTGGAACTTTTTACCTTTTCCATTTGGCGCCCATGCTAGTCATTCTCCAGTATCATTGGTAGATTCCCCTCAAGCCAATATTGGCGGCTGGGGGACTGATTGGGTTTGGATTTATCGTTCTGTATCTGCCCGAATTGTCCCAGTAAGTTAAGGGTAGTATTCGTCCTACAGTGGAGATATTCCTTTTTGTTTTATTACCCTTTTTACTATTTCTAATTTTTCTAGTTTCTATTCTCGACAATTGCCAAATTTCTTTATTCCAGGATCAAAGGTACCGTACCACATCTCCTCCCAATCAGAGGGGTGACTTAGCCGGAGAATTTGGAGGATCTCGCTTCCCACTGCAGGTCCAACGTTCCAAATTTCTCTCTTTAGATCTTACGCCGTATCCTTAGGCTTGGTCGGCTATTTCTCGCCTACCAGCAATTACCACGGACTCAAGAATGGTTATAACAGCGGTGTTAATGGGTTGTAGCACAATTCCCTCTATGGTCTGATAGCGATAATCACCGAGGGATCACCAATCAGGGAGGATATCAATCACGATCAATTAATTTAGTTCACGGTACCAGGATTTCCCGAATGGGGCAAGTGTTCTACGGAGTACGGAGTTGTAGTAGTTATCTAGTACCCACTAGACGTTCTCTACATTCATAGCAAAATTGACGGGAACACTAGCATTGAAGGTCTATCCCTCCTTCGATCAATAGCCATAAGGGACCAGCACCCACTAGTACTCCGATCTAGTATGACCAAACCTCAGAAAACACCAGCAATCAACCCCTGTCACCAATGCCTGTCAAGCACTCGGACATCTTACGGAAAGCTCTGCGGGGTCAAAGAAACGCTCGTCGAGCCAAATTCTCCATGGAGTTTAGTGTTGTTGATAGAGACAGCATTAGTGCATAAGCTAATTTAGTGGGGAGTGAGCCAAGCTTCCCTTCCTCGGAGTTGATTGGATGGCCGGCTAATGCTGTCATGCAGAACGGGAAATCCGCAGCCAACCGTCAGCGAGTGGAGAACAACCAAGTGCCCCGTGCGACTCGAGCATACTTTCGCCAAGATGTGATAGAATTGGTCTTGGCACCCTAATTAGCAACATTTAGCCGCCCACTCGACATACAATGCACCATAATTCCTCCTCCTCAGCGCTTTTTTGCTATTAATATCCACCCCTACAATACTAGTTCAAGGATCCCGAGTTAGTTTTTAGTTTCCTTCGGCGCCAATTAGTGGGAATTCGTCTCATCCATCCCGTGCATTGGTCGCTAACTGTGCGTCCCCATGATCCTTTTCCCCTCCTTCAGCAAGATCATTCGGGGTGGGGAAGTCGATTCGACAAGGAAGCTAAACATTAGCTTCTGCATCTACAATCCTCGAGTCACACTGTCACGCCGACAACAAATCCGTGATAACCCTCGAAGATGCGCAAAGGCCCCAATTGACTCACGTGTTGTTGATATCTACTTCAAGTTTCGAGCCACTGCCATCCGCACTTCATCAGAGCTTTTAGATCTTTTATTTGTGGCTTTTTTTTTGCCTGTATGTACCTCTCTCTTGTCGCCTTTTCGGTATTAAAGACAACCCGTGGCTGGGGATCATTACCCTGGCAAGGCTGGAAAGGCGTCACAACGCTTCTGGTCACATTCCTGCAGCTGAACGCTAACAATTAGCGTTCATTTACCAACGGTCCGCCAATCACACAAAGGAAATGTGAGGTCAATCTGCAGAGGCCCTGGTAAAAGAAAACTGTGATATCGATGTGCATCATGACATGCCACAACAGCGCTCGAGTCACTTTTCGGTGGCTATTTCGAAGGTTCACACATTCGCCGAATTTTGTATACCTTAAAAAAAAAAATTAAAAAGAATTCTACAATTTCCTTCTAAAAACAATTGACATCAAATCCCAACCAGCCTAGTAAATACACAGCACCATCACCATCTACCCTAATTCCCCATTACACACCACCCCCACTAGATAGCTAGGTAGCACATGTACAATGCCGTACTCTGTACATACATACCTGATCCTATCCTATTCTATCATCCTCTCACAGAAAAGCAAACTCACTGCCGAACGTATGTAACAGAACTAACTACCCGGCATCCGCCTAGTCAATTCTACAACCGAACCTCCAAGCGCCGACCTTCCAAACCCACCTAATTACATGCATTGGGTTTGAGCTCCCTTTCCCCTTCCCCCGTGCCAAAATTATGACTTATCTTTATTAATAGAAATTATGCAGTTACCAGCTTTCCCCAAGAATGGAAGACTTACTGTCCCAGTCCAACATGCGGGGTCGATCAAATAACGCACCACCACCTTAACGCTGCGCTGCGTTGCCCGATCTGATCCTAAACCCAGATGGATATTTTTATTTTTATCTCGATCCGGATCAGCAATCAGCACTTAGCAGGGGTTGTTCCGATTCCACCCCGCTGCATTCCAAACCGCTTGTTTGGCTCTGTTCCTGTTCCACCTGGCGGCGTATCGAGATGCGTGATGTGATCTGGGTGCTGCGTCCGAAGTAGTTAGCAAGCAAGCAAGGTTCATGCCTTGCAGGATTTACAGGGTGGGCGTGGTGTCTGGGTGTAGCCGCCGGGCCTTTTAGATGAGGTTTTCTTTTTTTGACTTTGTGGGCACGGCGAAGCGAGTGCTATGCTTGTTGGCGGCTACTTGTTGGGTTTTGTTGAGTCGGGGGTGGAATCTTGGTGCGCTATGGGTATGGTCTTGCCGTGAAATTGTAGACACTGGTCGTTTCATGTAGGTGGTTTGCTGGTTGTTGTTGGTTGCGGTTCTGGGCTTTCTTGGGTACAGAGGCTCTGAGGTTATCCACTGTTTCTTAGAATAGCAAGCGCTTAGAGTGCCCAACTTGGACAAAGTTCAAGATAAGGCTTTGTAGTGGTTTGTTTCAAGTTCTATAGGTGAGTATTTGATTATTGGATGTGAGGTCATGCTGGAGAGTATTCTGGTACATTGGTATGAATCCCATTGCGCAGCCCTAGTAAGGCTACTATCTAGGAGGTCGCGGTGTACTAATTCTGGAGATAGTAGGGTCTCAGAGGGAGAGAGGCTTTGATTACTGCCTAGATTTGAAGTTTTACTTCTAAAATTAATTGAAGACTTGACTTGTTGCCTGGTTTATGTGGGGAATATTGCATGCTTGTGTGATAATAACGGTGCATAGTTTATGGTTCTATAGAAAGTCTGGCGACATGATCTAACGTCCGCGATCGGCACTCAACGAATATGCAATGCTATGCATGGCTTAGCGCATGCCAAATACTGAAATGTTGAGAATATGAAGTTGACGTACACACATACTTGCTCGCTGGCCTGTGTCGGCCCAATTCTAAGTCTCAGATTTAATAGGCTAGAGTGAAGTATACCCCGTGGTACGAGTGACGGTTGTGAAAGGTTACACCCTCGTTGAGTTGAATGGCCTTATCGCCCTCTCCATTTGCCATTTTTAACATCTAGATATCATGTAAAGATTGGCACATCTGCTCAATCTAACAATGCAATTTCCTTGGATTGAAAAGCTCAGTCCTCCTAGCCCCAAACACTGTACAGATACCGGTCTAGGTTGCATTTTCTGTTTTACAACCCGAGGGCATTTTGAAACATCAGTTAACCCTGCCAATCCGTCCTAACATTAATATCGTTTTCAGCACTCTGGTTTCCTAGAAACATGGGTCCTCCCCCCCGAATGATATGTCTCTGCTAAAGACGAAGCCCTAGAATCCATACCCCTCGACTCAGCCTGTGTCCTCGAGCCAACTAAACCTGTCCCGTCAATTTGAACGTGCGGCACGACCGAAAGTATCTCCTTCGCACAGGTCGCGGCCATAGCAGTCGCATACCCCTTTCACCGATCATTCTTATGCGAATCAGCATCATCACTAACCCTCCGGGTAGCCAAACAAGGAATCTGATCCATCGATCCAGCAGCCTCCATCTCAAAACACAAAACCCCCAGTTCTCGCGCGGGCCGGTCCCGGATGAGCCCATTCTTAACCACCTGGTTACTAGACGCAATGGACCATAATGAACTCTCGGCTCCGTCGAAGACTGCGTAGATCGACGCACTAACTTCCCCTTTTCACAGTACCTGCAAGCCAAGCCCGCGCTGGGGTGGTCATACCCAGCCTGGAAGAGCAGGTCTTCCTGCGCACCCGGATAGATAAAGAGGGTGACCGCCGTTACTGGGGCAAGACATTCGGAGACACTGCTCTCGTTGAGTAAATGGTCTGCTTCTAACTTATTTGGCCCGACCAGGAGTGACTGCGGCGGTTTGCTCAGTGTGCCTGTCCGCTCTAGGTGCCATTCCTTGGTTTCTTTGCCGTAGTCATACTGGATGGCTCCGCCGAAGCTCCTAGTTGGTTTACTGATGACGACTTGTCCTAGGCGGAGGTCTACGGCTTGGCTGGGTACGCCTCCGCCGATGCCTACCATCAGGGAGAACAAATGAAGTTCACATCTGGCTTGTTACGATTTCTGCGGAGATCCCGCCGTATACTCCGGATGCGAGACAGACAATGATGATATCGTGGGTTGCTATTCTTCCTAGGGTGTATATGTTATAGTCGCTTGGGGGTGCTGCTAGGATTGGGTGCACACTTCGCCTAGCATGGCTTTGGCTGCGGCCATCTCGATTGGAAGTGCACAGACCCAGCCGACTGTGTAGTCGGTGCATGAAAGATGGATTGTTATGGAGGCCATTCTATGGGTGGGAGACCTGTCTGTTGTGGTTATATCGGGGTAACGCGGCTCGTTAGGGCATGACCGTGAATGGGGTTCGGGTATGTTATACTGCATACACGTATCGAGCCATTTTTGGAGCCCGGTTCATCTCCCACTCCAGCACAGTATTCACTCAAGGCGGCGCAGTATTCAGTGGTAATCTCTCCGCACTTGGAGACATTAATATAAGTAGGCAAAGCAATGCAGACCTCACAAACGACGATACTCTTTGAACTAAACAGATACTCACAGGCTATATTACAGCATTGCGACCACTAGCCCACGGTCCAGCATTCATTTTTCCACCTCATCCGATATTTTCAAGCAGATCCAAAGCGAACTTGCTCTTCTACTAGCCGCTCCGGACACAATGAGAGAGAACCTCGAAGGCCCCAGTGAGAACAGAATCATTCTTTCAGAAATCGATAAGAAGCTCCAGAATTGTCACTGGGTATTTCTCGATCTCCAGGGCTTCAAGAGCCATTTCGACAGCGTTGGAACACCGACCCAGGTTATTTTGAAGCGAGAAAAGTGGAATAAAGATGAGCTGACAAAGATTCGGACGAAAATATCATCGCATGTGAATCTGTAGAATATGTTGAATGTGCATATGATCCAGTAAGCATCTACTACGCAAGAGAGACGAGATTGGTCAACTTCCGAGACAAAGATTGATTGCTGAGTTCTCTAGATCTCACAGGAACACGTTAAGCCGCCTATTAAGAGCATTCATCGAAGAGGTCCAGGAAGGGAAGCGGGAAGGGTCGGTTGTCTCGGGTGACTAGTTGCCGATAAACGGGCGAGAGGCCTGGAGACAGTATCGAAAAGGGTTACAAAGTGTGAGTACTAGCCACGAAATGTTCATTCGGAATCATCGATTAATCGTCAACATCCGAAAAGAGGCCCTTTTGGCTGATAATCTTGGAGACTTTAATTTCGACATTCTAGATTTGCGCAACTTCGACAAAGAGACGAATGGAGGGCACGTCGGATGCTAGAGTGTCGACTCCCTTGACAACTTGGGTACCAAATCCAAGTTCCATTGCCAAGATGCTCTTCAAAGCAATTGGCAGCGAGGTTTCTCTTTGAAGATTTGGAAAGCCAGTGATGGTTCGACTTCATTGACGCGAATCCCCCCTGAATTGCGCAAAGAGAGGGATTTAGATTTGGTCAAGAAATGCCTCGAAAAGGATGCAAATCCCAATGCCAGAAAAGTGCCAGAGAAACAGCACTTACACTGGCTGCTGCTGCTGCTGGTCATGCAGAAGTGGTTCAGCTGCTATTTGGAAACGGGGCCAAAGTTAACCAGAACAACACGAATGATGAAAAGGACGCGGCCGCACTGCATAGGGCTGCAGAGAATAGAAGCAAAGAGATAGTCCAAGTATTATTAGCGAATGGCGCTGATATCAATTTAAAGGTCTTCTGGGGTGATGGGCCGTTGCGCAAGTTTGCAAAAAGGAACAACTCAGTAGTCACGCAGATGCTGTTAAAGAAGGGTACAAAAGATAATCGGATATCGACCACGGAAGCAGGCATGGAAGCATATGAGGTTTTAACAAGTGGGAGCGCTCGAATTGAATACGCTTAAGTGTCTTTTACATATTTATATGAGATATCAATCGAGCAACTACCCGAAACATACAAAATAAAATAAGAGACCAGTACAAACGCCAGCTATATATATCTACATCTTCGCCTCTCAAACTATTCACTCTAAACACGGTCCGAATCAAGTGATTCACATATACCTCCACTCTCTCTATATTAAATGAGGTGAAGAGAGATGTGTGGAGGTGTCAATGCAGCGATGCTGATTGGTTGTCTGACATGGGGAACGAAAAGGGGATCCACTACTCTATAATTTATCTAATGTAAGGAAGAGCTTCAGCTCCCCATTCTAGTCTCGTTTCCTCCGTCTTCTCTACGGCACTTGTGACAACCACGAAATATCTTCTTGTCTTCTCAATTATTCTAAAATGCAAAGCGATCCATCATGTTCCCTCTACCAATAAGACATACCTTCCTTCGAGGTCTCCCCCGGTCATCAACCGCATCACTCCGTCGCATTCCTTCGTTTACCTCAAGATCTTCCCTCCCCCGATCTATTTCGACATGGCTCCTTCCTCGTAATGGCAACTCGATAAAACTGTCAAACACTCTCCCACGCGTATCGTTTACGTTCCGTGGCCGACCATTTTCCACAACGCGAGGCTCCCGGTATAGAGGAAACCGGTATAACAGATTCGACGGTCCACGACACGACTCACTCTTAATTCGCTTGTTACAAGATGCCAAACCACACCATTTCATAATAGTAGGGCTGGGGATCAGTGGCTTCTACATTTATAATACCGACACGGTAGAGGTGCGTTTCCCTGTTGTCAATGACAGGCGCCCGACGATGAGGCGGCATCACCTATACCAATTGAGCTAGGCATCACCCAAAAACGCAGCAATGGCCGAACATGTTGCTCTGTACCTTATGCTGATTCTTTTCACTTAGATGACTGGTCGCCGCCGGTTCAACTGTATCTCCGCGCAACGGGAACTCGCCATGGGCAAACAGAGCTACGAAGAAGTCCTGAACGAAGCACGTGGGAGAATTCTTCCTGAACACCATCCGATCACTATGCAGGTGAGCCGTGTTTTGCAGCGCTTGATCCCACAGGCGCCGATCGAAGGGGCAGACTGGAAGGTCCATGTGATAAAGGATGATGATATGCTGAACGCCTTCGTTCTTCCCGGGTAAGGTTCTCTGTCTTCTCCGGTCGCTCATGTCGTACTAGCTGTGGATATGCTTACTGGAGGTTTAGCGGCAAAGTGTTCGTATACACCGGTATCTTGCCTATCTGCAGAGACGAGGATGGTTTGGCGGCCGTACTAGGACATGAGATTGCTCATGTGGTGGCGCATCATCCGGCGGAGCGCATGAGTAATAATATCATCACCATGGGTGCCGCATTCTTTGTCTCCATCGTTTTCGACATTTCTGGACAATTTTCCTCAATGCTTCTGAACCTTGTGCACGGCCTACCAAACTCGCGGACACAGGAGGTAAGATCCGCAGTGTTCTCGGCTGCTAGACATGCCCCCAACTAATTCTCTCTTAGGCCGAAGCGGATGAGATTGGGCTAAGTACGTTCCCCCTGTTAGCGTTGATGTCACAGCTAACGCATACTAGTGATGATGTCGAGAGCCTGTTTCAATCCGGAGGCTGCAGTTAGATTGTAAGTTGTAAACCTCTCTCAGATTCTAGCGGTTTCTATGCAGACAAGTGCCATGGCTTGTATGTTGGCAATCTAACAGTCTTGGGTAGGTGGGCACGCATGCAAGAAGCTGAGCAGGGGGCGCCGCCTCAATTCCTGTCAACACACCCTTCAGTAAGTTATATATGAGTGCTAGGACTATCTTATAGAGCATGCGCTAACACAGGTAAAAGAGTTACAACCGCATGGAGGCAATTCGTGGATGGTAAGGTCGCTCTGGACGCTATTTTGGCTCGGATGCACTAACCCGATTTCCAGGTCCATTAAAGCTGAAGCGGCGTATGAGGACAGCGGATGCCATGCAATTGGAGGCTTTGGTAAGGTCCTACTCATGTTCTTGCCGTATGAAATGCTAACGATATATCGACATGCAGTACCAGGATTCCGACAGGCAGCTTATCACGACTACTGGTGATAGATCTACATGACGGGATCGATGGTTCAATCCCAGGTGGGTACCTTTGTATATTAATAGGGCTAGGGCTGATGAATTTGTACCATGATAATATAATGATGGATTCTCTTCTCACTTGTATATAAGAATAAATGTAAATAGTTAATGATAACTTACTTAGTTAACCTGTATTAGTCAGATGCGATGGGATAGTCCCAAAAGGGAAATGCCCCTCGGGGTGCAAACCAAACAAACACCCGCCTGCAGACCAGACCGTCTCCAAGCTCTCCGTCAAAAATTCCCAGAAACAGCTTCACGATAACGTTGTGGCTGATCTTATTTTCGTCTTCCTCTTTTTACTCAGTACATAACTTGAGAGGAAGCTCTTTGTCATTATGTCGTTGTCTATGCCCGGGCCTTCCCAGGCCGGCCTTTTCAAGCCTGGTTATCAGAGGTAAGCGAAGCCCACTTGTGAAATGTTCCGCCCGATATCCTCTGGAGCATATGCTCGAAATGGGGAACTACAATGAATCGGAAATGGATCGTATAAGGTCCGGTAGCTAACCCTGGAAAACCCTGCAGCCACGATGCCGAAGATGGAGCCGTCATTCGTAACATCGAAGCCTGCCAGGCTATCTCCCAGACCGTCCAAACGTCGCTTGGTCCCTACGGCCGCAACAAGATCGTCATCAACCACCTGCAGAAGATGGTTCTTACCTCGGATGCTGCTACTATTCTGCGCGAGCTGGAAGTCGTACATCCCGCCGCCAAGCTACTCGTCATGGCCAGTCAGCAGCAGGACATGGAGATGGGTGACGGTACCAACCTGGTTATCATCCTGGCTGGGGAGCTCTTGAAGAAGGCTGAGGAATTACTCCGGCTGGGATTGAAGTCGAGTGACATTGTCCAGGGCTATGAGAAGGCACAGAACTTTGCCCTGAAGGTACTAGAAGGTGGGTTTGTCTTTGTCTTCGATAGTCCAGAGGCTCTCTCAGGGGCTAGTACTGGATTGAGGTTTCCGCTCTGAAACTGAGTTTACTGACCAATGGTTTATTGCGCAGACCTCGAGGTGGATCGTCTGAAGGAACTTCGTTCTGAAGGAGAGCTTAGCAAGGCTCTCCGTACAGTCGTTGCCAGCAAGCAGTCCGGCACGGAGGACTTCCTGGCCTCGTTGGTCGCGGAGGCCGTTCTCGCTGTTCTGCCTAAGAACCCCGTCAATTTCAACGTCGATAATGTTCGTGTAGTGAAGATCATGGGTGGTAGCTTGGAGCACTCTCGCGTGGTTAGGGGAATGGTTCTTGGCAGAGAGCCCGATGGTACTGTCAAGAAGGCTTCTAGGGCCAAGGTCGGCGTGTTCAGCTGCCCCATTGACATTTCTCAGACCGAGACCAAGGGCACTGTCCTATTGAAGAGTGCAGATGAGATGCTTAACTTCACCAAGGGTGAGGAGGAACGCCTCGAATCCGCCATAAAGGAGCTCTATGACTCGGGTATTCGCGTCGTTGTTGCTGGTTCCACCGTTGGTGACCTGGCTATGCACTACCTCAACCGATTCAATATCCTTGTGATCAAGATCCTCTCCAAGTTTGAACTTCGCCGACTCTGCCGTGTCGTCGGCGCCACCCCTCTTGCCCGTTTGGGTGCCCCCATGCCTGATGAAATGGGCAGCATCGATGTCGTCGAGACCACCGAAATCGGCGGTGATCGTGTGACCGTATTCCGTCAAGAGGAGGCCAACACCGTGACCCGGACCGCCACCATAGTTTTGCGTGGAGCGACGCAGAACCACTTGGATGACGTTGAGCGTGCCATCGATGATGGCGTCAATGCCGTCAAGGCCATTACCAAGGACCCCCGTCTGGTTCCTGGCGCAGGCGCTACCGAAATCCAGCTCGTGGAGAGGATCTCTGCATTTGCCGATCGGACCCCCGGTCTTCCCCAGCATGCCATTCGCAAGTACGCCGAGGCTTTCGAAGTCATTCCGCGTACGTTGGCGGAGTCTGCTGGTCTGGATGCTACCGAGGTTCTGTCCCGTCTTTACACAGCTCACCACCGTACCAGCAATGGCGCCGAAGCCTCTTCAGAAGGGTCGACAGAGGGTAGCTCCGAGGAGGAGGAGCCCTACTGGACGGCCGGTGTTGATCTCGAATCGGGTACTTCTGCGGGAACCCTGGATGCCGCTGAGGAGGGTATTCTTGATTTGATGGCTTCCAAGAGCTGGGCTATCCGGCTGGCCAGCGAGACCGCTCGCACAATCCTCAGTGTCGACCAAATCATCGTCGCTCGTCAGGCAGGTGGACCAAAGCCACCTGGCCCCAACGCTAACTGGGATGAGGATTAAACATGGGGCGTAACAATATTTAATTGGGGGTAAAATAGGAATGTGATAGATACGATATCATGAAAAAGTCCATTGATCAAGAGGATTTGACATAACATGTGTTGCGAAAGTCGTAGTAATATTGGCTACTTTGTGTATAATGCGAGTCACCTTTGACTATATTACTCTTTTCCTATCTACTCGTATGACGTCGCAGGAGAATTATTCACATTAGTAGATTGGCTACTTCCCCGTCGAATTGTTGATGTCGAACTATGAGAAGGGTATTGGCCGGCGTTCTCACGTGACCGACGCCTGGATTTTCCGGACCGAAACTCGACTTTCTTTTTCAGTTCAAGAACTTCGGATAGCTCTTTGGTTCGGTCTGATTGAGCAGCGCTCGAATTCTGTCCATCTTCTTCCTCGCTTGTCCGTCTCCTCTCCAGTTCCACCCCTTCACAGCCATCATGTCAATTTCTTCGCAGGTCGCAGCTCGTTGCTGCAGGCAGATCGTCCGCCCGTCCGCCGCTTCTTTGCGCCTCTCTTCCTCGACATATCTGTCTCAGCGGACACGGAGATGGCAGTCCACCGAGGCGGAGGCTGCTGCCCCTGTCAACCCCAAGATCAACCAGATTGTTGACCAGATCAGCCAATTGACCCTTCTGGAGACCGCCGACCTCGTGTCCACCCTCAAGGTTCGTTCGTTGTTTGTTTCTTTCCACATATCGCAAGCCAATGTGGTGCAATATTTTGTTCCCACCGGAGGGGGCAATGAACGCATTGTTGGAACCAATTGACGTGGAACTATCTGTACTGATATCACTCTCCACTTACAGTCCCGCCTTAACATCCCCGACCTGCCCGTTGGTGGTTTCGCCATGGCCCCCGGCTCTGCTCCCGCCGCTCCCGTTGAGGAAGAAGAGGCTGCTCCTGCCCAGCAGGAAAAGACCCTCTTCAACCTGAAGCTCGAAACCGTTGACGCCGCCTCCAAGGCCAAGGTCATCAAGGAGATCAAGTCCCTCCTCGGCCTGTCCCTGGTCGACAGCAAGAAGTTCGTCGAGTCCGTGCCCAAGGTCCTGAAGGAGTCTGTTCCCAAGGAGGACGCCGAGAAGATCATCGAGACGCTCAAGGCCGTTGGAGCCAAGGCTGTCATGGAGTAAACGGGTTAATATTTTCGATGAATTGATATATACCCGGTCACTGCCTGTTTCCCGTCTCCGCAAACGGGCGATGGGGATCAGCTTGACCGGGACGTTGTGATTGGACTGCATCATCGAGCTGGAGTTTTGTCTCTCACCACTTATTACTATGTGTTTTTTTTTAGTGTTTTCTTTTCTCCGTCATATATCTCTTGAAATGTTTCTGATATAACCGGAAAGCGGGAAAAAGGCGGCAAGTGTACATTATCATCTCTTGATTTGGACAATTTGGATCCCTGATGGAAGAAAGATCTGTGTCTATTCAACTCTTCTGCTGTCTAGTGAGCCTTTTCCGAGGCGGATGGACGATAGATATGCTTCTCGACTGTTTTACTATTATGAAGTTAATCATGGTTTTCACTGCGAAACAATACGTAGAAGAGTCCCGAATGCGGGCGAAATAGAATCAGGAATGAAAGTAAGTTACGAAGAATATCTAATTCATTGCATTTATATAACCCAAAAGCCGTCTTGATCGCATTAATTGTCAAAGTGTGTAAAGAATACATTGCAGGTGAAGCTCCGGTAAGAAATCTCTCCGCCCGAGAGATACATCCTCAATTTATTTCATTACTTCTACAACCTCCCTCTCAATTCCTCTCACCACCACCACCAGCAGCAAAAACACCATGTCCTTCCCACGACCCTCAATTCCCCTCCGAAAATGCACACGAGTACTTCCACGTCCCGTATCCTCGCCCGCACCGCGCTTCACCTGGGCCAGCCCCCATAACCACTCCAACACTAGGATCAGGCCATTCCACTCAACGCCCATCACCTCCAAAGCCGTCCGCTCCCCCGCCGTCCGTCGCGCTGAACGCGCTGCAGCGCGAGTCCTCCGACCTACCGACACTCACACCGAAGAAGGCCTATGGAAACTCCCCGCACAAGGCGACCTAGGCCAACGGCTCAAATTCCTCAACGGCGCGAGCAAATACCTCTTCGCCGACCTCTACAAACACGTGAAAGTTCGCATCACCTACGATATGTTCTACCGCATTTCCCAACAGCTCTTCGACGCAGCCTACATCCAGCCCCCGAACCCGCAGGTCATCTTGGACATCGCCCGCAACAATGAAACAAGTAAGCCAGCCAGTCCCAGCCCCAGCCCCAGCCCTGGGATTCAAGCCAAACAGGAATTGAATTACACGGGCTAATAGTCGATGGGATACAGGCGTCAACATCGTCTTCAAAGTAGGCCACCACGTCTCTATGGGCGACATGTCCTACAAAGAATGGCTCCTCGCCTCGTGCGCCCTCGCCGGCGCAACAGTCCCCGTCATATACCAGGCGTCCCGCTACGTATCGATTATGGCTCGTACGGGCGTAGACCTGGGCGACAGGCCGCTACTCGACGAGCTTGAACATCTTGCGAACGAAGGGGATCCGAGGGCCGTGCAGCTCTGCGCGCAGATCCTGGACCGGCGGGGCGAGACCGCCGAGGCGACTAAGCTGATGAAGCAGGTCGTGGACCAGTTACGCCCATCGCTGGTGGAGCCGCGGTCGCCGGACGATGCGTTCCTCATCGCGACTCACATGGATTCGCCGTGGAAGGTGTACCGGGAGCTGCTGGAGAAGGCGGGGGACACGGCGGCGGCGGATGAGGTCCTGCGCACCGCGGCGCTGGAGTACCAGGATGTGCAAGCGTTGCAGGACTATGCGGCCCTTATGATGCGGGAGATGAATCTGGAAAAGTACGAGGAGTACATGAGTAAGGCGGCTAGCTCGGGGGATGTGACGGCATGTTTGAAGCTGGCGAATTTTTACCATCTTACGGCGCGGGGCTGGTTTCCTCGTCGGGGGGTGCAGGAAGATCAGGCGGCGAAGCCGAAGGGGGAGAAGACGGCGAATCCGGCGCAAAAGGTTGGGGAGCGGTCGTTTGGGGTGTTGGGGCAGGTGTTCTCGTTCTTGTTCGCGGATGTGAAGACGCATGCGGAGTATCGGAAGTTGGCGATGGATTGGTATGAGGTGGCGTTTACTCATGGGAGCACACGCGCGGCGATGTTTCTTGCTGTTCTTTTCCGGGAGGATGGTCAGACTCAAACTGGGTGGGAGATGCTTCGGTGCGCGAAGTGGGTTGATATTGAGGGATTTCTTCCCAAGACGCAAAATGAGATGACCAAGGTATGGTTGGGTGAGGACTTTCCTGAGATACCGCTTCGGCTTTTCGATCTTTGATCGGCTTTACCTATAGACATCGCGATGTGTGGTTTGTATTTGTTATGCTTGGTTTGATACCCGTGTGTAGTATACGCTGTACAACAATATTATTTATCTACGCCCGAATAGCATGTTGGGATAGCATCATTTTCACTATTCTTCTTTTTCTCCAAGATCAAAATAGATCATATAAAGTTCTACATTAAGTGGGCCCAGCTGTTAAACAAAACCAAACCCCCACCCCCCTTTCAACAAAGAATATATAAATTTGAGTATCTTGACCACCCTACTCCAAGTAAACTACTAATGCACAAATTGGTTTAGCGACTAATCGTTCTCACTTCTGACGTAGAACTGATAATAGACCAGTATAACAGATTCCATCAAAACTGGAGTCGCTTTCAAGTTTATCGATACCTCTAAAGCCTTTCTTTCTCGTAAAGCGTCTTCATAAATTCGTAATATCAGGCACGGCTACGCCGTGCTGGTACCCCTGTATTCTCTCAGGGGCATATAAGCCGATGGGCTTGGTTTTCTTTTCCTTTTCCTTTCTTACTTTCTTGAATACCCACCATAGTCACCTTTTTCTTCCCTTCCCTTTTCCTTTTCCTCTTGTCTTCAGCTCGACGAATCCAAGTTCCTTGAGTCCCTCGGCGAGGGGGGATGAGTCTCTCATTCCAGGGAAATCCTTGGCTGGGTAGACGCGGAAGGGTTCAGACCATACTTCGGCGAGGATAGGCATGGGCTGGCCGGTGTCTTCCACGTGCCCCCAGTTTATGAGCCGGAACTGGAGTCGATATAATCCAGCGGTACGGATTGACAAGTCAGAGAAGATGAAGAATGCCGCTGCTTGTTGCGTTTCAGGTACCTCTTTAGAAACTCTCTGTGTCATGCAATCTTCACTTGTCGGGTGGGTAGGGGACGTTGCAGGGTCTGGATCTGCGTCGACGTAAAAGGGGGAGACGAATGATTTCCCAGAGAGTAAAGGCGTAGACTGGCCTGGGGCATTTCCATTCGACCCAGCTAGGCTTTCGCGAACGGCACCTTCCCTATCCATGTCTGAAGAGGCTTGCTGGGAGGAAGTCACTGCTGGGAATAGTAGACAGCTAACTGCAAACCTTGGATCTTGCAAGATTCCTATGTCTTGTTCCGAACCCGGGTCAAAGTCGGTTAGGAGCATTTGGATTATGGGTGGTGGATCTACCGGCCGTCGGTCTCGGTCACCAGCACCGCATGCCCTTGCCGCTATTGGCTGTTGTCGAATGTGTAGATGGTAGCGGGATGCTCTTGAAGGTCGCCGCCGTGGGGGTGGGGACGGCACCGGTGAGTGGTGAATCAGGTTCTCAAACCCTGAAGGCAGGCCGGAGGGCGTCTGACGCTGTGACTGCGGCGCCTGATACTTTGTAGTGGGATTGGTGGTGAATATTGCCGAACCCTTATCGGAATGAACGGGGCTTGGAAACGTCGCGGAAGAACTACTGTACCTGATTGAACCCAGTTAGAAAATAGGAAGGTATGCGTAGCGAAGCGCCCCTGAAAGCACGCATTCTGTTTGGTTGAACCCAGAAAGATCCATAACGACCAGGAGCGACATCTGGAGCTTAAGAAAAGGGGGAGTTACAGAGATTCTACATCGTTTGCCCGCCCGGTGGAGCCTATAGAACCACGACTTTGATTTGATGTCTCATAATAGGAACCTGACGGTCCGCTATAGTCAACGTTTTTCGAAACGATTGACCGCTGCGCTGCAAATGGAGCAAGAGGCCCATGAGTCCCAGAAGTGATGCTATATCGGTGCTCTGCGTTGCTGTCCCGTCTTGCTCCTTCGAACACAAGTCTAGGAGGATTCGAGGGAATTGGCGTAGGATCATAGCTCTGACTATCGGGAAAGAGGAACCGCGGAGGTTCTTGAGCTGGGTATGGGTGACTAGGGATTGTTGCTGTTCCTTTCTCTGCATCGCCACGAGTGCTCGTATCGGGATACTGGCAGTCGGAAAGGGGTTGCATCCATTGTGGCAATGGGGTTTTCGACATCTATGCAGATGTATATTAAGGCTGATAGACTCTCGCCTGCTTTTTGCGTCCACTTGGCTTCTGATGCTGGCAAACGACGGGCGGTGGCTTCCCGGTTGCTGCAAGGTGGGCATCCGTCAGGATAGCAGGCAAGATGGCAATCACGTTATCGTAAGCGTTTGAGGAGAAGATATATAAGACTGCAGAGACTATTGACTGAGAATGGACGATGAAGCAAAGCGGGACACCCGTATGCCATGTACACGACTCTAGCAATTCGACGGCTACGACTTGGAACAGAATCCACGGCGATTCTGTACTGTCGGGCCCTGTCCTCGAATGACAAGGACGCGAAGATGACTACCCACCGGCGGCCGACTCCTTGAGCGTATCAAGTATATGCTGATTTGAGTAAAATGCGTTTTGTTAGCCTGCTTTAACTTGCAAGGCAGAACAACAGGGCAGTTGCACGAGGGGCAAGAAAAAGAAATAACCCAGGAAAAAGAAAAGCGCGAATCATCGTCCAAACAGAATAGATAAACATCGGTACAACTCACACTAGAAATAACAATACAAAATGATACTCTAAAAACCTAAGTGTGTGAAACAGAGCGTCTGGTGACCAATTCAGTCCTAAACAAGGCAGGAGGAGAGAGCGTCGCGACGGTCGTACCAACCTTGTAATCGCAGTATCTTCCACCCTTACTGACTCTATACCGATCTGTGAACGTGCAGAGAAAAGAGCGGATCTAAGAGTTCAGACTGGACGATGCTCTTGTGAGGGCGTGTGCGTATCCACTGTGTATGTGTGTGGCATTGACGAGCGAACTTAACCCTGCAGCGGCGTTGCGTCCCTGACAGAATCCAATCAAGAATATTCCCGAATTAATTCCCCCGGCCGGTTTCCCGACAAATGAGAAGAAAAATATGGACGACCACGACGAACAACAATAAAAAAGGGGGAAGGGTTGCTTTTTTTGTCCCCTTTACTGTTTCCCTTCAGTAATTTGAAGCTTTCATCGAAAGGTCGATAGAGATGGAATAGTCAGGAAGTGATGCAGAAGCACGATGTGGGTCAATAACAAATGACTATAGTCCCAACTGCGGCCAGTGTAGGCGCTATATAAGCCTGTAGAGAGACTTATGTCCCATTTTGTTTTTTTTCCCGGCGTTAGTCTCTTGCAATGACGCTAAGTATCAAGAGCCGGCCGTGGTGTGGGTAAGGATTCCAAATTCGGGCCAGGGCGATCATGTACCTACTCAGAAGGTATCTGAGAGTCCACTGTTAGGAGCAGATGGATGTCCAATCATTGTCTCGTATTCCTGGGCTCCAATAAGTATATCCTGGTTGAGGGAGGGTAGAGAGGGCCTATCGCTCTGGATTCCCGCGGCTTTTGCGTTATGATTCGTATTGTATTCTCAGGTATCCATGATGTTATCGGTGATGATGACCTGGCCGGGGTACGAATGCACAGGCGATCATGAAATTGAGAGGATCCAACCTAGTCCGAAGGTGAAGATGCAGGCGCAGGAATCCCCTTTCAAATTATCAGAAGACCTGGCGTAGATCAGTTGTGATGGACGAACGCCAACTGAAGTCATACACTTGAGTGCTCCACTTATCCCGAAGCATTTAGAACATCGCAGGGTTGACTCCAGATCTATAGTTACTAGTAGAATCACCTACCAGGATAGTTGTCCCTCTAACGACTGCAGCCCGTTCATGACATGAATAATAGTACTACGGATTTGTGGGGGGTTCAAGCATCGGACCCGTAGCATGAATACATATGCAGTGGAACAATGAGGCCAACAGGTAGAGGCTTCTACCCATGAAGAACTCACTAGCCTTGCCGAGGATTCATTCTGAGTCGCGGAAATCCTCAGTTGCTCTCCGAACATTCGGTATGTCGCTCGTCCAATAAGAAAATGCATACTTAGGCCACACGGCGGACCCTGGAATAGCCACCGATGCGCAGGGTTGTTGACCGCAATGTGAACGGGTGTACCTGTCAAGTGTGTACTGCGATAACTCTCCCCATCGCCTAATATATTCAGGACACCCAGCTTACAGGGTAGGGGTAGTTGGCTAGATGCCGGTTAGGTAATGGTTGTACGCCGAGCTCGAGGTAAACCATACTGTAAACTTTGAAAACTAAATGTCCACCAGGAGCCCCATCGAGAGATGGACCAGTACTGGAAACTTTAGAAGGCCGTCAATCTTCTATATGCACGGACCATCTCTGTTAGTCAAATTGCTTGAGTTGGACGACATATACAATTCTCCGTGATAATCATTCCAGGCAGCAAATCCGAACCGAGTAAAGCCAGAAAGGGAAAGAGGAGGGGGGAAGGGGGGGAGGAAACAAATAAAAAATAAAAAACCCGGTAAAAAGCACGATCAGTATACCTCGGCTTGGCAAGTCAATGGATGATCCTCGACCACGATTGCTCTGTCCTCAGTGGCCTGATCCAGCCGATTCCCTGCTCCAGTCGCTGTGGCTAACATCCTTATGGTGTGGAGATCATAACAGCGGTCACCGCCACATTGTCATGCGTTCTCAGCTGAGGTTTGTGTACGGAGGGCGTCGTACAGGATTCCCTGTAAATGTATGTTGGCTTATGCCCTAGTCCAAAATGGGCGCTACTCATGCATTAGCACTGCAACTGTTCTTCCTTGGCGAGGGAACTACTGCATGTGAGGTTGCCTTGCCGACAATGGCGAGTTATGTGTCACACTGTTGACTCCCAGACCAACGGTTGTGTGGACAGTGGGATAGTGAACTTATTATGATCCATGAGTGGGATGTTTAGCAAGCCCTGACCTAATTCCCGGAACCTTGAGAACTTTAAGGGGTGTGGCGTACGTCTGTGGGTAACTATCCCTGCAGGCTCAAGATAGCGTCGGTTCTATTTCACTCTCCGATATCCCATAACGAGTGGATCGACTGGAGAGCCAGTGAAGTATCTACCCGTTGTGGATGAATCACAATTGAGACTTGGGGCATTGGAGGACACTCTCCCTGCAAGGCGGGGACACATAATCATACGCATTGATGCTCATCCGATAGAGCCACCGAATGGCATGCTATTCACGCCCTATAGTATTAGAGGGGGTCCCGGTTTTATTCTTTTCTTTTGTTTCTATACGAGGGATGACTCAGCTCACATAGTATAACGATATTGGTCGGATATGGATTGCAACCAATAGTCAATTGCATGTATATTGAAACTGGAACTAAACGGACGAAAAACGATGCCCTCCCCACCGGGCCGAGCCCAAAAAGCTGGCTAAGGATACCACCCAATCATAAAAGCTAAAGAGGGGGAGTTGGGGGCGATGGCGAGTCGACGCGTCCATTCGGTCAGTCGAAATAAAAGGGAAAGGAAGGAGAGTGAAAAGATCAATAATCCATGGTCAAGTGACTTGGCCCAGAATGTCGGGAAGATCACGGGGTTCGTATGCCCTCCGTCATGAACCTTCTAGCTACGTGGGTTTACTCGGAGTAAGCGGATATTTGCCCTCCAGAAACGCTTCTGGTGAACCAGGCTAATAGGCTTGAATCTGGAATCCTATCTAGTACTGCATATTGTATGCCTGTTTCCCTTTTGAGGTCGTCTCGCTGCAAGATATGGAAGTTTTCCACAAATTGAAGCTTACTAGTACTTAGAAAATACTATAGCAGGAGGTCCGACTGATCACTAGAGGATCGATGTACAAAGCTCGCCTCGCATGATGTTACCTCTTACAGTAACGGGGTACGCTGATAATATCCAACCCAGCCAGAGACAAATGAAAAGGACCTGCTAAAAGTGAAGCGCATAAACTTTTCACTAGGTGAAGGCAGTGAAGTTTCTTGCATCTAGAGTACAGAGTAAAGGAAGCGTCGATCGGAAAGGACTGCGGGTATTCCTGGCTTTTTCCCATTTTCATTCCAGGGCAATTCTAGTATGGTATCCAGAGATTTGCGTAGGTGTGATGGTATGCTTTGGGGTTGGGTAAATGCATGGCTCCTATACCAATGTCAGGAAGATGCCAAATTCCCGTGTTGAGAAACCACGTAAACGGCCAGGAAAGGACTTCGGGGAATCTGGGAATAAACTCTATTCCCTGGATTTCCCGGAAAGCCTACGACTATACCTAGTATTTACTAGAAATCCACTCAGCGTGGTCCAATATGTGGACTACCGGACTGCCAAGATGCTATATAGCCTCCCGTTCCTTGTCGATATTGTCTCGTCACGTTTAGACGTGCAGGCTAGGCTTTATTGATTTCCAGGTTTCCAGGCACTTTGATATGCGTACCGACCCACAGAATTCAGAGTGAAGCCCTTAATTAGTCTGTAAATCGTACTTTGTCCGCCACCTGCAGTGCACAGGGCAATAAAACGCTGTGGGGCTCCTTGTTGCAGAGATCTATGCTTACTCGGGACTTAAATGAGACAGGGAGCGGGCAGGGGACAGCGTGTATGAGGTCACTCGCTTGCTGATAATGTACAAATGTATGGCCGGCATATGTATGTGAGCTCGGAATTTTCCGTTTTATATGCCATATTCTCGCAATTTTCACTTAATTGGGGTCCATGGGAAGAGAGAGCCACAAAGACATAAGCGATATCCCTTGACCGCATTTTATCCCCAGTTATGATTTAGCGGCATTTAGATAGCGAGAGAAACAAATTTCACATTATACTTGCATTCATAAATGATCAATGTGGGATGGATCAAGTTTAGTCTATATCATTTTAGCAATTTATCTTCCTCAAAAGAAGAGGCGCACTGTGGTTTTATATTCACATTGACAAATCCTTAACTCTGACCTTACATTCAATAGAACAGGTGGCCTACTTCGAGTGTACATCGGGCGCGACCGGCTGTGCTGGCATGATAGATAGCGCTGATACTCTCTTCATTTGATATCGTGCCACAACGCCACTCGAGGATATGAGAGAATAGAGTGCGGGGAATTTAATGAATGGGATATAGTCCAGGGTATCTGTGAGCGGGAAAGGAAAAGAAATAAACACCCGAAACTGAGAAAAAGGCGAAGAGACAACTGGCAGGAAGGAACACCTCATAGACATCAATAAACAGAAGGCCGAATTACCAAGGAACGACTTGAGACTGTCTTGCCAGAGAACGCCAGTAGGTCGGTCCCTCGTGAGCAGAGAGTCTTGATATTTCCACAATAATTGGTGTGGTTGCCCAGACCCAATCCACGCTTCACCCGCAGATGCCGCAGATCTAGATCATTATATAATGGCTGGCTGAGATTGGGTTTACTAGTTCATTAGTGTCTGAATCTAATGCAGCCAGATCGACTGCATTAGAGGTCTGTGCGTGTCTCAGGTCCCAGGAATCCCCATGAACGTATGATGGGGTGTGGAAAGTACGTACGAGATCAAGCGATCCTTCAAAATACGAGATCTAGCCCTGGATCCACATCAATACAGTACCTTGTACCATCACCCGGAAAGGGAGGATCGACACCATTCTGTTCCAGTGGGTATTTTTCAGGCGAAATCTTCATGACTGCATTGAGGCCAAACGGCAGATCTGGAACAACCCACTGTTTACGAGTGTCAAGAGATCTGCGGCTTTCCCCAACATAAACAATAACAAATCGGCCAAAAGCACGGTCCCAAGCAACGATGTGCCCGGTTTCCTCCCATCCCCGAGCCGGTTTCGAGCCCGCTTCGTCGGTCAATTTAGGCCTCGCAACCAAGTAGCCAAGTTGCATCAGATGTAGGGAACATTCGATCACTAGTGAAGCCCTATTGCTGTGTGGTCGAACACGAAGCAACCCCAAATTGGAAGGTGACCATGGTTCATTCGGTCTGCGTTCCACAAGTGTGTGATTATCCGGGAATTCAATCGTTGACCGCTGAGGGAACCAAAAGAAGTCATAATGTGCAGCCTCCTGAGATGATATTGAGACATGAATCTGGCCCCCTTCACATTCGTCTAGTAAGGTAGCGATCTTACCCAGTTCCAGCATCGATTTTGAGCACCCAATTGCTTCAATCTCTGCAATTAGGCGAACGTTGCTGTCGTACCCAGTACTGTCGCCATCGATTGTCAAAAGCGGCCGTTCCGAACTGATGCAGAGTGGATTTGCGATGCTAGTATGGAGCGACCTCTGTCTATTCCAAGTGACACCAAGTCTCTTCTCCATATCCTCTAGTTGAGCTTCAAGGATACTAAGAGACTCCGTTCCTGCAAGCTGCGGTAGTGCCTCTGCCATACCTCTGGCCGCCAGGAGGCCCCTTAGGTCCTGGAATTTCGATAGACCTGGCAGATTACCATTCGCGGATTTTGAAATCTGTTTTAAATAAAATATTGCTTTGGTATGGCTTCCGACGTCGATAAGAGCTTTCACACAGTCATACGCCGACTGGAACACATGAGGTGAGCCAGGACCTAGCCCTTTCATCATTTGATCCCATAGTTCTTGTAGTATTCTATCGCTCTTTAGCCTTGCGAGCAATGACAAGTATTGCCCAATGGGTTGAGTGGAGTCTTGATGGTCGGCCCAACACATTATACTGTGCAGATTGTATTCTGAACGGTGTCCACCAGCATTCTCTCCTGTAATGATGTTGAGCATCTCACTGGTATCATGGCCTGGTTCCCGAAATGATAAGAGTCGGAGAGAAACAAGAAGAGCGCTGACTAGGGTACCGCACGACTCTGGATCTAACCGCCGAGGACCAAGGATGAGATAACTTTCGATATGCCGTTTCAGAGAAGGTGCCGAAAAGGCGCAACAGGAATAATACATCCCTAGAGTAAATAATGAGCCAGATATGGGTACTCTCAGTTTCTCTAGCCTCGTAATGACCCCATTGATTGTAGAGAGTATTTCTGCATAAGAACTGTAACGCTGGGACCGTTCTAGTACCTGGGCTAAGTTCTTACAACCCTCTGATTGCAACAATGTACTACCGCATTCATCATTCACATTCTTTTCAATCCATACATGTAGTTGCTCAAGGCCCCGTAAACGACTCAGATTTCTCAACACCCGCCACCTTTTCCTATCGGAACCTGAGGTTCCCCGTTGGACAAAGTTCCATAGAGGTGGGGGAGGCGGAGTGTTCGAAGGCCATGGCTCAGAAAAGAGCTCCAGAAGGTGCTGGTCTATCCGTGAGTCACCTTCCAAACCACCAGCTTGCTTTGTAGTTCCTGTCAAGGCAAACCGTAGTAGCTGGGATGGTGTAGACTCGTAGAAGTGTGGAGCTACCCGTTTCGCATCGGCCGAAGCATGCCGGACTAGTGCTTGTGACTGAGGGAGTTGGAGTGGCAGGTTTTGCCTTGGCTTCAGCCAGAGGGGTAAACTGAGGCGTCTATACATTCGTTATACCGAAACGAACACTCCTTTCTATCGTCGCACGAAATCAGGCCATAGTAATGATATGATATGGGGTCCGGCATTGGAGAGCAAAGGCGGTGAAGGGAGACGGTAAAGTCTCGCAAAGTCGCGCTTCCGCTGTTCTTCGATTCTCCCCCTAGGTGTCTTATCTCCGATAATCTCGTCTCGAACCTAATCAACCCAACTTCACTTGTATTATCGCTTCCTGATCGCTCTACTGGCGTTATATCATCATGTCCGCTAAGAGCAGCGCCGAAAAGCCTGCTTCGAACCCTTCCGACACCAACGAGCCCGGCTCTGTCCAAGTCGAGAGACCTAGTGATTCCGCCGAAGGCTCCAACAATGTCCAAAAAGAGTCCGAAGAGGTAGCGGCGAAGTCGGTGGAAGAAGATGACACGGCCGCAAAGGCTCGTCAAAGACGGGAAAGGTTCATAGCCCTCCAGGCTCGCGCGGTAGGCCTTTTCTAATTTTCCCTTGTCCTGGAATACGTCGTATCACCCAGTATTTGGGCTGACGTCAGTGTAGAAATCTGCAACAGAACGGAACTTGAAGGAAACAGCAGCCGAGACGCAGCGTTTAGCCACCGACCCATCACTACTCTCGTCATTGTCTCGTAAACATGCGTTTGCGTCCCATAATCTACTTAAAGCTGACACTGAGGTCGCTGGCGAAGACTTTGAACGGAAACGAGCTTGGGATTGGACTGTGGACGAATCCGAAAAGTGGGATAAGCGAATGGATAAGAAACAGCGTCATCGGGATAATGTGGCTTTCCAGGACTATACGCAAGACGCGCGTAAGGTCTATAAGAAGCAACTACGCGAAATGAAGCCTGACCTAGAAGCCTACGAGCGAGACAAGCTAGCCGCTATTGAAAAGGCCGCTGCTAACGGCGACTTAGAAATTGTGGAAACCAACGATGGTGAAATGATTGCTGTTGATAAGAATGGGACATTTTATTCCACTGCGGATACAATCGGATTTACTGAGAATAAACCCGATAGAGCTGCCGTTGACAGGCTGGTAGGAGATCTCCGGAAAGCAGAGGAGGCTCAGCTCAAGAGGCGGAGAGAGCGCCGTGGCGACGAAGAGGGCGATGTCACCTACATCAACGAAAAGAATAAGCAATTCAACCAGAAGCTGGCGCGCTTCTATAACAAGGTATGTATCTAACCTAACTACTCATTATTCTGGACTGTGGGCTAATTGTCGCGTAGTACACTACGGAAATACGTGACAGCTTCGAACGTGGCACCATGATCTGATAGAAATACATGAGACTTATGTCTATAATACAGCGCAGGGCTTGCCGATAAGCGTTTGGTCGTGAATCTAGGACTATCAGGCCCGCAATAATCACAAAGGGCCATCCCAAGAAGTAACCGTGCAACCGGTGCCCTCTCTCCAAAAGTTGAACTCATAGCATGCTTTTCCTCCAAGCACTCGTCGCCAGAGCTTCAATTTTCTTTGTTCCCACAGCACCGTGTACGGTCTCGTCCTCCATTGCCTCGACCACGGCCTCACCTACCATGTCCACTTGGAAAGGCTTGGTTACCATAGTGCCGAGAAAATCAAGTCTATTACCCAAAAGCTCGTTGAACTGAGACCCGATGAAGCCTCCAAGTGCTATTGGCAGTGTGAACTTTCTGCTCGAATCATACATGAAGGGAGCCCGCATGAAGATATTCCGCATTTCCGGAAGCTTGGCTGATATGATTGTTTCCGCTTCTCGCTTTGTTGTGATGTATCTGCTCGGGAGAATAGGTGCGCCCGCTGCGGCAGAGATGAATACGAAAGTCGGAACATGCTCGTTGGACGTCTCTTGAGCCAGCGCAATCGCTGTTTCACTGAGTCAGCCTTTTGTTGCCTTCCGGCACCCAAAAATAGCATGTATATAGAGAGAGAGCTTATACTGACCTGAATCTCTGTTCATGAGCTCATAAGTCAATTGTCCATCTCTTTCCTTTGCTTCTAATGCCTCGCCTTCCCGTCTTTGTAGGGGGTTTTGGCTGCCCAGCTTCGATGAGCTGAAGGCCCTTTGTAGGCCACTCAGAATGGGTTCTCTTCCTTGCACCACACCTTTGTAGTCGGCCTCCAACAGAATGCCCATGCTGTGTACAACAGCGGTAGCACCGCTCAAGAAAGGCTTGTAGGATTCCGGTTTCAGCATATCCGCCTTGGCCCATTCTACAGAGCTTGCCCAAGTAGGCCGCTCAGGTGAACTCGAAATCGCACCCCAACGTGGTTCTCCGGATCGGCTACAGCATGCAAGTATGAATATTGGCGACCGATTTTATTCGGTATTGTCTAAGGACTCGTACCTGAGAGAGATTACCGACCAGCCCCTGGCCACCGCTGATCTGCATATCCTTGAGCCTAAAAGCGAATGAAAAAGGCAGTTCGTGATAAGCAAGAAATCCCAGTCGTCACCGCGGTAGAAAAGTATACAAACCTAGAAAACCATTTCCGCCCGCAACCACTACTCTTTTCGTGGCCATTTCTGAGTCCCACTTTGTCTGTTTAACGGAATTGGAGCGATAACAAAAACAAAGAATATAAGTACAAATCAAAAGTATGTCCAATGGATCATGGCGGGCGCATCTGGTCTGATCTTCGGAGCTTTCACTCTGGAACCACAGCTTCCGACGGCACCCCATCGTCATGCTTTCCCTCCGCACCATCACGTGAACCCGGCGGCGTTTTCGCGACAAGAATGCCAACCACGATAAGACCCAGACCTTCAAGCGCACCTCTATCTATCGCCCACCGATATATTCTCATTATTTTTCGTCCTAGTATAATTCTTCAAGACTAGCACTTGGCCTTTCCACATTCCACTATGCCTTCCGCGACGGCCACAAAGCGTGTGAGGGTAAGTAACGACCAAGACGCTATAGAAGGAACAAAGCAGCTAACGGCTAACTTCTACAGGGCATCTCCATTTACAGGCCATTTGGTATGATCTCCCCAACTGCCAATTTCGTGCCCCATTCTAATCATCACCAGTCTTCGGCAGCGAAGCCCAACCCTTCGACCCAGCCAAGAAACCCCCCAACGTGCCCGCTGACCACACCCACCAGTGGCGCGTATACGTTAAAGGCGTCAACGACGAAGATATCTCCTACTGGCTCAAAAAGGTCCAATTCAAGCTCCACGAGACATACGCCCAGAATGTCCGGACCATCGAACAGCCTCCGTTCGAGGTAACCGAGACAGGATGGGGAGAGTTCGAGATCCAAATCAAGCTCTACTTTGTCGCGGAGTCCATGGAGAAGCCGCAGACTCTATGGCACAGCCTCAAGCTGCACCCGTACGGGCCTGACGCGGAAGCCATGAAGGAGCGAAGGGACCAAGTCGTGAGCCAGAATTACGAGGAGATCGTCTTCAACGAGCCCGTCGAGCAATTCTATGATCTTCTTACGGGGGGCGCGACGCCGGCGCAACAGCAGAAGGGGAAGGGGGGCAAGAATACTAAGCAAACCGGTCAGCGGAATGTCAGGACGGCTGAGATACCTCCGACTGACTCTCCAGGCAACGCTTATAGTAAAGCAACCGAGGGCAGGGAGTTGGACCGGTTGGCGGAGGCTAGCAAAACAGTTGAGCAGCTGATTAAGGAAGAGAAGGAACGGCTTATTGAGCGGGAGAAGAGGCTAGCTGAACTCCGCGAGAGTGAGGGCGTTCCTGCCAACACGAAGAAGCGATAAGACCCCGCGTTTTTTGTCCTTTGAACGTCGTGAAAGAACCCACTCGTCTCGTCGCTTCGTATCGAGCCATGCCAGCGTCTCCGGTGACTTCGCTCGCTGAGCAGTTTGATGCACATACGTTGTGAAGTTGGAAAGGAGCGCTGTGAGTCTTGCGCTTACCAGACTTGAAGACTTATTGAAAGGTAACCGCCCATATTCGGAGCCTGTACTCCCCGAACCCGCCCATTACGGTGGACTAGACTGGGGAGTCATACCCATGCATTCTCCCAGGAGGTTTATGTCCTTCTTACCCTAGCTAGGAACCACCAGAAGGATCCCCACCATTCACACAAAAGGGGCCTAGATGATCTAATGAATATCTCGATGTTATCTCTGGAAGTTACAACAGTCCGGTCACTCAATTCAGAATAGGAGCATATCACTCAATGAGAATTCCGCATTTAGCCAACAACTTGCTATCCGTACTACCAAGTAATTTTATGTTATCAGACCTTCTCCACAACCCTAAGTCCATAACTCCGGCCGGACATCCGTATCCGCCTCCGCTTCCGGGCCCGAAGATATCCATGGATCCTGTTGCATGTCGGGTGACACCGCTCTTAAGGACAGGGAATCCATTCCACGATAATAGAGATCGGAGTTAGAAGATCACGCTGCGCCATTTTATACGGCCCAAATATGAATGTTCTCAAGCCAACTGGATTCAGGGTCTTAGTAAAGGGCCCGTGTATACAATGACGAATGATAAGATTCCGGAGGAACAATACTTGACTTCCTTTACCTCATAAGTGTTCATTATCAATGAGAAAAAAAAGCTAATTCTGAAACCCTCAATTCCGCTCTCAGGCTCGCTACTATGTACATGAAACTTTAAAAAGAACAGAAAGAAAAAAAAAAAATACATACTCCCCGTATGTCAACACCTAATCCTCGTAACTTGCTGTAGCTTTAGTCGTATCTCGGGTTTGTTTGAGGAACGGTATAAGGTCTGTTCCACCCGTTCCATGGATGCCCCCAGTAACCTTCTCATTCAATTCTTTCATCTGAGTCGTCGTTGACGTGGCCAGATTAACCTGCGCGGGTCCACTGGTCGGTGGTTTAGTTCTTGCCGCCATGATGATGTATCGCGTGACGATTTGTATGTGCGAGTCCCTGAATACTCCCAGAGACATGACCGCAGTGTTGTATGCGTCTCGGATTGGTGAATCAGCCTTGTGACTCAGCGCATAAGCACGAACATTCGTGACCCTGGTCAACATTTCAAGGAAGCGTCGGTGAGGGCCTGGCATGTAATTCCTCATTTCCTATATTGGGGAAGGGATTAATACTTGGTCGGGTGAAATACCTTGATTGGGAAGTAAATGGCACATACCTGCATGAACCCGTTGTTCTTTTTTGGCTGAGCCGAGCCATGATTCTTCATACCCCCGGTAGCGGAATGCTCCACGCCCAGGAATATGTCGAATGTCTGGATTAACGAGCTCTGTGCGTTGCTTCCTCCACTATATTGGTGCCATTTTCCTTGGCCATTGCCAATATCGTAGAAGACGCCATTCGGCAGTCCAGCTGATGCCATGTTTTTACTGCCCGCCAGAAGTGGACGGAGTTGATGGTAGAATACAGACGGGCGGTTCTTTTCGTACATCCGCTCCAGTAGCATGCGAAGTTCTTTGAGGCCTTTGCTGAACGAGAGAAGTAGATCGCTTACACGTTGAGCGTCATCAATATTGACGGCATGAATCGTGTCAAGCATCAACGGGATCAGCTGAGCTCCCTTGGCTTCCAGTGCGACAGAGATCATGAGGAACCATTCTTCATCTTGGGTTCCGGTGAATGTGGCGGTGACTGATAGAAGGTCAGGATCGGTGAGGTCGGCATCAGGGTGTGGAACTGCGAAATTCCATAAGTTAAGGGCTGCGTAGGTTGCACATGGGGGGAGCTCTAAGTGACTCGAAATTTCGATGAATGGGCATGATATCGCAGGGGGCAAGACCTAAAAGGTCGAGTTAAACTTATCCAGAGGGTTAGAGCCGAGCTGACTTACATCCTGAGGCTTGTCACCACCCCAAATATAAGCATGGGTGAGATAGGCAAGTAGAAGATAGGCTCTCCGCCACTCTGGTTCTCCTTGTAGCTTCGACGTGGAAAGAATAGGCAGATTTTCGACGGCCTGCCTGATAGTTCTAGCCTGGATATGGGCCTGTAGATCACCGACAACATGCTCCCATGGCCAGTAGTATGGATTCTCTATTATCGTCAAAGGAGGAGAATCGGGGAGAAAGCCATTTCGAAGGGACACGCCGTAGTCGCTGAGTGAGACGTCAGGAGTATAACGCATGGTGGGATGTAAAAAAGCACGAATGTTCTATAATAGGCCTTTCTGCCCTGGAGGTTATCTTCGGCACGATAGATTGATGTCTGAGCTAACTCTTATACATATTCATCGGTGCATAATGGTCTGATATCGAGGGTAGGGTATGGCGGAAGGATGAGACGGATCAAAAGACGGCTTCCGATTTAATCAATAATTCTAAGATAACATCCCTGAAACCGGTTCGCAATTCCGATGTACGACGAGAATTAGATCTCCACGAGCGCTTATCGAAAAGGGTATCGTCGGATGGTTCCTTCCCATACACGGATGTTGGGGCGGAAGCGGAAGGCCATCCGGCCCTGAAACCCCCAGATCCAATGAGGATACCGAAGGTGCAGCTAAATATGCATGACGTATAAAGTCACGCCTGGTAGCCCCCCAGAATGAGAATGTAATTCATTCTTTGATAATATCGCTAGGTAACTTACTGAGGTCCATACACCATGTCCAATACCAAATCATTCAAGCCTGAGTTCCCCGCAGATGCAGGGTCAAAAGAGTATGCGGTGTCTCTCGACGCAGCAGACCCTCTGGCTTCATTCCGTGAAAAGTTCATTATCCCTTCCAAAGCAAACATCCAGAGCAAGAAGCTTGCAAAGCCTGGTATTTGCTGTCCTTCGTGTCTATTCCCTCCGTGTCTTTTCTGACGGGCTGCTCTAGGTCTTTCATCAGAGTCGTGTATTTACTTCTGTGGCAACTCTCTCGGTATTCAACCGAAAGCCACATCAAGGTATCTGGAAGCACAGCTGGACACCTGGTCATCAATCGGTGTTGCCGGTCATTTCGTAGACCTCGAGGACTCCCCTCTAAGGCAATGGCAATTACTGTCGGAACAAGCCGCAGGGTCGATGAGTAAGATCGTTGGAGCACAAGCAGAAGAAGTTGCAGCAATGGGAACCCTAACAGCGAACCTCCATCTCTTACTCGCAAGCTTCTATAAGCCGACCGCGACAAAACATAAAATCTTGTTAGATTGGAAGGCTTTCCCCAGTGATCATGTAAGAGTGTCATCCCTGAAGGAATAACGGGGCCATCGGCGCTAATACCAACTTAGTACGCCATTGAATCCCATCTTGCCTGGCATGGTCTCAACCCAGAGCAATCCATGGTGCTGATTGGCCCTGATGAGGGTGAATACGAGATCTCCACGGAAAAGATCCTGTCTTACATTGACCAGCACGCTGAAACTGCAGCTCTCCTTCTTTTGCCAGGAATCCAATACTACACTGGACAGCTCTTCGACATCCAGAAGATCACGGCATATGCACAGTCACGGAATCTTATAGTTGGGTGGGATCTAGCACATGCGTACGGTAACATCGATGTGAAACTGCATGACTGGAATGTTGATTTTGCAGTCTGGTGCACATATAAGTACGGTAATGCCGGCCCGGGGGCAATAGGAGGTCTTTTCGTGCATGAAAGACACGGCCGTGTTGATTATAGTGAAGGAGAAGATGCACCGAAGTTCAGACATCGCCTGACCGGATGGTATGGTGGCGATAGAAGCGTGAGATTCAAGATGGACAATAGTAAGTAGCGAAAGACCCAAAAGGTCGCAAGTGCTAATATGCCCTAAAAGAGTTCAAGCCGATCCCTGGAGCAGGGGGTTTCCAGCTTTCGAATCCGTCAGCTATTGATCTTGCATCTCTCTGCGCCTCTTTGTCTGTTTTTGATGAGACATCCATGGCTGATCTGCGCAAGAAATCAATTATGCTGACAGCCTATCTGGAACACCTCTTACTAAAGGATACCACTGACGAAACACGCCTTTTCAGCATTATCACACCAGCAGACCCAAACTCAAGAGGAGCGCAACTCAGTCTCTTACTGAAGCCTGGCTTGTTGCAGGGCGTCGCCCAGAAGTTGCAAGAAGGGGGAATAGTTTGCGACAAGAGAGAGCCTGGTGTTGTCCGCGTTGCCCCTGCTCCCCTATATAACACTTTCACCGACGTATGGATGTTCGTGAATTACTTCAAGGCTGCGCTGGACGAACCCCAGCTGAAGAACTGAGAGATGCTTCATAATAAGCGGGGAACTAGCAACGGTGTGCTGGATACCAAATATTTCATACCGCAGGCTGCACTGAAGATACACTCTTACCTTTACTCAGGCGCTCGAAAAGAGACCGGGAGCGAGCACTATGCAGACTATGATAATCTGCAATCACGATGTCCCTCTTACTCGTTGGATATATTCCTGCACCATGTTAGTCGTAGCATAAGCGCACAACAGGATTAAACAATAGCTAAAAACAAAGTGGATTAATGAATCGATGAAAAGAGTATTGATCCATAGACGGACCAGTGACTGCGCTCTAGTATACTCATATACAGTTAACCCAGCCCGCCCAATGCATTATGTGAAAATTGAAGAATGCTAGCTATTAAATGTATAAGAATAAGTATCACCGCAATATCAGAAATTCCCGATCCCCGCTCTGTTGTCAAAGTTCCGTAGAAACTCTTGCCCTTGTGAAAAGAAGTTTGCAGCAAGAATTGAAAATTCGTCATCTAGCATGTCAGGCTGTGGTGTAGTCCTCGGTTCGGCTGTATACTGGGGACCTGCAGGGAAAGGATTCTGGAGGCTGTACTGTGGGATCGGTGAATGCGATAGTCCTTGCTGAGGGCCGAGTCGAAATGGTTCGGGTAGGGGAGATGTTTGAGATACTTCCGCAGCAAAGGTGGGAGGCTCTGAGTACAATGAATCGCCAAACATGCGTCTTGCAGAATCGGAATCGCTGTTCGAAGAATATTCAAGGATTTCCCAGAAGCGAGAGAGATCTATGAGTAGACTCTTGTTTTGGGCCCCGGATTCGGGCCGATAGGAAGCAGAGACAGCGCCTTCCAATCGCTGTAATCTGTCGGCCTAAGCAGTGCAATAATATGAATTAGCCAAATATTTACACAACATTGTACAAGTCATACCAATCTAGCCATATACGGCCATTTCTGCCCCAGATTTTGTACAAAGTCGACACATCTAAGGAACCGGTCTCGCTTCTCTTGACGGATTGTAGGGTTTTCGGTAAAGCTCAGCTGCAGTTCAATGGTTGCCACGACAGCGGCACTATACCCTATGAACGGATCTGAAACCATGAATGACTTCTCCTCAAAATACTTTATAAAGTGTATTATCCAGGTGGTGTGTGATGATATGAGGTCGGAGGTATGTTGCAGGAATATTTCCGGGATGGTACTTCGAAAGTTTCTAAGGCTCAACGAAAGTAGTAATGGATGGTTGAGAAGGCATAATATGGTATGATATAGGCACTGGTTCAAAAAGAACGGGGCCCAGTAGTTCCGGTTTGCTTGCAGTTCATCAAGTGTCCTTTCAGATAGGCTAGCCGGCTTGAATCGATGGATGTAAGGTACGCGTGTTTCCAGGTCCATCTGGAGTGTGATTATTTTGGAGTATTCTGATTGAGAAGACCACGGTGGTACTTTGGTTGGTTTTCCATGACGACGGACATATCTGGCAGTTTTGGCAAATACTTCACTCAGCATGATCACATAAGCAACTATGCCTTGATCCTTAAGATCAGTCGTCCGAGCTTCATCGGCCATGTCGTTTGGCGAGCGGGGCTGCGGCATGCTAGGGCTCTCTGGATAGTGTGGGAAACCTCCATCAGGTAGATCCAGGTCATCAAATTCCATACCATGAAGACGCTTTAGCAAGCAGATGCTCCAAAAACATCGCCTGCGCTCTTCACGCGCTGCCGACGAGAGCGCGATATGAGGTTCCGATACGAGGTTCGCACACTGTGCTAAGTTCATCGCTAGGCTACTATGAATACTCGAGCGGTGTGTGTTACCATCTAGAGGCCTAGTTAGCAAAGACAAGCCAACTTTCCAAAGGCTATCTTACTTGTGAAGTCCACTAAGCTCAGGAGACATAGGCACTGTAGGGTCGATAGTTCAACTGGTCCCTCTGAGATCCGCCTCATAACTAAACCTCGAGCCACTTCTGTATAACCGCTAATGCGAGCCGCTAGGTCATCAGCATCGCGATACTGATTCTCAGCAAATCGAATGGTCAAGGCAAGAATGGCATATATAACCTCAGGGTCACGGTTTCCAAGACTACTAAGAAAACTGTCCCTGTGGAATAGAGGGAGGGGCTGAGAGTCGCAGTATAGCAAATACAGCTCTGCGATAGCAAGCACATTATCCCATGGAGGAAGAGGTGTAAGCTGACTCAGTGGTAAGGACGATGGTACGGAACTACCCAGAGCAGATGGCATGACTGACATTGTCGTCTGTTGTTCATGCCTCGGGATATTCCTTCTGATGCTCTAGGTTAGCATTCAATTTGATCTTGTTATAGGGTGGTTAAGGTACACTAATGCATCCAGGACCTCACTCATTTTTGTTTCAAGGCTGCCTAGTCGATCTTCCTGTGGCAGTTGTTAATGGAACTGCTATTAGAATCGCGCGCACAATAGCACTTACCAAAGCCTGAGAGATCCGTACTTCTGGGGTAGTAGGCACAGCAGCTGAGTCTCCGAGCCCGAGCCCGAGCCCATTGGCTGAAGATCTTCTCCCTTCTTCAGCATATGCACACTTTTGTTGTAAGCGTGCACAGAGTGAGCATACTGGCTGTTCTCCTGGGCATTTTGCCTTCTTGCGCCTGACATAATACTAAGTGAGATTTTGTAGATTAACTAACTGGATGAACTAACCTGCATGGTTCACACGCCTGCCGGACTCGCTTTGCGGGCCGCCCAACAGATGTACGGTTCATCTTAGCGGCAACTATCGCATGAGTGTCTTGTAGGTATTGTCAGGGTACTGGTTGTGTATATAATTTGGAGCAACCCACTAGTCTACACTCGACGTGGTATGTTATGTTATGTAGAGCATGATTATGCAGCAGTTCACTTAAAATCCACAATGCTCGTAGGGTTCTATACCTGCAGTTGAACATGATTGATATGGAATGGCTTATCCGAGCAATATCCATTGGACGCGGTGTTCTCGGGAGCCGCCGAAATGGCTGACTAAGCCACAGATGAGCTTCGTCCGGAGTCAGCTGATAGGCGTTTTACAATGGTAGCGAGCATTGCGCTCTAAGTTTACTGACAAAAACAAAGGCGGAGGAAGGGGACAAAGATGCGTTGTCTAGCAATTCTCTCACGACTACATAACTGTGACATCAAGTAACTACCGCCAGCTCACAATCATGGAAGAACGGACTTAGTCTTGGTGTCGAGAAGCCACTAGAGATAGGCATAATCCAACGACTATTCTAGCCTATCCCTGGATATAGTAACTTGCGATCATAGAGTAAAGGATGCAACTGAGGAAAGAATCCACACATTGACGCCCTAGCTTATCTTATATACAACGTCGAATATCTTCCTCTCAACCAATTCTTAAAATAGAGATACACCGCCAGTCAGAACAAGGCTGTTTATTTAATACGATAGGACACATGGAGCTTGGAGTGAGTCCCTATTTAATCCTTGCCGAACCAGGTCTTGTGGCCCTGTACAGAAGATCAGTATATAAACCGCAAAGGTGAACATGTTGCTTTAGCTGGGTAGCTAGGCATAGTTCCAAAAGGGCTACTAACGAAGACCATGCGGACCATAGCGTAGGTAGTGGCTAAATCCGAGTTAGCATCTGACCTGAAGCACCCACAATGCCCAGACGATACTCACCAGCGCCCAGGCCGTAGACAGTGAAGAGGTAAGGGTACATGACGTAGCCACTACGCTCGGTCTATGCAGTATGGAGAATCGTTAGGATCCCTCACTTATCCGACACATAGAACACAATTATTTTCGGCATCAACTGACCTTCCACCACTGACGCTTGCCGTCGTGCTGCTGGAAAAGACGCTGGTAGAAAGGGACACGGTTCTCACGGAACACGAACCTAGAATAGCAGAATGTGAGATATTAGTCAAGGCGTTACACGCTTGAGGACCAAATGAAAATCGTTCAACCAATTGAGCACCAAATTCGAAGGCAGATCGGGGCTCAATTGATAGTTCTGTGCGCGGATAGATAATATGGGTAACAATCGAAGTATACATACCCGGCCATACGAGGGACTGTGCGGAACATTTTGACGGTACGCGATTGCGAAAGACTGAGGGGATTGAGGAGAGAGAGAGACGACAATGACAGATGAAAGGCTAGTAGCAATGATCATTCGATGTCGTGAGGTGTGGATCCGGACTGGGTGTCTATTACCACGTGACTTCCCTGATCGCTCCGCCTTTCAGGTGCAACGCTTAGTAAACTATTGAAGTCATGTGATTTCAAGAAAAGTCTAGCCTAGAGTAGCATAGCTTGTTCGCGGTCTCCGTCATGGCCAAAAAGTGTCCGCGGTATCAAGAACTACAAAGGCGAGAAGAGCCAGTCCTTTTACTCTTTAAACCTGATGATGTTTGACATATAAGGTGCAAGTGAGGAGGATGTTCAGAATATTGGCCACTTTTCCTCCACACTTCTCCGTTCATCACTCATGCGACCGGCTCTCCTTCGATTACTGAAGAGGCCATCCGCTCTCTCGGTTCTCGACTCTTTGATATCGGTGCCAATTGGGATCGAACAGTTAGAATCTAAATATCGATGCGAGTGCCAACGGCGCTACAGACAAAGCTCACAACAAGGAGGAAGCGCACAACAGACTAAATCGGAACAAACAGCCAGTGCTGATCTTGGTACACGACCTGCACGACCTCCGCTTAGCTTTCGTGTACACGAGATACAAGCATCACAGACACAATCGACGGGAAACAACGTGCAGGCAACCAATGAGAGTGCTAGTACGGGTGCTGTTGACCCCCTTCGGGGCTTGTTGTTGCACCCAGAGAAACTGGAATTTGAGTCGGATATTGGACACACGAACGACATAGGGACTCGTCTAATTGATAACCCGACCCGTCAACACGACTTTGCCCTCTGGGAGGAACTGCTTCGTTACAGACAACGGCATTATGGGGATAGAGGCACATTAGATATCTGGGAGGGCTTAATGGTCCGGGTGGAAGGAGTACAGCTGCCTGTCACTGGGGACACCGCAAACTTCTTCTGGCAAAGCTTCGTGGATTTGGGCCTGAAACAAGAAGTTATCCTAAAGGAGTTGACGGACTACGCATTTGAGTTATGGGTTAAAACAGGGAAGCGATGGAACAGGCTCTATGAGAGTATTGTTGGAGGGTTCCTCGAGCGTGATTTGACTCAACAGGCAGTGGAGTGGCACAAACGGCTTCGAGATCCTCACCTACCCTGCCCGAACGATATCATACGCATCCTTAGACCTGCCATCAGCGCATCCAACAAATTTTGCACCACGGCGGCTATTCCGTGGAAGCGCGAACGTCATATGATCCCCGCAGGGTTAAGGGCTTTCGAGAATATCTGCCGTGCTACGCATGGGCATCAGATATACGGCCAGACTATATCCATGGTACTGCAGAGTGACTGGGTCGACCATATCTTCCGAATACATAAATTATTGATTGTGCGAGGCGACCACCCACAGTCCTATGAGGAAGTTCAGCCGCTACTAGAGTACACTAAAGGGTATGGTTCTCCTCAATTCTTTCAGAGACTCCACCGGTATGCTAGAAGTCGGTTTCCCGACCAAGTGGAGGCCACCTACGAAGATGACCCTCTCCCAGAGGATGTGTCGGCAGAGCAGCCAGAGGACCAACAACCGGAACCAAGTGGGAAAGCTTGGCTCGCGGAGAAGCCTTTCAAGGATGACTTCGGTGCCAGGCTTTTTGCTACCAAAGCTCTTAGGTTTGACATGATCCTTTCTGGACTACGAATGTTTGGCGTAACAGCCATTGGGCCACAGTCGCTACGCGAAATGGCTATCCGAGCGCATGGGTGTCAAGATATAGTTTCCAAACTCCAGGAACTTCAAAAAGCAGGGATTTCCATAGGCGATAGTGTATTCGCACGACTCCTCCGCAAATTAGCGACGGAAAACCGCGACATCCTTTTGTCCGATTTGCTTCGCAGCGACCAGCATCCGGACGTCCTAGAGGACGCTCAGCTGCAAGAGTCCTTGCTGTTATCGTACTACGTTGCTCGCGACTGGCGTCAGTACAACATGACCCTGGGAATCCTTGGCCAGATCTTCGAAGATGAATCTGATCTAGCTAACGTTCATTTTCGAAAATATTTGGCAGCGGGAGATTGGAAAATGGCCACTCAAGTTGTTGATAATATGGCCCTTCGCGGCGGGACGCTGTCTCAGGACAGCATTGACTATATCGCCGAACATGTTCTCATTCCCCGCGCTCCAGGAAAGGCACCAAGACGTGACGATCTCTCCACTGCAAAAGAAGTCCAATTTGTTTCGCGCGCCTTGCAGCGCGGTACTTCCAATGGTGACTTGGCAGTTACTGAGCTCTGGATTGAGGTGCTGAAACGCCTCGGAATGCTCAACCTCTGGGATGATCTTCGGAATTGCTGTCTATGGTTGGCCCGTCAATATTCTTCTAAGTCGAATATGACCCGATCTATCGTCTCGTACCCAAAGAGATCGCAACGGGACATGGTTGCCCTGTCCCAGCAGCATGGGGATCCCTTCCTCCGGAAGATATTCAGTCGACAGATGCAGGCCGCCATTATTGCGTGGGGTTTTAGGACGCGGGTATCTCAACAGCGCAAGTGGATTGCCATCCATGGAAACGCATACGAAAGCCTTATTCCCTGGGTACGTGGTCTAGTGCTTCTCCGTGAACTGGAAAAAAACGGGGTTCAGCTCTCGGTGGCATGGGTCCGTCGGGCTTGCCGGCATCGCTTGGCAGTACTTTACGGGCGGAGCAGCCTAGTCAATCGCCGTATGAACCGCATGTTACGGCAAGAGAATCCTTACAGTGTCGTGCGAGTCCTCGAAGATATCAACCTTGCATGGGGAGAGCCATACTTGTTTGGGGACCGGGAAATCCGCGATGCTGATGGGATAGTCAACCCTCCTAACCGGACAAGGCGGAGAAGGGTTAAAAAGATGAGGTCAGCTTACCTTCAGAGGGTCCAGCTTTCTCAGATGAAAGAAGTGTATAGTAGTAAAGCGCAGAACTAGTATGTATGATATTAATAATGATACCAGTGGAATATATAGAATATTATTCCGTCCGGTTCATCAAGACATAACATAAAGAGAGAGGACCTCATGATGCCAAGAGGCCGTGGAAGTGGTCGGGGCCACGGCAACGGCAGAATAGGGTTAAACTGGTTGGCTGAGCCACGCATGGTGCGTCACCCTGTCTTTCTAAGAATAGTCGCAAGAGGCAACGCGGCCACCAGACTCCATCCTAAACTAATGAAATACCGTCCCCATGGTCCACTATCAAAGTCAGATCGACCATGCATCTTACTTATCTATTTCCTGCCAGTGGAGATCCACTAGCGGTGTGTTGTTGCCTTGGGTCAACGTCCGTCTTATTTACCCATTGAAATGAAAGGAGAGTGGGGTTTGTTTCTTTGGATCGTGGTCCTCAATCTTTATATCTCTGTATCAGATTCATAGACTGGTCGGAATTTCTCCCTGAAACAAGCCCTTGCGAACTTTCTCTTTGATCCATTCCAGGTTGCACGGACTGTCCCCTTCAGCTTTTGGCATTTCAATAGTTGCATCTCATTGCTACCCCCCTTTCGTCTCCTTTTCTCACTGCAGCTTTTGCATATTTGATATAGCATATCCTTCCTGTTATTTTTGCTCAACATACGCAGCGCAATCAGTATGCGAGGGTTTGGCCTTTTAACTCTGCTCCCATTTGCCGCAGCCAAAACGGTGCTCCCCCGGCAGACGGCATGCAACAACTCCCCGGACCTATGCTCGAAATCCTACGGTGAGATCACTCATCTCGGAGCACATGACAGTCCTTTTATACGAGACGCGTCGACCGGATATTCTACATCTGGTAACCAGTAAGTTAGAGAATGAATGAGCCGGCTAACTGTGCCCGCCATTACTAACCTTATCTTAGATATTTCAACACTACCGTACAGCTCGATGCCGGTGTACGCTTGGTCTCGGGCCAGGTCCATAAAAAGGATAGCGAATGGCACCTATGCCATTCTAGTTGTGAGCTGCTCGACGCAGGAAAGTTGAGTGCGTGGTTGTCAGAAATCAAGACTTGGTTGGATTCCAACAAGAATGACGGTATGTCTGTCATACATTTTTCTTATCTATCACCTCGTGAATTTTCTTTTTTTTTCTTTTTTTTTTGTTGGCTGAAGTTCAAGGACTAACACTGACATCAACTCCCATTCCTAGTGGTAACGCTATTGCTGGTCAACTCCGATGACGCTTCTGCCTCCGATCTTCATTCGCAATTCAAAGCTGCCGGCCTCGTCGATTACGCGTATACACCGAGCTCACAGACATCCGCGCCGAGCTCCTGGCCAACGTTGCAAGAACTCATCAACAAAGGAACTCGGTTAGTGACATTCGTGTCCTCGTTGGATGCGTCCAAGAACACTGTGGCCCCGTACCTCATGGACGAGTTCACCTACATCTGGGAGAACCCTTATGACGTGACAACACCATCGAACTTCTCCTGCAACCCCGAACGTCCGTCAAGCCTCAAGAATGACCTTTCCGCCGCTCTCTCTTCGAATCGGTTGCCGTTTATGAACCACTTCCTCTACCAGACGGTTCTCAGCCTGGAATATCCCAACTCCAGTTACGTCTCAACCACCAACGCGCCGTCCGGTGGAACCGGCAACCTGGGCGATGCCGCATCCAAGTGCAAGCAAGCCTACAGTCGGCAACCGACTTTCATCTTGGTTGATTTCTTCGATAAGGGCCCCGCCATCAAGACCGTCGATAACCTGAACGGAGTCACGAATGCCGTGGGCCGTACCAACACGACCGCCGCTAGCCAGACCAGCTCGGCCTCAACATACTCCAACGTCTTCAAGGGGCTGGTCCAATTGGTCCAACAAGCGCAACTGGGCTCCAGTCCCAGCATGGGCGAATGGGTCTGGGCGGGAGGCGACTGGGGAAGCCTGCTTGGCGGCGGCATCACACTCTAAGCAAAAGCACCACTCCGGCGTCTGTCTACCTCGTTCTTCATTTCCTCCCCATTGTAACATGTTAGTGTGCGTTTAATCTGCAACTTTCTCACGGACAAAATTCAACCAGCGCTGTAATTTCGAGGCCGGGATATGTACAGATTCGCCTCCTGTCGATATTTGTTGGAAATCCACATGGTAGCCCGGGGCACAGGGTTCGGCGTTTTGGGTGGCCATGACTTTGATTATAAACGATCTCTGTGTGTCAATATATATAACACCAGACCTTACCATACCGTACCACGACCATGCAATGTACGTAGCAAAATCCAGCTATTATGGATAAATATAGATACCCGACCTACCCTCCTTTTCATCCCTCACCACGCTAGACATGGCTACACCAATAGGAAATCGCCCTAAACCAACCTGAAAAGATTACTCCTTCCCCAACAACTGCCGTACCTTATTGACCTTATCCTCAAAGGATTGCTCCTTATCGATTCTGTACCACCGCAAAGCAATCCAATAATCAGCCCCGTGTCACCCCCAGAAACAAACAAACAAAAAGCCCCCCCTCCACCAACCGCATCCCCCGACACCCCAGCCAAGGGAGCGCCAAACAAATTTAACCAAAACAAACAAACAAGAAAAGAAGGGGAGGAGAGGAAACTAGACAAACCTCGACCCAACCCGCACATCAGTCTGAATGCGAACAACCCCCTGCTGATGCAACAGCGTATGCGCCTGCCCAATAACCTGATGAACCTTGTCCCAGGGCCCCTCTTGTAACACAAAACATGCCACACCCGTCAGCCTGATCTCCCGCAGTAGATGAATAGCAAATGAACGTTCTACGACCATTCGGAGTAGGAACGGGGAAGGGCATCATACCGAGGGTTGTTCCGGCGCTGTGCATCACGTATTTGAGACCGGATTTCTCGATTAGGCGTTGGACGTCGGCGATTTGGGCGGAGACAGAGGGGGAGGATGTGCCGATCTGTTTGATGCTTCGGATTAGTGGCACTGGTCTGATCCAATTGAGGGGGGGGGGCAATGGTCTGATATGTTATGGTGGGGTGAGGTTGTGGTGTATATGTCGGCGTGCAGGTTGCGGGTAGTATTGCCGGGAGTTGCGTCGGGATTGATGGAAGGCTTCTGGAAGGTGAAGTCGGGGCTTACCGGGATTAGGCAGAAGTCCGCGAGGCAATGGGCTGGTGTTGGGATGGACGAGATATCGGATGAGGCCATTGGGTTGGCTGAGTTGCTGTCTGTTTTGGATGGATGAATAAATGGGTGGATATGGTGGGATTCAGAAAATGGGGGTAACCAGGTTAGGTTTGAAATATCAAAGTTAAAATCTATGAATAGTGTTTGTGCGAGACATACAAGGAAGAAAGAAAGAAAGAATAGATTGTCTGGTGATGCTTGTGATGGAGATGGTTGAACTAAGACGCGGGGCACAGGAACTCAAAATAGATCAATGGAATTATTGGATCCAATTTATGGAGGGGTAATTGAATGGAATCATTTAATGCTAAAATATTCTCTCATGCTAACATTCGTTTCCCTCTTGCTTTCTTTGTCTTTGGCTTTTCTTCTTCATCTCTGTCTCTCTTCTCATCTATATAGGTATGATATCTGTCAAATATTTGTCTACTTTTGATATCATGAAAGTCAAGAGACAGTTTTGATATTCGAAACCCCACTGCAACGACAACCAAGTCGCATCAACAGTACTACTATCATAACCGTCAGCGTCATCCACATCCTTATTGGGGACTGATGGAAACGGCCTCCACTTCTGTTAATCCAGAACGATGAATCTGATTCGAGGTATTTTCGGTCAACGAATCGATTGCGGTCGGATAGGCCATCCTCGTCGCTATTTTGCTATTTTTTGATGATAAAAAAAAAGAACTTAATCATCTTTTACCCCAGATCGTGTCGCGCAACCCCGTCGCGACTAGAAACCCTGATCCCCGTCGTATCAATCGGAATCTAATGATCCTGGAGCAGATGCTAGCCACTGGGATCGGCGCCTTCGATGCGTCCGGCAGCTTCTACAGACTATAATTATAATCAAAGCGGAAGAGAGAAAAGGGAAACCATTGAGCATGTCGACTATGAGAAAAGAGACAGCCGAAGATCATAAAAGATTCGATGAAACGAAAAGTTTAAAAGATAATCATCAGCTCGCCTTCTCTGGGCTAACGGAGTAAAAACAAACAAAAAACAATTATTTAAAAGAAATTTAAATCTCCCGCGAGCCATTGAGCGCAAACTATGGAACCTTTTCTGATTTTATTTTAACCCTTTCGTGGTCTCCATCGTATTTTTTTTCTTTTTATTTTATTTCTTTTCTTCTTCTCTCCCTACCCTTAATCCACTTTGCTTAAACTTGACCCTGCGTCATCGTGCATCTCAGGTCAGCCCTGTTTGAGGGGGAAATACTCCCTTTTTTTTTTTTTTTTTTTTTTTTTTTTTTTTTTTTTTTTAGCATTGAAGTTCAACTCCATGCTCTGAATACCCTCTCCGCATTCCACTACTAACAACTAGTACTGGACTTTCCCTCCTACCTTTCTTGAAAACCGAAATATTCTCTCCAACTTGGGCTACCCCTTTTCTATTCTCTAACATTCGTTCCTGGGCCCTTGATTCATCACTTTACTACCTGGTCCACTGTTCCTCTACGCTCATTCGCTCACCAAGGAAGTGGTTCCAGTGGCAAACCACTGCCAGAATCACGTCGCTCTGACCTCTTTCTATTGCAGTCTCTCGTATAGTTCCTTCTCTCACATGATCCTGTGAGAATACTAGTTGTCCATTCTTCGTCATCGTCGACAGACCATGGTTTGATCTTATTCGTCTGTTGCGCTGAGTACTACGTACAGTTAGTACTTAACTACTTACCGCTGACCGCCTATCAGCATTCTATCTCCAAACCCTTGCCAGTGGTTCGCATTCACAGACGTTTGTGTGCCCGACGCCTTGGAATCGCATACTCCTCGGAGACTACTCCTACTGGCTCACTCGACTCTCCTCCTTTTGCTTCTTTTCGCAAGGTGCATGCGACTCATCGCGCCCGGTCGCCTGCCGGCCGATGCGATTTCCGGGAACAATATCAAAGTCTCCGTGAAGTTGTCTCGGCAGACGTGATCTGATTGGCAACCAAGTCGCCTCAGGCTCCCAAGGCAAACGCCACGGCTGCTGATACGACCAGAACCCTGTACCACGCTGAAAGACTAGATCTGAGACTCTCCACTAAACGTTATCGAGGTGGAGGTTTTTCTTTCGTGAATTTCCTCCGACTGTCTCAAACTAGCCAATCCGAGCCTCAAAAGGTATTACCGTTGAATTGAGAGGTCATATAAAACTCCCTGGGATCTGTACCCTCTTTCGGATCGGTCTGAATTGGCCCTAAAAGAGATAGTAAACCCCAATACAAGAACAAAGAAGAAGCCGAGGCAAAGACGCCCAAAAGAAAAAGACAAGGGAAAAAAAATTGGTTGGGTAGTGGAGGAACGTACCACAAATTGCTTACAGATTGAGACAACCACACAGCCTGATTTTTCTAGGCTTGCTGCTGTGCTGGGCCATTTTGCAATTTCTGAGGAGGCTCTATCCCTTTGGACTCATCGCACCACTACACATAGAATTCTCGTTGCTTTTTCCTTCTCGCCCCATACCACCCCTTCCCCCCTGCTAGTCCCTGGGACTATTTAATCGCAGCACACACACATAGAGTGCCGGGGATTGACACCGAACGAACGGCGTTCGTTCTTTCTCTCGACACACTCAGCACCATATTACTGGGATCAGAGGTATTTTGAAGCAATCAGCTGTGGCCATGGTTTTTCTGCAGAAACATTACTTAATTCACTATCTCACAACTTAACGGATGACGAAGCCCGGCTTACTCGAGCTCCCAATAGGGGCTCAGCTCGTTTACCTAGCGGAGGGTGGTGCCAACGTCATCTACCGCATCGTATCCACCAAGTCGGCCATTGCGTCGAAGAAAGAGTTGCCGATTGCGGTTAATGGTGTCGTGACGGAGGCCTGTAGCGTCCCATCCGAGTTCAAAGGCAAGTTGCTTCGGCTGCGGAAGGACACCAAGTCAGGGATCCCGTACCAGGAGATTGCTCGAAATTTTGACAAAAATATTCGTCCCCTTTTCAAACCGGAGGAGCTGGTGGACCAGGAGCTGGTATGTCTCCCCAGAGGACTGGTCCAACATTGCAATGATCAATTGCGCGCCGCCGAGCTGAGCGGCAAGCGTCCGAAACGACGCCAGGGCATGTATCTGTCCACTACCGAGCCGTTCGGCCTCCTGATCACCGACATGACCACCTTCAGCGACCCAGGAACGGTTCTAGCCGAACTGAAGCCGAAGTGGCTCCTGCAGTCACCGTCGGCACCCACCGCCGCCCGCCGGTGTCGCACCTGCGCTCTGCGCGATATGAAGAATCACGAGGCGTGTAGAACGCGTAGCAATTATGAGCGATCATTTTGCCCGTTAGACTTGATCTCGGAGAAGTTCGAAAATGTTCTGCGCGCCACTCGATCCATTAAGGGCTGTAAAGACCCCAAACGGCTAGCGAAAGTACTCTACTGGAACGGGACAATGCAAAAGCTCCTCGCTCATCAAAGGGCGCATCAAGATGTTGGGCTGCACGGTCCCCTTGCGCAGTCTCGGGACAAGTCACTTGCCATGACCCTCCGAGACTGCACGATGTTTATCAAGGTATGCTAGACTTGCCGTTCGCCGGCTATCATACTAACGTTCATAGATGCCGCGCGACGAGACAGGAACCGTTGAAATCCGCCTCGGCGATTTGGATCTAAAGACGGGGGCTGGCGGCAAAGCGCAATACTGGCTGGATTTAGAGAAGCAGTTGATCTCCGAAGGCTGGTACTTGGGGTCGAAGAGCAGTTCGCACCCGAGCGACTGCGTATTGCAAGGAGCCCGAGGCCATTCGCAGCCGTCCATCTAGCTCCAGCCTTGGTTATGTTCTACCTATCCTTTTTGAAGACCATTAATCATTCTAATAGCGACAGAAGCTACGAAGATCGCATGATGACGATAGACTGCCACTCTATTTTTCTTTTCTTAATCTGCAGGTTACGTCAAGTCTTTTGCATTTCGGGAGGTTTTAGTCTTTTCAATCGTTCATTGCGATATGGGGGTTGTTGTACATTAGTCCTTTCATCATTATATCTAGGTAATACAGACCACAATTTAGAGCTTTTCTTTGTGTTTTACGAGAATTGATATCTTGCAAGAATTGTCTGGTTTTACTTACATTTTGACTTGGAACTACGAGTTAGCGATAACGCCTTCAATCACAGAGAAGCGTTGCTTACTACACACATGCATCTCAACCCCACCCTGTCCTCATCTACATCGACATCATAACATACCCACCTCTTCCAATACAGAAGCCATCAAATACAAGCCGCAACCTCTATCGATCCTCCTAGAAACACGAAAAGATACCCAGAGCGGCAGGTCTGTGATCTCAATTCAATAAACTCAACTTCGAACTGCGACATATGGAGAAGGTCCCGATATATCTACATGGCTTTTCATGCGCTAGGGCCTACCGCACCATTAGATTACGGGCAAAGATGCAGCCGAGCTGAACAGAAGACGGTCACTGAATAGTCGTGACGGGCCACGCGCACATGATACAAGCTCTAGATTTGCTCTATCCGACACGTGTTGCATCAACCGAGTCATGATAAGCTAGTCCACTAGGCGGCTAGGTGGTATGGCTATCCATACAGATCAATGCAGAATAGGCACATCAGTCCCTGCTGTGTCATTGTTTTTGAGGTGCTGTCGCCATCATGATGTGCCAGCCATCGTCTCACGGTCGATACAGCCAGCCACAGATGAAGATTTCAGCGGAAAGGCTTGACAAGGTTTAATAACTCGTACTTTTCCCTGCTGCATTGCGATTGAATAGGAAGGCGTCTTGCTGCTGCGGGTACTCTGTGAACCACCAAGTTTTTGGTCTCTTCCAAAAGTACGAATCCTTCGTCACCTTGGCAGCTTTACCTCTTGCCTCCTGAAGTAGGACCTCATTCATATGCAGGTGATCAGGGATCTTGTCGAACAATATGACTTTGTGGGGTTGACGCAATCTTGCTTGTGGCATCTTTGAGTACAAGGCAGCCCTATCATTTGCGAGTTAGGATCGCCGACTACCTAGACACTGGCGTTATACTACGTCCTATAGCACAAGGCTGTCCGCTATTGGTAAGCACCCGTCTTTTTGTAGTGTCGTTTTGATCTTCCGCTCTAACTCATTAGACTACGATCTGGAGCGGGGCGAGTCGGGTATCCTGCTCATTCTTCCTCTTATTTTCGCCGTCTGCTAATATCTCCGTTGCTGTAGCTGGGTTGCGAAGATATTGTTTTACCTACTCCGATGGCAGCTCTAGTGGAATATTGACTACCAAGTCTGTCGTCTTGTTTTCCCGCTTAGGTTCAATGCTGTGAGCGGGCCTCACAAAGTGTTTCCTCGCATGCTTGCCGAACTCACTTTGTTTTGCATGGATCATTGCCAGGGGACTTGGTTCTGGCCTCGATTACTGTCGCCTACCTGTGAGAACGATGCATGAGACGGGCTGGGTTCGGCTCAGCCAGCCACACTCTTGCGTACTCTCGGTCTATCAATCCTAACGTTGGCGAACAGCCCGTAAAACCCAGCAAGCTTTATTTGAAAGTGTGGTTAGTGTTAATCATCACAATAAGGCAAATGTGCTGCATCCCTATTATCCTCGATGGAATCTCATCACACATGAGGCGCACCTGAATGAACGTCAACTCGCAGGGATAGGTTTTTCCTGGGACGGAACACGTACACCCGAGTGGTACGTGCATTCATTAATGTAAGTTATTACGAGGGGCTCATATGAATCTCTTATGGTGTGTAAGATGTAAGTACATGTGGAATTTCATCCCACTTTCTTGCTGAGCAACACTCGTTGTGTGGAGAGCAATGTTGGTCCGATGACAGTTGCGGCTGCATGAATAATTGACTTAAAGGGGGATGGCAAAAGCCCCAGCAAGCGGAGGAGAGGAGGGTTAGCTTGTTCATGCCTCTGCAATTGTAACCATTTGAGGGACAAATGAGAAAAATGCAAAGAAGGGACTCAGAGGATAGGAGTAATCAAGAACTTCCATTCTGAGTTTTGGGGTCTTTATTTGTGATCTTCTCCTCTGAGATCGTGTATGGATGCTGTCGTGGGCCCATAGGAGTTGTCATACTGCATTTGTGCGGAGGATTAGGTATAGTTTTGAGTTTAAGCCCCGTAATGTTGGGTTCTAAGATATGCACGGTTGGCATCATGCACAAGATAGGTAATCCGAGCTCTTTCTACTGGCTGGGATACGGGGACTTTGGGTCCACTGTTTCATCCGCGAACCGAGCGAAGTCCCAGTACGGAGGTGCCATTGATCGGCTTCTTTTTCCCATTTAGCTTTCAGCTTATTAGGTACTTTGCCCTCAGTGTGGATGAACTTCACCATTGCTTCATGCCAAACTTGCTAGGCGTGTGGTCAGGTATCAACCGTAGTAGAGAGTGCTCTAACATACCTCGAATAGCAGCATGTACACTGGATGCCATGTCGGGAACGTATAGTCGTTATGGACGCAGAATCCGGGAATCTTGCCCTTCTCTTCTGCTGGGTCATTCAGGCCACCCAGGCTTACTCAGGGAGTGGAATGGATACCTGCCAGACGGAAGTAGGAAAGTCCGTCATCCAAGGGACGGTTATGAAAGGCAGTCAATGCTTCCACAAAGAGGGTCAATAGTCTTTGAGCTTAGCATTTCGGACCCTCTTGACATGATGTGATGATTGACCGAGCACCGTCAACTAATGTTAATGGTCTTGTATTAGGATAAGTCACGACTTATGTGTATAGTGACCACACTCGAGTATTCAGCCAGGGTCATATCTCCAGCAAGAATACATGATCTTCTTCATACCTCACCCAATATACAATATAGATCCAAAGTATCTTCAACCGCTATAGATTTCCCAACCAGGCATCCAAACAACAGTCTGACCTCAGTTTCAATAAAGGCTAGAGTGACCCCTTGTCTTCAGAAGTTGTGCGACGATTCCACGAGGGATACAACATACGCTTGTCATATTTCGATCTCACGCCTGAGTACTACACCTGTGTGTCATAATTCGACTTAAAGCTTGTAGAAAGGGAAACTACGTACATACAGTATACTGTCCTGTACCCAATGGATTTTCACTTATCATGAGCATTCGACCTGGATATAGATGCCATCGAAGAATGACATCGCAATACACCACCTGATTCTATACATCTAAATCTAAATACGTCTAAGGATTGGTCCATCCCCTACTTTCAGTCAACGCACGTACCCCAGTCCCCAACTTCAAGAAACCAGCCCTAAATCGATACTCCCAATAAACAGAACACCAAGATAAGATCAAGATTAGATTAGATCCACCAAGCCCGATACCATGTCTCAGATTTGAGTCAACTATCCTAATAAATCAGAAACATCAATCATCTACTTATAGCCTCATATAAAAATAAAAAGCCCATATATCCCCCACCATTAAATAAATAAATCCAGAAAATAAACCAAAACCCTAACTCCAATCCTACCCACCCAAATCACATCACATTACATTCCATATAATCGACCAAAAAGTAAAAACAAACATGCACCCTAGGTAACAACCAGCCCAAACCAAAACACCCCAAAAAAAGAACAAAAGGAAAAACAACCAGAAAAAGAAAGAAAAAAGAAAGAAAAAAGAAAAGAAAATCACCTCCTCTTCCTCCGATCCGCCCCCGCCAACGGCGCCTGCGGAAAATTATACTCCTCGCTCCAACTATCCTTAGCTGGTAGATAAAGTGCACAGTCCTTGAATAGATCCCGAACAAAGCGGATGAAATTCGAGAGGCGTTGTTTTAGGGACATTTTCTCCTGCCTTTTTTTCTTTCTTTCTTTCTTTTCTTTCTTTTCTTTCTTTGAGATTTGTGGATTCTTAACTTTTACTCGACTTTTTTTTTGGCTTTATTCCTAAGGAGAGATAAGTTAGCAAGTACTATACTATCTATTAGACGAGTAAGTGATCGGTATCGGGAGGCACTAGTAGTATGAATGCACGTAACCAAGACGGATAATTCCTTTGTTTCATTTCGCTTTTCTTCCGATTTCTTTCCTTTTTTTGTTTTTCCTTTTTTTTTTTTTTTGGTGGTAACTGGTTCCCTGGACTTGTTTTCTGGGGAGGTCGGAGCAATGTTGTGTTACCTTTACCTATATTGAGCGAGGAAATTAAATTGGGGAGAGATGAGGCGAGGTGTATGCATGTTTCTTTTGTTCTTTTTCTGTTTTGTCTTTTCTTTGATTGGTTGGTTGGTTGGTTGGAAAGGGGAGATTGAGTATGATTTTTTCTAGATGTTTGGGTATTTTCTTGTGGAATATTGGGTTGAGTCTCTTTTTCTTCTCGTCTTTTGGATGTTGCGGGTGGATGGGTTGATGAGTAGGGGGGAGGACGTAGTAGGGTAGGGCTTACCAATAGTGGTGGTACTAGTATCAGGTGTTGGTTATAGGAGGAGGATTCGGGTTACAGTGATAGGAGGTGCATAGGGTGGTGACGTGTCGGAAGTCAGGAAGGATTGGAAGACTTTATCAGAAGGGTTGAATTCGGGCCGGACTGAGATCGGGCATCTCATAATGTAAAGTATATAGTACGAACTGCTATCACCCATGGGTCACCAAGTGGCGTAGCCCGCTCCCATAGGGATACGAACGGCCATGATTTCCAATGAGTACTTCTACAAGCGTCCAGGCCTCTTGGCTGCCTTCCGCCGTCAAATGATCCACCCCCTCCCCATCGGCTTATCTCAGACGACTCCTAGAACTACCCGGCAAAAGACAAGGGGGCGAGCCTAGCTCAAAGTTATGAATGCCATAACTTCATTCCTACAGGCTAGCTAATCCGAATCACCAATTCATACAAAGAACGCTATACCAGGCTACATTAATATAAAAAAAGAACTCGGGAGATCCAAGCGTCTAGCCATTCCAAGGATCAAACCCTAACGACCCGCACGGTACCATGCCTCGGCGGGCTCACCCAAGCAATCTCCGACAGTAGTCACTGCATCAGTTAGCGGCTGTATGTGCAAGCCCCCATGGATAGGAACAGGAAGGAAACCACATACTCTTCAGACCTCTCGCCTTGATCTCCTCCAGCATCCGCCGAGCGAGGTTAACCACCGTTTGTTCGTGGATGTCGTGGGCCAGCACAATGCTACCGCCGGCATTGAGCTCATTGACGAATTTCTCATAGCTGTGGTCAATCCGTGTGTGGTCATTATTCTCGTAATCCTTGGTATCTATACTAGAGGTGATGACCTTGTAGCCTAGATCGCGCATCACGCCCAGGACCTGATCGTTAATATCGAAATACGGAGGCCGCATGTATGTGGGAATGTCGCCCATGGCGGGCTGCAGAACGGCCTCGAGCCTCGTCATCTGTTGCACCGTCTGGTCATAGCTCAGAGAGGGGAGGCTGGGATGGTCGTATCTGCAGGGGTCAGCGCTCTTTTCAATTGCTGCAGGTTGTGGGACGTACGTGTGGGATGCGACTTGATGGCCTTCGCGCCTCATTCGCTGGATCACGTCGGGATAGGCCTGGCTTCCATCCCCGATCATGAAAAAGGTGGATCGAGCTCCGTACTCGTTGAGCAGGTCCAGCAATTGGTTGGTGTAGACAGATGGTCCGTCGTCGAAGGTCAAGGCAACAGTCCCCGGACGGGTGCATTTTGTGATGACCTGCCCGGTAGCCACGTTGGCAGTACCGGATTTGGCGCTATCCGCCGCAGGCATAGAAAAGACCCGTGAGGTGAGAGTGAGAAGAAGAGAAAGAGTGAAGAAAGTATACATCTTGTCTATATGGGGATGTAACGACTGGGGCAGTAGTAATGGGAAGATAGCGACAGTGAGCACTGCAAAGTCCACGAATGATGCAGTAAGGTGTATGATGAAAGTGGGAGAGGGAACCAAGCACAGATGCAAGTTTGAGATAAGTGATTGAAGAGTGAGATGAGGAAGGAAGGAAGGAAGGCAGTCAGTCAGTCGATGCTGCTTAAATAGTCCACTCCACCTGGAAGCAAGAAAATACTCATGATACAACAGCTGTGGATATCCCGGTAATGCTCTAGACGAGGTTACACATAGCCATGGATTCCAAAGAAGTATATAGACGATCTATCCCAGTACTCATCGCTCCATAGGGGAACCTACTTGATATGGTGGACGAATCTTGACTTCACATGATTGCTCAAGGCGCAGCCGCAGAAATGGAAACCACCACTATTGGCCAGCGTCCGGGAAACAAGAGCTTTGACATTGATCCACAGCGGTGGGCAGCATGGTATTTGAATCAGTTGGTATACATCCTGGCTGCGAGGAGACCGTGGTGGTGGCTGGAGCAACAGCCATGAAGAAGGGTCCCTGCCTGCCCTTTTTTCTCTAACCCTAATACCCCTGTTGTTTGATATTCGCTTTGATGCACCTCCCGGGTTCCAAATCAATTCATTGGCTATCACGCGGATACGTATCAATAAAGAAACAAACAATGAAAGGAACAGGTAGGCTGCTCTTAAATCCCGCAAGATCTATAAGAATTGGGGCTACTAGAGCTATTGCGAAGGAGTGATGTGCTGGCCCGTCATCGACCATCGCATGGGATACAGCTCAGACCGCTCCAATTAAGGGCAAAATAAAATAGTACGCTATTTGAATCTAAGCGGGGAATGGGTATGGTCAGTAGTCTCATGGGAAGTTATTCTTCGACATTCGATTCGGTGGTATGTCGCAAGGGGATTAAATGATGTCAAGCAATAGTCTGCTGTCCAGTAATTGATTGACCAGGATAGACAGACCAAGGGATATCTATAGAACACGACCGTCTAGGAACATCCTAGCCGAAGATCGATGCTGCCTTGCAAGCAATATTCCTTTCGCTCTACTCACCTTGCCTTGACACCCATGCTGCTGCGATTCTGGAGATCAAGAGCACGCAATCCGACATCAATTCGTACACGTAGACACTCAATTTGGCCTACACGAAGGAGACCTCGGAGTAGTGCTATGTATCATCACAATAAGCTATTAACGTCCAACTTCCTTCATCTCTCAGCACCTCATAAGAATTAAATACGAATACATGGTACACGAAGTTATGTAACTATAGCGTTGGAGTCTCAATCGACCACTTTTCCCCAGCTGGTTCCATATCCTATCCGATTTCTTTCCGCGAGAGACCCCACTACCTCTTGACATACTTCTTCATGGAACGCTTCTGACCTCTCTCACGCTCACGCTCAAGGAACTTGCGCTGCTCATCAGCGGTCATGCCACGCAGTATGCGCTCCCGCTCCTCCTTCTTGATCTTCTCGGCAGCTAGCTTACGCTCCTCAGCCTTCTCTTCCTCATCCGCGCGACGGAGCTTTTTGATCTCCTCCTCGCGCGAGTGGCGGACCTTGCGCATCACTTCGGCACGGAAGTGAGCAACTGCAACGAGCCTATCGGTGAAACGAAGGAACTGGTTGAATAGTGGCAAGGAAGAGGCATAACCGGAAGCGGAGGAGGGGAGAGACATGCAGATATGGACGCGTTTCCGTGGGGTAGTTTCCTCGATCCTATTAAAAGAAGGTTAGAATATCACAGGGACGAACCTCCAGGGGCACTCACTTCAAAGGCTTGTCAGTAGGCTGATCAGTGACGATAAGATATTTGAAGTCATCACCGGCCTTTTCGATGGCCTGGATCAATTCCGGGTTAAGCAGTGTGTCGGTAATCTCAGCACTTTCCGTCATGACGGTCACCCAGGATGGAAGCTTCGAGTTCTCCTTGGTGAAAGTCATAGAAGCATCGTAGCGATCCTGACGGAACTCGCGCATGTAGTTCTTGTGCACAACAGCCCAGATAAATCCATCGTAGGTCGAGTTGTTCACCTTCAGAGGAGAGGTATCCTTAGCCGGAACCGGCACGATATCCTTCTCCTTGCCATCGAAAGTGTAGGCAATAGCTTCGTAGGTCTCGGTGGGGCTAGGCCAGCTCTCAAACAAGAAACCAAAAACTACATCCATCCAGTAGGTGATCGGGTTGTAGCGCTTCGGCAACTTGATGGCGACGTCAACAAAGGCCACGTTCTGCCGGCCAGTAGCGTAGGAGGCGAATTCTTGGGCCGTTTTCTCCTTCAGGATAGCTTCCGGCGAGGTCAGCACCGAGACGGTCTCAGGTTTCTGAATGCCATCAAACCCGACGACCGCGAACTCATTCTGGAGAGCGGGCGCATGAACCTGAGCCCACTCCCGAGCCTTGCGTCGATTCTTCCGCGTGCCCCAGAGATGGAAGACAACGATCAGCAGGATGAATGGCATGACCATTGCCTCCTGAAGGAAGTCTTTCGGGGAGGTCCGCTCCCAGACCCGATACCATTTCGTGTACGGGACGGCGTCGACGCCCGGGGTACTAGATGCAGGAACACCAGATGGCGCAGCTGCCAGGATAGATGCAGGAGACGGCTCAGGCGCTTTTACGAAGTCGGCAAAGTCTAATTGTGAAGACAGTCACGGTCAGGTCCAGGTTCAACAGGGGGTAATCAATGGCCCCCAACGCAATTGGAGAATACATGGGGTACTTACCATCCTCAACCTTTGCTGACCCCGATGGCTGGGAGCCGCCAAACATGTTCTTGAACAGGCCCGCCATGATGGGGAAGAGTGGAAAGTGAGCACGGACGGGAACTGGGCTGTCAAGAAAAATGGCGACGTGGCGGAGAAAGAAAGAAGGGAACGGGAAGGCTCGTCGGGTCGAATTGACGTCCGTCGCAAAAGCGATCGGTTCAACTTTAGTCTGTGGAGCCGAACTCGAACACGAACCTGAAAGATAAGGCCAAAATCGAGGCTAGTCTACTTTCGACGGAACGGGTAATGAGCTCAAAAAATGCTAAAAATCTCGCATTCAATTTATCTAATAAACAAGTCAAAAAGACAGGAAAATCAAAGAATTCTTTTGTTGCACTTCCCAATCAATACCCCAGAAGACCTTGCCAAACCCACAAGTAAAGATATAAAAAATAGAATACAACAAAGGAAGAGCGAAGTGGTATCCTGCACAAACAAGCAGATAATAACAGGAAGTCCAACGCCAGCACTTTTGTTAGCAATACAAACCATCTAAACTCGCTTCCAAAAAGAAACCAAAAAAAGAAGAAAAAAGGGGGGGGAGGACAAAAAACAAAAGGACTATATAGAGTATACAGGAAGTACAAGGCAGGCTGCAAGGCTGCAACAATTAAAAGTTAGGTCGTATCAAGTCATTAACACCGCAAAACTCGCTGGAGGAACAAAGGAAAATAGAATGAGTGTGAAGAGTTCTCGAATATGATCAAGATCTCTTGCATGGAAGAAGATGATCACTGGCCATATGCCGGTGGGGGATATTCTTCGTGGTCAGGACGGCCCCAGAACGCACCACTACATGAGTTGGTGGGCAGAAGTTTCTCGTCCCGCATTCGACGAGCAATTTCTCCTGCCAGTCTCTCAACCAAGGCCTGGTCCACGGTATTGGCGCTAGGTTTCTCGTCGGTGAATGGCAGGATAGACGAAGGCAGCTGTCGTGAGGGACCAGAATCCTGTTTCTCACTTTCACGTCGGGCGGCGATGTAAGCGCGGACACTACCTCGGGGAGTTGCGTCCACATCTTTGGGTTCGGCGCGGGGTCGAGGAGGCTCAGTGGAAGATACTCCAGTCTCCCGAAGCATATCGGTCGCAATATCGCGGCGAGGCATAGGGCGCGAGATGCTGGGGCGGTGCCGCTCGGGTATCGCAGGAAGGCGGAAATCGCTTTCCGGCGACAAGGGTGGCGTGATCGGGTCATCAGGCTGTTCGTTAAGCACAGGTAGGGGCGCCGAGCACACGGACGGGCTGCTAGCAGTCTCCGTAAAGGAACTTTCATCGCTCACACTCGCCGCATCCTCGCTAGCTTTCGGGCGTCGCAGATCCACCACACGCTTCTTACGTTTCCTGGAATGTGCTTTTGAGTGACGACCGGCCCCCAGGTTCAAGCCATAGCCACTGAACGTATGTGTCGAAGCTGAAGATCGACTGTGGGCCGATACTATGCTGGCGCTATCCTGGAAGGAGGACATGCTTCCCACCTGAGAATGGGTTCTGGAAAGCATGGGGCTCAAAGGCGATGTCGAATGGCCATTCAGGTCGCTCTGGTCGGAGGGCGATGTCCATGCGCGATAAACTACTTCCTGAATGGAAGGGGTGAAAAGAGATAATGTTCGCTGGGAATCTGTAAGAGCCGCCAGTCGTAGGAGGTTCTTCTGCGAGAACAAGGAATGCGCCTCGACGGAGGAATCCAATGAGAGAGAGGCGATTTCCGACTCGTCCAAAGCGTTACCCAACGAATCTACGGGATCCTGCGGAGGGCTAGCCAATGGATCTTGACCAGGGCCCTCACCCGCTACCTTGTCCGTTTGATTTTGCACTTCCTCGCCGGCGCGGTACTCTGGAACCCACAGTCGCAGGGATAACCGATGGATAATGGCGGGTAGCTCGTCCATAAACAAGATGCGTAACTGGGCCTCGATTTCCCTCTGCAAGAAGTCGCGCACGAACGGAATCGAATCAAATGTGGACGAAACCTTCAGCGATTCGAGTGGATCGTTTCGGAAGACAACGGTAATTCCTTTTTGCTTCGAAAAGACCAGGATGACAAAGCCGGATAGCTTGAAATCGGATAGAGTGATTTGAAGAGGAATGGTGAGAGGAGTTCTGAAGTGCAAAGCACGACGGGTAAGCGACATCGGCGTTGGGTTGTGACACGAAAAGCATTACTTACGCTGCAGCCAAGGGTAACGGCGAGGCAAACGAGGGTCTTGTAATCAGGTAGGTATTGAGAGGATTCGCCTGAACGCGCGTTTTGAGAGTCAGGAAGGCATCCCCGGTGTAGGACATCTTGAAGATGCCTCGAAAGCGATCCTCCGCTAAATCACCAATCTCCAGGATTTCCAGATCGGGCGGAATGGAGCCCAAATTAAGCTCGGTTACGATGATGTCGTCGACGATGATGGGAGGTTTCGGCGATTTATTCAAAGCCGCTGTTAAGAGCTCTTGGGCGCGAGTGTAGAAGCTCGCGTCCGCCATGAGCGGCGACCAGTTGAAGTTGAACGCCATATCCGATCATTGAGAAGGGATGGGTTGACTCGAGGAGACCCACGGCGACAGGGGGGAAGCGGGAAAAGGGAAATAAAATACAAAATGAATTAAATGGTAGACAATAATATTGAAGAAAGGGGGGAAGAGAGGAGAGGCGAGGTTGGAGAGGCGTGGTGGAGGGGGGAAAAGGCAGTTTAGCGATGATAAGCCGGAAGTGAAGGGAAAAATCGAGCAAAAAAGGATTGGATGGAAAAGGCCCAGACGAAGGCGACGATTCCCGAGGGCCTCGTTCTCAGAGGGTATGCACTCGCGTGATCTACGCGACGCACGAGCACACTTCCTATCTCTTTGGTTTTATTTTATTCTTTATTTCTTTTCCCTTCTATTCTTACTTCTTTTGTTAAAAGCTAAATAATATAATTTCCATTAATCTATTTGATGCATTATTTCTATAATCATAGTGAAAAAGAAAAGTTCTAGTGTAACTCCCAAAGCGGGAACGGATTACAGGAAGTGAAAAAAAAAAAAAAAATTATACGCCCAAAAATACGTCACTGTACATCTGACCTTTAAAATCCAAATAAATGACATGACACATCCACTCACATACTCTCTCTCCACCAACCTCCACCCTTTCCACTTTTTGATGTTTCCGATCTACTCCGATATTTATCAATGATGCACCGCTTGGGACTTTTTTACATAACTACTGAATACCAGAACAAGATCGCATGATTTTCATTAGTCTACATTTCAAGGGGGCTCTTACAAGTGACAATGGCTATTACTAAGAAATTCCCAGGAAACATTTCTTCCGCTCATCGGCATTTACGCCTCTTCTTACTGGACGCTCCCGTCAACTCGGGGGCATTTTTGTATACTGACCCGGCAACTAGCGGGCCATAACCAGTACTATTCATGTCGATCATTTTGGAACATTATCTCCTGAATATGACTCGAGGCAACTGCAATTTCCCATGATCGCCAGCTATTCCTCTTCGGCGCATGAGATATGTACGATAGGTGACATGGATATTAATATACTTACCCCGTGGGTGGGCCACCCGCAGACTGTTCCACAGACAAGTCTAGAAGCTGCAGTGTGGCTATACAAAGAGTACCTTTGGTTCCAAGTGGTATTTGTACATAATTCCACTGGATAAAACCATTACTAGTAGAAACCGAGTGCAGAACCTGTGAAACTGAGTCTTAAAACTACTTCTACCCGTATCTCCTGCAATTCACTGCAGATTTAAAATTGGTCTGTATATTATATACTACCGTTCAATATATTTTAGTTGTAAAGAATGTGAATCGCATCCAAATGCCACGCTTTCACTGCTCCTCATTCTTTGAAAATTAAACAGATTACCTTGAGATAGACTCGCATAGCATGTCGAGGTCAGGCCGCGACTTGCACGTGTGCATGTGTGACTCGGCGAACATGCCGACTTCTGCTCTTTATTACGTCGCATACTACAAGATATGAACTCAGAGTACCTGCACTGCAAGGAACGTTGATGCCATCCTCCTTCGATGGCGGCAAAAGACACTTTGTTATCCCTCGACCGAGTCATCTACGTTTACTGTCGCGAACTTACGGCCCAGGTGCGATACGTGAACTATCAAAGCTCGAAGAATGGTACGACACATGGGACACTCTTACTGTTCATAAGGATGAGGGCGGGATCCGCAGCGAACGTGATGTATACAGGCCACACGCTTTGCAAACGTAGCATATACTTAGTGACTTCAAACTTGTTAATATTTGCGAGCTTCGGACTCTACAGTCGGTGAAGACCCCGTGTCTTCCGGGTCCGACGAGGACAAACACGATACTTCTTAAAGATAGCCAGGTGTGGGTTTGAGCTAGGCTGGCTCGCGCAGGAGATTCAAGGGTACCATATATTGACGCTGCGCGATTCAATACTGGCCCCGAGACTGTTAGGATATGTTTTTGAAGAGACGTTGCACCGTATTGATTCCATATTTGAGGAAGTCGTTGGATATCGTCCGAGTATTTTGGACCTGCGGATTTGAGGATTCCTACGTCAGCACCGTGGAGAATGAAGGACACTGGACTATGAAAAGGAACAGCGAAATGTAAAGTTTGGCAGAGATATTATCGGATGATTCTAGGAGGGGACGCCCGTCGACGCCCGTCACTGTCGACGATGTATAAATGCGCCGACCTGTTATTGATTTGGATAACGCTTCCTGGCTATATGAGGAGAAAGGTATATGAGTATTTTCGCTAGAATGCGGTACCTGTGAAATTTGTCTCGGAGATCTCATCGTCAGAATATCAGTGGACCAAGGCTGTGTTAAGAAATTTTCAAGGAATGATATCTAGTATCCAGATACAATAACAGAAAAAGAAGTACAGTACCATGTAAATGCTAGTCGTGCCGTGAGTCCCGCTTTATTAATGACTTTTATGTAGAAGTTGATGATTCCCTGGTATCTATGAAGTATCCGCTGGCGATTACAATAACATAGTAGCAGATCGTCTGCAAACTGAATATTCTCAAGTAGAAGAAAAGGAAGTTCAGCCATGTGCTCTGACTTTAAGGGACTTATGCTCCTCTGGGCTTTCCTCCCCGTCCTCCACGCCCTCCACGTCCTCCCCCTCCACCACCGCGACGCCCTCCACGATTCTTTTCGACCCCACCTCTGCGGTCCCGACCAGCTCCGGGACTGAGTGCATCACGAGACTTGTTCCCAGGACGACCGCGCTGTCTAGCAGGGCCATCTCCATTCAAGTCATCTCTGCTTCCATAGTTGAATCCAGGAACGCCCTTCAATCCCATCTTCCCGATGACCTTCTTGTCCATTGGAGGAGGCTCGGGGCATGCCATGCCCTTGATGGCCATTTCGTTTGCGAGTTGAACGAGGCCGGGCTTATCGAGCCGAAGCGGCTTCAGAAGACCGGACCCAGCAAAGAAACCTATGAACGACGAGTAAGCACGTTGCTTTGTCTCATCATCGATGCGGTACATGGCCTGCGCGACGGCATCGGTGCATGAGGCAGCGGCCTCGTTGATCGCGTCGGTTTGGGGGTGGGGTTTGATGGGCAAGTGGCGATTGGCCTTCATGAAGAAAGACTCGGCTTCCGTGAGGAGGATGATAGCGCGGCCATCATTGCCAGCGCGGGCTGTACGACCGACACGATGCACGTACTGTTCACCGTTCGATGGCAAGCCGACCTGGATGACCAAGTCGACATTGGGGAAATCCATGCCACGACCGATAACATCCGAGGCGAAGAGGATTCCGGCGGCTGCTTCCTTGAACTGAGCCGTGGTTTTCGTGCGAGAGCTCTGGCTGAGTCTGGAATGGATCTCAAATACCGGCAACGGAGTCAAGCCCCGGGAAAAGACTGCTGCGAAGAGGGCTACCATGTTTGCGGTCACCCCGAAGACAATGATTTTAGAGTTGTTCTTGGTTTCGAGATTGAGGAGAGAGGTAAGCATGTTAAAGGTGTCTCCCACAGACGGCATCAGAACGTGGTACTGGGGTACTCTCTCATGCGTAGGTGTTTCATTCTTTTCAATGGTCGAAATGTTACAGTAGCCTGGCTTCAACACAACGCTGACCACATCTTTGACCTTGGGCGGAATAGTGGCTGAGAAGCACATGCCTTGCCAGCCAGTGCTTTTTGGGGGAATGAGTTGGAGGATTCGCTTCACATCAGCTAGGAAGCCGGTCTCGAGCATCGTGTCGGCTTCGTCCAAAACCAGAGTCTGAATGTTAGACAGCTTCTCAGCCGTCTCGGGTTCGGATAAGTAGTCTTTTAGTCGTCCCGGGGTTGCTACAAGAATGGACGGCGCCCCCTTCATAAAGCGCGAAAGAGCAGATGCCCGAGCCGTTCCACCAACTGCAATGTGACACTCAAGAGGTCTCGCAAGCTGTGATGTGAGTTGATCACATGACTTGGCGATTTGCTGGGCAAGCTCTCTGGTTGGGGTGATGATCAAGATGGCGACCTGACCTCTTGGTGGCGCCGAATGTCCTTGGAGTAGACAGTGCAATGCAGGTAGCAAAAAGGCAAGGGTTTTGCCCGTACCAGTTTTGGCCTGGACCAGGCAGTCACTGCGCCAAGTTGGAAGTTCAGTCAAAACACGGTGTTGAACTGGAGTCATATACTCAAAGCCCATCGCGCTCACGGCTTGAAGGAGTTTAGAGTCCAGCTTCCCAGCCATGGTTGCGTATGGCTGAGCGCCATCGTTGATTCCGGGGCCTTGCATGAGGGCCAATATATCTATCTCAAGGAGGCTTGCAGTTTATTGCTAGGTCGAACACCAAACACGAAGTAGCACTTGGGGAGAATATAATGCTGGTTGGTAGCAAAACGTGAAGTTATTATTGATACAATGCCAAGCTCCCTGAAAGATTTGGGTTAGTATTCCGAATGGGTCGCTTCTACTACTAATGCAGCAAAGAAATAGTCCCGGGGAAAGGTTAGCAAGTGAATTCTTTCTGACTTTTGCACATGGCTGGCTGTGAATCAATCAATATATGTAGTCTAGACTACCATCAACAACGCAGAGATTTGTTGCCAAGCACGGACATTGGTGATAATTGGGTACGCTATACCTGATTAGGCAGATATGCAGGTTAGACCGACCTTCCCTAAGTAGGTAAGGCTCTGATCATTCCACCAACTATGAGCATGAAAATAGTAGCAGCAGCAGTATACCTACTCAGTTCATCTAATCGAGACCAAAGAAGTAAACAACATCAACTTCCCCAACAAACATCAACAATCCCACCACACCAATATCCCCATTACCACCATCCTAACAAAGACCCACAATCCCTCCCCCTCAAATCGTCTCCTACTACTTAAGGGTATACTTATCCAACTTCTCCCCCGGCTGATCACACATCTGCAACACCAGAGTCTACCCATCACTACTCCAGCTCTCTTCAAACCAATAATGCTGATCCATAGGACTGTTAAGCTCAACCTTGGCCGGAAAAATCCAATTCTTATGATTCACAACAAGCTTGGGCTTGAGACCATGAAATGAGGCATGCACGACCCCCGCAGCATCCTTCGAGAATGTCGCCAGTATGTGGAATGGGGCGCCGGTGCGGAGGCCAGCGAGTAACACAGCCCAGATGTTTTCATCCTTGGCATAGATACTGTAGTTGAATATGCCGTGGTAGTCGGCTGAAAAGTTTGTCGGCTCCCATTTATAGGCTGCTTCGAAGGCGGCTCACATTGTAGTTGCTGGTGGTTTTTTTTTGGTTAGTTTTTTGGGTTGGACATATATGGTTAGAGAGTGTGAAGAGCCAATGCTTACGGGAGGAGAATTGGTAGATGATTGTTCTGTGGGTGGTATATGTAGATCAGTGCTCTGTACATAATGTGGAGAGACGTGATACTAGCCAGATTCTTTTGCTCTAGGGTTGTGGAATTTTGGAATTTGGAAGTGAGATGATGATTTGTGAGGTTGAGCTTGGGGCTAAGCACGTTATATAGCTTTTTAGCCATGTGGATTACATCAGAATTATAATATTTTTGCTTGGAGAAGAGGTGGAAAACAGGAGAACGCAACTCGCCATAATGACTTATGCCATTCGTAGACCACGGTGACAATTATATGCAGGTATTGCAGAGGTCAGCGGGCGAAGGATAGCCCTGGTGCATGCCGCATATAAGGACATTGAGTCCTGACAGTGCCAACGGTGGTAATCTGCGCCTTCTGGTCATGGGTCTGAAGAACTAGGCCCCTAGGTCAGGAAAGAGTGAGATCAATGGCAGGGATTGGCGAAGACATCAATTGGAGGAGTGCAGTAAGTGTGGATTTATTGGATGTCTTTCTGGGTTCTGTCAGCTTTGGCGATACTATAACTAGGACTAATAGGGGCAGGGCATGTCGCTGACATGACTTGCAAGCTGCGTCAGTACAAATCGAACTCTACAATACGGATGAAAGCTGTTTTATATGATGGAGGCAACGCGCGAGATATCCGTATAACAGGTTGATAACTCAGATACTGAGCTGTCTTGTGAATAGACTTGTCTTTCTTCTGGTACGGCAAAAATAATAAAGTAGGTCACAAGAGCAGAGACTGCTAGTTCAGACGGTTTAACATTAGGTCCGAGGATCCATGGGCATTAGACACTTATTAGAACGGCAAAGTTCCAGTCCGCACGCACTACATGGACAGGTCTATATGTATGACTGTATGACTTACGTCCTTCGTAATCTGCCATATGTACAAGGTAATACAGAGACAGTCAACGTCTTGTAAGTACATCCCAGTCACTTAGCCTAGCTATGTATCTTTATCACCCTCACCCTCTAAAAGGGTTGAATAACATAGTTACTGCGGTGAGCTTTATTTCCGGCTTCTCCCATGCTTTTTCCATTTTTCCCCCTTTCCTTTATTTTTGGATTTTAGTTTCCTAGCCATCATTAGAAGTAGTGCATCAAGTTCTGTTCTGTTCCGAAGGGTCCATGTAACCATTGCATACATCGATGCGTCTCATAACTCAGTGACTTACCCTTCAAATTGAATCTCGATCTTCGTATATAGGACTCGCTCTGACCCCACTTAAGTCCACCCTTTGTTCCCAAAGGTAAAAAAGCCCTTTGGCCAGGTGGCAAGCAAGAGAATAGCAGGCGAGGACTTCCTAAACAAAATCTCCACCTTGCAATGCAATCCTACGGACCAAGGCAGATGGTGACTCTAGAACGATGTATTGACCTATATAATCTAAATAGAACGAAACTGGGCTTCCAGCCCAGTAACCGGTACGTCAGGATTAGGCAAGGAATGTAAACCAATTGCGAACATCCGATTTTTACTGCCTTTCACCTCCCAGAATAACACGACGCAGAGATTCCCTCTCCCCGCTCTTATCGACCAAGGTCCAGAACGTCCCACCTTCATTTCCGAGTAAAGCAGCTGGCGTATCAAATTCGGCTATTTCCCCCTCTCCCATGACCAAGATCCGGTCAAAGTCTGCCACAGTCGACAGCCGGTGCGCGATGACCATGAGAGTGGAATCCTGGAACTCTTGACGAATAGTTTGCTGGATAAGCGCATCTGTGCGCATGTCAATGGATGAAGTTGCTTCGTCCATGATGAGGATTTTCGGGCGCGATAGCAGGGCCTGGGCGAGACACACTAATTGACGTTGGCCCTGGGATAGATTCTTTCCCCGCTCTGATATGGGAGAAGAAAGAGATACGGTAGTGTTATTATAGCCTTCCCCTATCCCTTCTGACTCGGAAGTCTGTTCATCGTCTGTAGATCGTGTGAGGCGAACTTTTGTTAAAGCGGCGAGAAGCTCAGAGTCCGCATACTGATCAGATGGGTCAAGGACTGATCGGAGTGTTCCCGAAAATATAACGGGGTCTTGCGGGATAATTGCTATCCTAGAGCGAAGGTCGCGGAGTCTCAGCCTAGAGATATCCATGCCGTCAATGTGTATGGATCCGGACCGGGCCTCGAGGAAGCGGAGAAGTGCCAGTGTCAATGACGACTTTCCTGACCCAGTACGTCCGACGATACCAATGTGCTCATTGGGCTTGATTAAGAAGCTCAGTCCCCGTAGAGCCGGTGGTGAGTCTCGTCCGTAACCAACGACAAGATCATTCGCTTCGATCTCCCCTTTCGTAGGCCATCCAGCTGGGGCATGGACACCACCTTGATGTTCAGTCTCGAGCTGGGTGTATTCTACTATGCGTTCAACGGCATTGAAGTCCAGCTCCAGCTCAGCATACTCCGACAGTACCCAGTCGACGACCTCGGACATCTGCAAGGCAAAGCTAAGGGCAAACCCAGCTACTGACGCATCAACGCCCTTAATAGTCGCAATCAGCGCCGCTGTCACAGTTACGTACTAGATTTAGGAGTCATAGGTTAGTCTTCAGAGTGTATACAGCAATGGGGACTTAGAGCAGACTAACCAAAGCTCCGACCATGTTCAGACGGAACATCATCCAACAATTAAAGATGCGCAAATGCCAGAGAGCCTGGCAATGTGCATCTATCGTACTATACATGCGATGCATATATTGGTCTACTTTATCGAAAGCTCGGATCGTGACTAAACCGTCAACGATCGACCCGAACTGCTCGAACATAGGAGACCTGGCGTTACTCTCTATTCTCTTAGCATCTCTAGCCGCTGTGACATACAGCGAAGCTATATACCAAGACAGAAGTAGCGAGGTAAATCCAAAGCATACCATCAGCGGCGATATAAAAAGCGCTGCAACGATGACACTGAGAAGCGTCATACCACCGTGAAGCATATTGGGCAAGTCCACTCCCAGATCTGAATCTAGCGTACTAAAGTCGGCGCTGAAGCGGTTGAGGATTTGGCCCACGGGCGTGGTGTCCAAAAAGCTCAAAGGGGCTTGCAAGATTCTGAGCAAAAACTTCTCAAATATAACGAGCGACCCTCGAATCGATGCCCTAAACACGAGTTGGTAACGAATGTTTTCAGTTAAAAGGGTCACGAAAAAAAGGCCGATGTACACGCCTAGGTAAGTCCAAAAGCGTTTGTCGGCGGATGAAGACGACAACTGTTGTCCAGAAGTTTCAGCAAATCCATTCATAGCTGACTCAATGTTCGCTTCTGTGGTCGGTTGCGTGTTTGCAAGGTCTCTTGTCCAGATTGATACCCAATATGGTATCGCCAAATCCGCCACAAGGGTAATGCAGAGAGTTATAACAATGGGGATCCAATATAAGTAGCCACCGCAAGCTTTTAGGTATATGCCGTAAATTGACAACTTTACAGCGCCCTTTGCTCGTGTCTCGGCTTCGTAAAAGGCTTTTCCCTTGACATCCTCCTCGGATGGTTTCTGCCGCGAAGCGATCCGACTGTCCGGGCTAAGAACTGGTAAATGTATCTGCTGCGCAACGGGGCCATTACTGTCGGCATGTCGGATAGAGTCGGTTCCACTTGGGTACAAGTCCAGACAGTAATTCTCAGGCTTGCCGGCAAATGAAATCCGCCCATTCTCGAGTAGTACGTAATACTTCATCTCACTCCAGCACAAAGACGTATGGTGCGTAGCCACAATTCGTGTTCTTCCTTTTGCTAAGCTTCCTGTTAACGCTTCTTCAAACAGATGACGGCCCACACGAGCGTCCACCGCGCTGAAAATATCGTCAAGGACAATGATTCCAGCATGACTGTAGAGAGCCCTAGCGAGAGCGACACGCCATTTCTGGCCGCCACTTAGATTAACGCCATTTGCGCCAAGATCAGTTTGATCACCATCTTGCATTGAATCCAAATCATCCTGGAGACAGCATGCGCGTAGGACATCGCGATACCGTTCTGGATTCAGTGGGAGGCCAAATAGAATGTTCTCTCGAACTGTTCCATTCTCAATCCACGGATTTTGGGGGACAAAAGCAATTGATGTGTCGATCGTCCATTCATTGATCGATGCATCATAGGCACGTTGCGAGTGCCTTTGCGGGAAGAGAATCTGTCCTTGGAGCAGGTCTGCCTCGCCGATTGTCGCTAACAGCAGCAAGCTCTTGCCAGCACCTGCTGGACCAGCGATCACGGTGAGCTCTCCACGAGGGAACTGCAAGTTCATGTCGTGTAACTTGAAAGTAGCATTTTCTTCTGCTATGTCGTTGGAAGGCCAAGAGATCGTTGACTGCAGGAAGGCAATTCCTTCCCCATCTTTGTGGCAATTATCATGTTCCGGTAAGTCAAGGTACTGCTCGATGCGCCGCGCGCTCACAATAGCATTCATTAAGTCACTGATTGTTTCTGGGAACATAGAAAGTGTGGTGCTTAGGCCTTGAAAGATGGATAAGGCTGTGAAAGCAATTGAGGGTGATAGAGTCTTGTTGACCATGAAGTACGATGCCAGTGAGATCAGGCTCATGCCAAGGGGGCCAAAAGTCCATACTCCAATCATGACCAGGTGGAAATTGAAGACCCGTCCTTGTTTCTTTATCTCATTGGAGCGTAGGGTCTGCACCCTGTCATTCCACCGGTCCTCTTGAGCAGTAAACTTGATCTGGCGGATGCCCTGTAGCATCTCAGACAAGACGGCCATTCTTCGATCGCTTGCCGTCATGAGCGCATCCTCCGCTTTGCTGTACCCGTGGGCTAGATAGTAATTCAACGGGACCAATACAACTGGGATAGTACAGGTCCATAGGACAGGTATCCAGCCTAGAAGATTTGTAAGAAAAGCAATCGCAAGGACGAACTTAATCATGCAGTCTAGAAGAGTATGACTGTATTTTGCAAAATTTGCAATCGTCACAGCGTCTACCCCTAGAAGATTGGTCATGGATTGCTTCGTTTTTGGTGGTCCATCGTCGTCGCCGTCATCATCATCATCCTCCTCCTCATCATCATCACAGCACTCGCTCGACGATGATTTGCTCTCGGCGCTGTCATGCAACTTCACACTAACGACCTCTTTTATCCTGAGTGCCTTGCTGAAAATAACTGCAGACAGCTGCTCTCTGATTGGTAATTCCAGCTCCATAGTTGCGATCCATTGCAGCAATGTATCCAGCCATGATGATATAAACAGCGATCCCCCCAGGCCAACAGTTGCTATCCATATTTGTTTTTGATTTTCTGCGCGTGCGTCACGCTCTTCCAGCAAACGAAGGGTGAAAAATAATAACACTTGAGGGAGGTAATGTGCGGCAGCAGAAAGCAGTTGCATGACGAGCTGAGCGAACCAGGTAGTCCGGTAGATCTGTAGAAATTTCCTCCATAGCTTTTGTTTTCTGCAAGATTGCCAACGATCATACAAGATTCGCGCGCGCACCTCATATCCTATTGCAGGAAGGTCTTCGGGTTCAAGCTGTTTGTTCTTTGCGGCTTTGGATAAAATCGGCGCTGGCCACGAGAACGTGTATCGGCTGAGAAAGGATACGGTGCGTTGACGATCCACCGGCTTGCTCCCTAGGTATACCTCCGGTCGACGGGAAAACGAGACGTTGGTTAGAGAAAGTATGATTCCCGCTGTGCATTTGACAGCAGACAAAGAGATACTTGTTCCGGATTTATTTAGGCTTGACCACAAGCCATCCAAGAAGAACGCTACGATACTGAGAAGAAGCGATGAAACGGCACTCCAAATTCCTAGCTTGTACCTATCCTGAGGCGAGGTGCGCGAGACGACAACACATCCTTGAAATAACACCGCGACCTGAAAATGTTAATGTACAAAATTCGGACACGGTAAAGTTTGATCCTACCCAAGCAGAGAATTGTAGCCATTGCTCAAGGCCCCGTGGTGTTCTATTTTGACCAGTCACATTCAGGGACGATAATAGGGCTGTCAACACGGCAACAATTGCCGTGATGGAAAGGATCACCCGCTGCAGTAAATCCGAGGTTGCTTTCTCTGACTTTTCTGTTGCGATTCCGTCTTCGTCTTCATAGCCAATTGTAAGGCTATGTCTTTCTATATCTGTGGCTAGGAGCTGTTTGAAGGTGTGGTGTATGTGTGGGATGGTCAGAGCAAAGATGACCGCCGGGTAAATGACAGCCCCGAAGGAGGTGTCGGGCCAATTGTCCATCGTAGCAGGTATAAATCGCTTGGAGTAAGCACTTTGATATCATTCACCACATATTGAAGGCTAACAGCGAGAATAAAAACCAAATGTGTGAGAATCCTGCTGCCTGATGTTGATATTACATACGCGATAATTGACTCGATCTGAGTCTTCGTGACTCACAAGAATATCGGCAAGCGAATTGAGTTCTTCAGGCCTCCAGCTCAGTGGCAAGTATTTATTGGGAATTGGAGTTTGGCAATCAATTACCTCTGGTACATGCGTTTGTCCAAGTTGAACTCACCAGGTACATATTGTAGATATAGACTATGGGAGGGGGAAACTTAAGGAAGCTCCATCAGCCACAATCGACCGAAGAATTTCCTAAAGCGGTTCCCGACCAGGCTGCCATAGTCTAGACATATTCAGGGTCTTTGGGGTAGGTAAGCTTCTATCCATCTATAGTTACTTTGACTATCTAGGCTGACGTTTGACTCTTAAGAAAAGGGATCACATCCACTTACATGAATCGTCAACATACGTCCATGTTACGCAGATGAGAGGCTGCGTCTGGCTGTAGTATGCATATGTAGATTCACCACTTTGGTTGACTAAAGCCTTATAAGGATACTTGAGCTAAAGCTTAAATATATATAACCAAGGTCCATAAATGAATTTTTACTAGCTTCCGTCACTAAGTACTAGTATGGTTTCGCTCATAGCCTTAGTGCTGTCAAGACGGATGCAGGCATGCATGTGTATATATATATATATATTAATATATATATACGAGTCTTGCAATGTAGTCGTGTCGTTCATAATATCAACTAGCTACAATATCCTTAGGGGAGCCCAAATAGCTCTCAAACATTACATATTTGTTGCAATTCCCTACCACAACGAATAAATGTAATAAGAAGGTGGGTAATCAGGAGCAGCAACAACAAATACAGTTTTGTGAGATGCCTTCCTGCCTTGCTGCCTGGAACGCGAGATTGTATGTTGCTAGTCTATTCTGATTGGACCAAGTGATGGACTTATTACGTAAGGCTGCTCACCAGAGCAACAAGATGCGCTAACCCGTTTCTGGAAATAGATCAATAGGCCTTGGTCAACCCCTGACGCTGCTGTTTTTGACAATTTCTCTCTCTTAGTTGGGTCTTGAAGAACGGAATTCACAGTATAGGACCGAACTTGCACCAATAAGCACCAATGGCATTGCCTCTTTCGCCGGCCTTTACAGGCGCCCGCACACCGGACCGGTGGAATTCGAAACCGAGAACGAAAACACGCACAGTTGCGCCGAAACGAGTCTACGGAAAACGAAGAGCGGATGCCCCGCGAGCTGTGTTCGAACAGAGGAGTCCAGAAAAGCTGGTGGAGGGGAGAACAGAGAAGGCCGTTCAGGAAGCTGTGGATTGTATCCAAGCTCGGCTGGCAGAAGTCACGATTAACAAACCTAGAAAAAAGAAAGACAATGTCGACGAGCCAGTCGTGCCCATGGAGCAACCGAATCTTCTCCAAAGTGAACTACCAGTGCATATACCCGAGACCGAATCGATCAAAACCGAAAATGAAGAACGAAATGGAGAAAAGCCTACAAAGGAAAGCCCTCCAGAAAGCATCCCGAAGCCACAGAAGAAATACGAGATGGTGGTGGAAGTCAGAGTCAGTTCGGAACTTACAACATCAAAGCCACAAAAGAAACAAAAGGAGATTATGTGCAATGTGCAAAGGCAGAAACCGACCGAGGGACGAACAAGAAGGAACAAGGCTACGGCTCGTCTGTCATCTGGGTGTGTGCTGGACGACAAGGTTAATTCCTATGTTCGTCCCATTCTGAACGAGGCTCTATCACCAGTCGCCGCACAGAGCGCTCAAAAGTTTGGCTCATGGGCTGCTCGTGCGGGAGACATGCTGGAGGTGGTGAAAATTGCGGAGGGTTCCTACGGAGAGGTCTATAAACTCCGCCTGCGCGAGGAGGTGTGCAAGAAAGAAATGTCTAAATCCAAGCTTGCTCGTCTAAAAGCCTACGGCGATGGCGTGTTCAAGATTGTTCCCTTGCGAGCACAGAGTGGGCCTGGCTCGAAAAAGTTCACGAGCATCGAGGAAATTGTGTCTGAAGTTAAGATGCTCAAGTACTTGGATCCAATTCCAGGATTTGCTCGCTTTAGGGAGATTCACGTGGTTCAAGGTCGATTTCCAGAGTCCTTCCAGAAGGCTTGGGACCATTACAAGAAGACCAAGGATGATTGCTTGAACCCCAATCCGTCCAGCAAGAAAGCGTATCCTGATTCACAGTTATGGGCTATCGTGGAGATGGATGATGCTGGCTGTGAACTTGAAAAGTTCGCCTGGTCATCAATCTTCCAAATCTACGATATCTTCTGGGGAGTGGCAATGGCTCTTGCTCGTGCTGAGGAGTATGCACAGTTTGAGGTAAGCATTACCGATACATCCTAGAACCCGACTGGTATTGACACTTCATTTAGCATCGTGATCTTCATCTTGGAAATGTTTGCATCAGGAGTACCCGGCCAAATGGTTGCATGAATCCGCCGACAGACCTCGATGTGATGCGGCAATCATACTCAAGCGGATTTGGCCTGAGCACGTTAGAGACCACTATTATCGATTACTCACTTTCTCGTGCGGAACTGCGTGTTGAGGAGTCCGGCGAGGTGGTAGAAGTAGCATCGTCAGATCTTGATAAGAAACAGATCTTCGATGCTATTGGACGAGACGAAGATGAGGCCATGCTGAGAGATACTTATAGATAGTGGGTATTCCCCATAACCTACCACAAACCTAAACACTGGCCCGCTAACAGCTGACAGTATGCGTGCTGAGCTTTACAACGGAAACCCCCTTGAGAACGAGAAGATGCCCGACATTCCCGGAATTTGGGCCGAATATGCACCAGGCACGAATCTTGTTTGGCTTCTCTTTTTACTCAAGACTTTGCTCAAGAACAGGAAGGCGGACGTTTCACTTCCAGCACCACGACAGCCTCTCTCCCAATGTTCGCCAAACAAAACACTCAAAAAACCAACCAAATCGGCAAAGAAAGACATGCCCCATACGATTCATACAACGGCGGATGCGCCGAAGCAAGTTTCTCAACTGAAAGCTACGCTCGAGGATAGACTGAACGCTGTGCTGGACCTTTTGCATCTGGAGCATGGCCATGAGGATATGTGCTGTGCTGCCGACTTGGTAGCCTATGCGATCGACTCTCAGTGGCTGGACGAGAGGGACTTTTTCTGATTTCGAGCTGTGTATCATGGAGGCGTTAAGTGGTTTATTATACTTCTCTTCTGGCGCAACTGGTTATGGCTCGTATATATAGACACGGTTTAGCATGGCGTTTAGCAGGAGTCTTGACCTTCGCAATACCAAACTCTTACGTTCATCTGGAATATCTGTTTGCAATACATCATTAACCTTAGTCCCAAGAGTTCCTTACCAAAGGTTCACCCGCGGAACTATCAGAAAATTCCTTCTCTTGAAGTATAAATGAGGTCATTCAGATGACGTTGTGCCGGAACTGAAGAAGAATCTTCTTCTTTACCTCGCAATACCACTGTATCTCCAAGTCTCACCCATCAAACAGGAACACATCCCCCAACCCAACAACCAAATACAACCACAAAAATGGCCTCCAAAATCGAAAACCTCCTCATAAAAGTCGGCAAACAACCCTGGGCCCAACACCTCCGCCGCCTCCAACACACCCACGGCCCCCAAAAATCCCAAACTGACCCGGAATGGGCCAAAGACATAATCCTCATGGACACGCAGCTCCGTGAAATTGGCCAACGCGAGATCTACCTCCGCGAAGAGGTCAAAGCCATGACCTGCTCCGAGCAAGAGCCCCTAACCCCCGAGCAACGAGCCCAGCTCGCAAAATGGCAAATGGAGCTCCAGGACCTCGCGCGTAAATACTGGCATCTGGAGCGCGAGTTTTACAGACGGGAGGCGTCGGTTCCTGCGGGGCCGTTGCAGAGGGCGTACGTGACCTGGAAGAAGAACCCGCAGTGGTATCTGCTGGGGTATTTGAGGGATGATTGTGCGGGGAGGGGAGGATGTTGTGGGCGGAGTTGTGGGTGTTGTGAGAGGGCTAGGGACACAGAAAAGAGGGTGAGGTTGGGGCATTGTACGATTGAGTGTGGGTGTTGTCGGAGGGCGAGGGGGTTTGATTTCACGCATGAGGATCGGCTTAGGTATCGGAAATTATTTGACTGTGATCTCAAGGAGAATGAGGCGTTGTGGGATTCGTTGAAGATGGCGTATGTTTTTGGATTGGCTTGATTGTTTTCTGGGTGTAGTTGCTTTATCTCCTGTTGCTTTGCTATACCCTTTTGTTTATGAGGATGATCTATACTTGTTCGCTAGTATTTGGCTGCTGGAAGATTGAGGATTGTAGCCTTGGATTTCTGTCTTAGATGCTGTTCAAACTAAGATACTTCAGACCGAGACCTTGTTTGTACTGCTTTCTAGCGAAAACCCTTCCCCCCCTTTAATATATGATAGTATAACATTTGAGGATGATGAATGCCTTCAAGTGGGCAGCAAGAAATACCAAAGAAGTTGTAAAATTTTCTATAATTTCAGTTCTAAGGACCATTACGTTCTATATATCTATGTGTTGGCTACTAATTGAAACATGAACGACTATACAGAATCAGGATACAAGTGCTCAACGTCATACACTGGAAAGAAAGAAGCTCATCAGGCTGCCTGCAGTTAAACCCGCTACCAGCATTAAGCTCATGAATCCACCAGCCGGCTCACGCTCATCATCAGGGACCCATTGACCAGCGCCCATCATACAGCTGCTTCCCAGATAGCCATTACTGATACCGAAAAGCAACTGCACAATGAATAGATAGAAGAAATCGCTCTTCACCACGGCCTCCCGACCGCGTATGTTACATAGGAGATAGAGAGGGAGGAAGCCAATGCGAGCAATTGCAAAGATGAACAAAGCCAAAGGCCGGTGGGTTAGTGAGAGCCGGGGGATAAGTACCAACATCCTTCCGGCGAGGTCGCCTGCGTTCCAAAAGAAGAACGCCAACGGGATGAAAACAGCAGGCTGAAACAAACGGGAACTACCTCGAGAATCCCGAACTGACTCAATTTCCGCTGTGAAGACAGGAAACATCATAGTCACTGCGAAACAGAGGAAAAGTGCAAGAGCCATCAAACGGAGTCTCTTGAAGAGACTCCAGAGGCTGACGGTTTTGCCGTTCGTGCCGTTCGTGTGATCGGAAGCAGTGTCAGGCGAGGCTCCCGTAAAATCGGTCATAGTATTTGACCGCTGCTTATTGAGGGAACCGAAGGCAATCAATGCCGATAATGATACAAAAGTGGAAGTGATAAAATATAAGAATGCCGACTTTGATGATTCTTGAGGGGTTTTTTGCTCCCCGGTTTGAACTGGCACTGCTAAAACGGAGAGTATCTGCACGATGCCTGGCAAGACTCCTGCTAGGCCTTGGCCTGCCATGATGGCTTGAGTATATTCTGGCCTTCCGAATCCGGAGACATACGCAAAGACGCCAATCTGATTCATACCAGTCGCCAGGCTAGTTCCGAATACCATTACCATCAGGAAACTAAAATATAATCTGATAGAAGCGTTTTTCAGAAGGCCAGTTGATAGTGCGAGCAATGTGAAAATGACGATATTGATCAGAAGAGAAACCGTAATCTGTTTGGAGTATGACATCCGCTTCTGCAGCTTCGCGATGGTGAACGAGGAGCCTAAGTTTGTGATAGTTGACACAATGAGGATAGAGGACTGATAATGGGCCGCCGCCCACTCATCCGGGCTGAAGCGGTGATAGAAATACGGCGCAGCAGCGAGGAACATGTTCCTGTGGTTGGCACAGTTTGGTCAGCATCATGTATACATAGGAGTAACCCTCCGGCCGTCGACACAGCTGTTGTTGGGTAAGACGTACCATGCCCAGAGCATGGAAACTCCGAGAAGGAAGAATACTCCATATTCAAACCTAGAGAAGCTTGAGACTGGTGGTGTTTGGGAAGATATCGAGTGGCGATCTTCATCGTCCTGCGGAGGATCCTCGAGTGGCTCATAATCCGCCCGGGGAGAGACCCATCTCCGGAAGCGATTCATTGTTTTCAAGTACAGCGTGTGATATTGTCCCCTTTCTCAAAATCGAAACGGGACATAAGATGAGAGTAATCAATCCAGAACCCATTCAGAAAATAAATATATAAGGGTAGTATTGAGAAGAGAACTTTGGGGGGATCATTAAGTCGGTATCATTGGGGAGTGATCGGCAACGATAGGTCACCTGCCCGAGAGGTGGAGGTCACATTAGCCTAACTTCTCCACACATCTTCCAAACTCACCTTAATACCCTAGTCATTTACGTAGATCCCATCCCATGCCACTCTTTAAGAGCAGCAACGACACATGTGTTATTGTTAATCGTGAGCGGAGATGCACATTATATTTTCTCTATCCCACTCATCTAACTATTTAGTGTATAAAGAAGCCGGTCCCCATCATCTGAAAACAGTAAATCCAAAGGTATAGGTACATCCGCAGTCGATCCAACCATTCAAGAGGGAAGTATGGAAGTAAGGAAGTGACAAGGTGAACATATAAAAGAAAATCTCTACAGAGAATGGTACACGAACCCCAGAGAGAGAAGATAGACAAGTTGCCCTGGAGAAGGCAGGCCTTCTATCAGGACAATTATTCCTTCCTCTGCTGCTCACTCGTTCTAGAGGCTACTTCCTCAGCGCCAGCGTCCTCCTCTCTCTCCATCTGCCACAACTTTTCTTGTGTCGTAGGACTGATAGGGGCGCTGGTCGGAGGCTGGGACACATCGCCGCCACTCATTTGCCATTCCATTAATTTCGTAAAGGCACCATCTTGCCGAGAGCTGAGCTCTTCGTATGAACCCTGTTCGGCTACCTTACCATCAGGACCGAGAACAATGATAGTATCCGATCGCTTGATGGTGGAGAGCCGATGGGCGATGCTGATTGTCGTGTTGTTTCCGCGAAGCAGAGCAGCAAGGGCACTGTTCACTAAAGTCTCGGACTCCGCGTCAAGAGCGGAAGTCGCTTCATCCAGAATCAGGATATCAGGGTCTTTAATTAGGGCACGAGCAATGGCAATGCGTTGCTTTTGCCCACCAGAGAGCTGAGCTCCTCGAGGACCAACTTGAGTATCAAGGCCGTCAGGCTAAATAGAAGGTCAGAAACGATCGTAATAAAATATATGCACTAGATCGATACTTACGAAGTCACTGATGAATTGACAATTCGCCTTCCTGGCAGCTGCGACAATCGCAGACCTTGTTGCTTGCGGGCTTCCGTATGAGATGTTCTCCGCAATAGTGCCCGAGAAGAGGACGGGCTCTTGCGACACAATACCAATCTTTCTCCGAAGGGATTTAGCGTTCATCTCACTGATATCCTTTCCATCAATCAGAACCTTGCCCTCGGTGGGGTTATAAAACCGGAGCAAAATGGAGGCAATGGTGGATTTGCCCCCTCCAGAAGGCCCGACAATGGCAACGTTGGTCCCCTGGGGAATCTCGAAGTTTAGGTCCTTGAAGATAGGAACAGCAGGTCGAGTTGGGTAGCTAAAAGACACGTTCTCAAAACGAATAGGGCCACGAGCAGAAATAACCTTCGTACCCTTAGTTGGAGATATTGTCGGTCCGCGATCTTGTAATTCAAAAAGCCGGCTAGCCGCTCCCACCCCCTTCATGAGCTCAGAATAGAAGCTTGACAGGCCAAACATGCTAGAACCTGCATAGGCGGTATACATGAGGAACGATGTCAACTCTCCAATTGTGATGGCACCAGACCCAACCATTCCTCCTCCAGCATAAAGGAGTGCCAAGATCGTCATATTGCCCATGAAACCGGTCTGGAAACAGTTAGATCTGCGAGGTTCTCGGGGCGGAGGGGAATACATACGGAGCTAAAGAAAGTCGCACTAATCACAGATTCTTTCTTGCCAAGTTCGAAGATCTTCCGCACTTGCTTGTTGTACCTGTTAACCTCGATAACTTCGCCAGCAAAAGACTGGCTGGTTTTCACGTTGCCCAAACGTTCCTCGGCAATCTTGGTCAAGTCTCCTAGATTCCTCTGGATCTTGCGACTCAGGTTTCTAATTGCTCTTCCATAAAAGAAAGCCCCAAGACCAATGGGAGGCAGCAATAGAGCCAAAATGCTGGATAGCTTGAGACTGGTGTAGGCCATTAATCCAAAGCCTGCTGCACCACTGACTGCTGCTCGCAAACCATCGGATAAATTCTGCGTAATGCTCTTGCCAACAATAATGGTGTCAGAGCTAAGACGAGAGATCAAGTCACCAACCCGGTTTGCGTCAAAAAACTCTGCATCCTGAATGAACGTCTGACGGAAAAGTTTCGAGCGAAGTCTAGCAACAATGCGTTCGCCAACAATGCGTAGAATGATGATGCGACCATAGTTTGCGGCTGCGCCCAAGGTGAGTACTCCGGCTAATGCTCCATAAAACATGGGTAGGCTAAGACCGAAAAGCTCACTACCCCCTTCGGTCGCGGACTTGGTCGCCACATCCATTATTTTCCCAATAGAGAAGGGAATCGACATGGTGATGGACGACGAAACTAACAGGAAGAGGAAAGCAAACCCAAGCTTCTTAGCCTCTGGCCGAGCAATGGATAGGAGCCTCCATATTTCCTTAAAACCAGATTTCTTTCCCGTGGCGCCGTCTTTAGCTAATTTTGCGCTGAGGTTAATCTGTGCTGCCTGGGCTGCCCTTTCAGATAATTCGAAGCCCTTGTCTGCTTCATCTTCCTCATTTTCTTTCGGTGTAATATTCACTTGAGTATTCGTCGATTGGGCGGTCGTTTTAGATCCTAGGTACCGGTGGGTAAAGAAGAAAAGGCGTATGTTGTACGAGGGCTGCGACTGAGGAATAACACGTCTTAAAGCATTGTTGTAAAGAAATGTCGCAGGATGCTGGAGACGATTGTTGCTACCGATGCGTAATGAAGTCGCAACTCCGGAAAACTGTCGGTATTGTCCACCATAAACTCCAGTCACAAATGTAGGGGTATGAGTGCCTGGATAAAGTCCCTTGAGGATGCTCCCTCTTGGCTGAGCGAAGGGCCTCGCGGTGACTACTGGAGACCAAGCAGCAAGCACCCGGACTCCGCGCATTTCGGATATGTGAAGAGAAGCGGGATCGGACGGCTAATTAGAAGGATGTCATGGGAGAGAGCTGGATGCCATATCTCATTAGACAAACAAAAATACTGTCGCATTCATGGCACTGCAGACACCAATGCCCGCTTCGCAAATTAACACGGGTGCCGGAGTATAGTATTAGTACTAGTCAGCTGCAGCTCGAACACCGCGTGAAAGTCCGTCCGTCTGAGCCCGATAATCGCCGCATGGACGGAGACACAATCGCCGATACTGTTCTGCCGTCGGACACCGCCCGGGAGCCTTCCGCAGTCATCGAAGCTCATCGAGAGCTTTCCATGAGGAGCTCGGCCTGAACTATGCGTTTGTTTTAAGCCTAATTAAACCCCCTGTGATCCTGTATAGTCGTTGGTGGGGAAAATCTTGCGAAATCTTACACGGTACTCGGTTTTATCCTATCCGATATCCTCTTGACTCAATCTTTTATTTTCTACCACTTTGCTATTTATTACCCCACTTGTACTGCCCCTCCTGTGAGCACCGTCTAAAAATGGTGCTCGATTACAGCAAATGGGACGCTCTTGAGCTGTCTGATGATTCGGATATCGAAGTGCATCCTAATGTCGACAAGCGTTCCTTTATCCGGGCCAAACAGTCCCAGATCCACCAGCAGCGCTTGCAACGCCGCCATGAGATCGAAACCCTGAAGTACGAGCGTATCATTAACGACGGTCTCCTCTCACGCATCGACCAACTTCTGAAGTCACTCCAGCAGCATGAAGGCTCCTCGAAGAACCCCGAAGAACTAGTATTCCAATTTCTCATGGAATCTGCGAGCAATCCGTCAGAGGATCAACCCCCTGCCCCGCCGGCAGGTATACACACCCAGGAGAAAGAACAGCCAAAGTATTCTCAAATGATGAGTTCACTGGTGGATCAGGTTAAGAAGGAAATGGGTGACCTTAGCCCCGAGAACCTCCTCAAGGAATACATCAAGGGCGTGCAGGAACATCAGGACAAGGTACAAGGTCTGCAGAAGGAGCTGTTTACGAGATTGGCCGAGCTAGAGAAGGAAGAAAGCAGGAAGATCACAAGTGATCAGCTGCACACCGGGTTCGACACATCCTTTGTAACCAAGAGTGATGATAAGGGCAAAGGGGCCGAAACCAAGAAGGCGGAATCCGTTGAGCTTCTGAATCCCACCGCGGCTTCAGGATCGTCGTCGCAGAAGGCACCCGCTGATGATGATGAGGAAGAAGACCCGGAAAACATTAAGGCTAGCGACCTGGCCAAGCGGTTTGCGAAGATCAACCGGAACGATTACCGTGCTTTGCTTCAGTTCATCACCGAGCACCAAGCAATTGTCGCAGAGAAGGAGACAGATGGTCTGCTAGTCGAAGCATTCAATAGCCAAATGGAAGGCAAAGAGGAGTACGCTCGCCAATGCGTTCACCATGGCTTACTGCTTCAATACTGCCGCTCCTTGGGCCGTGATGGAATCTCTCTTTTCTTCAAGCGGTACGTAAGCATAACTCTTACCATCCCCGGCGGGGTGGTTGTATGCATGGGGAATAAAACAAAGCTAACATTGGCGTATAGTATCACGACAAAAGATCATCAAGCATCAACCCTTTTCCGAAACGATGTCAACGAAACTTACAATAAGATTAAGACTCGTGCTGCAGAACTTACTAAGGACAGCTCTGCATCTAACGACCCCGCTGGTGTTGAGCAGATCCAGCTACATGCTGTTGATCCCAACACTAAGATCACAATTAATATCCCTGCCGCAGAAAGCAGCGAACCCATTGAGATCGAAGCGCGTAAGATATTCGAATCATTTTCCAAGGACTTGCAAAAGGCATTGAGCTCCGAATCTCTCGATGAGGTTAATAAGGTGCTCGGCAAGATGAGTGTCGAGGAGGCAGAAGATGTTGTGGAGAAGCTCGGGGAAAGCGGTATGCTCAGCCTGGAGGAGGGGATTGTCGATGCGACTACTGAAGAGGGTCGGAAGAAGCTGGAAGAGATTGAGGCCGAAAGCAAGGAGAAACGGATTGAAGACGTAGGAGAACCAGGTGGCGACATTACGGAACTTGACTAAGGATGTGGGAGATATGTCGGCTGCAACGTACCTGGACACATATATTCATTTGCATGAATTTGTCTGCATGATCCAAGAATGATGGTTACCCTATTATATGTTTAATAAGCAGCGCTTCTTTCTGTACAGTTTGATTGGCATGGACTTTGTGAATATGTTTATTATCCGGGTTACTTGTCCTGTGTTGTTCACTTGATTGATATATTCATTCTTGTGGGGGTTTACTGGACTATTTGTACGAAACCAGTTTGCGTATTATCTACCTACATGAGATTCAAAAAAAAAAGGAAAATAAAAGAGACCAATAAAAAAACACGGTTGAAAGAAAATAAAGGACGAAGCGTAACCGTAACTGAGAAGGAGATGTGTAGAGAGTATATGAAGAATGAGGAAAAGTGCTATGCGCCTGGCAACGCGGATAGAATATTGATGTCATAATAGATGCACTGTATGTAATCCGGATAAGATCTAGATGCCACTGGCGCCGGGAGCATTCTCATCTTTCTTCAGATCAACCAACATCTGCCGGAAACGCTCCTTTCCAGATCCGCTTGCACCGCCCTTGGCGCCCTTTCCGGAGACGTCAACTAGTTTTGCGATACGATCCCAGCTGGTACCGCCTGAAGAAGTGTCTTCGCGATTGGCGAGGAATTGTTCGGCGTCCGCACGAGTCTGAGCGCGTAGCTTATCGGTTTTATTATTGTAGGAAACGTAAAAGTCATCAATATCTTCTTGGGCCTTCTTGACAGTCGCCTCCTTCTTCTCTTCCGAGACCTCTGCGCGATGCCTGATATCTGCATCTCGCCTCTCACGCCATTCCCTAGAGAAGTCTAAATGTTAGCGTAACGGGTATAGAAGGCACGCCCAGATTGAATGTTTAAGCGCAACATGTAACAAATACAGGAGCCTGGTGTGTATCAATACGCACCTAACGGGTTCCGGTTCCTCCTCTGGTTCTTGATAGCTCGAGTAGCCCGTGGGCGGGAAGGGGGCGCCGGTTCCAGTGATCATGCCGCCAGGAGCAACTTGCTGTTTGGAGGAGTAAATGTCAATTAGATTGGCTTAATTTAACGGTCCTAGTGCCTGCATCCATACCTCATTCTGTGTCTCAATAGCAGGGAAAGAAGATTCGAATCCGGAGATCTCGGGGCCAGCACCCGTTGGAACGTCCTCTGCACCACCGAGTAGATCATCGCCAACATTTACATTATCGGTGGAAGCAACGTGGTCTTGAGCGGTGGCAAACTGTTCCGCATCATCGCCCAGAACAGCTCGCTCACGGGCTAGGAAGTCATCTGCATCTGTGCCATTGGCTTCCACAACTTCCGTTTGACCTGGAGACTGTTAGTACCATACATACATGAGATTGAGGGTGCATGTGGGATTCTAACCCGCAGAGAAGTCTTCCAATGAGGGAAATCGGTCTGCCATAATCAGTATATTCCTGAGAGAGCTTGCTTTAAGGGTAGAAAAAGATATTGATTCAGGAGAGTGGTAAGGAGAAGCTGACGGGAATGTAAGGCTCCAGCTGGCATCTAGAAGCGGTACGGATGGGGTGTTGATTGTCTCCAGGAGGGATGATTCTGCCGGTCTGGGCGGTAAGTAAAGCTTGGGAAGGTGTGACGGAGCTTCACTAAGAGTACTTCTTCCCAACAAACAACTTCCACGTCCACTTTAATTCCGTTACTTGGCCCTTTGATTGTCCTTGTTGTCATTGCTCTTGTATCCCTCTCATTTGTTCTAATCTCAGGATTGATACTCCCTGCATCACAAAGCAATCAGCAGCTATCTTAAGCGTGTAGCCAGACCTCAGTCTCACTAAGCCCTCATTTATTATCTTGAAATAAAGGATCGTTGCCTCGACCTATTTCCGGTCACACTTCCAGTATGGCTTATACAGATGATGCTGTGAAAGCAAAGCTTTCCGCTCTCAATGAGACGCAGGAAGGCATTGTCACAGTTGCGCAATGGGTTATGTTCCACAGGTAATTGAACAGCTGGCTATTCTCATCTATATTATTTAACACCTATGTAATTTATTAGGCGCCACGCCGAGCGTACTGCGCAGCTTTGGTTACAGAAGCTTCGCGATTCTCCAGCGCCCAAGCGATTGAACCTAATATATCTTGCGAATGGTGTGGCGACCCCTGGTTTTCGTTTACATTTGGAGGCTAACAAGAGTTCTAGAGGTTGCGCAACAGTCAAGAGCACGACGGAAAGAGGATTTCCTTATCGCATTCTCACCAGTGAGTTAACCCGCTCATGCTATGGGAATACGAGCTAATATAAGCAAGATCATTGCGGAAGCAACGGCTATCGCGTACAAAGGTTCTTCGAATGATATCCAACAGAAGATCCGACGAGTAGTAGAGGTCTGGAGACAACGAGCAATCTTTGAGCCACCCATTCAGGATGCTGTTGAAGCGCGAGTGGACGGTATGTCTGCTTCCATCCTCTAATAGATGTGGTCGGCTCATTTCAAGGCAGAAATAGATAAATCACGCTCTACGGGGAAAAAGCCGCCTCTGGGCGGGTCACTCTTCTCAAGCCCATCTGGCTCGACTCCTTCCGAGCTTCAGCCCCTTGTTCCCTTACAAGTTGCTCTTTCCAAAGCTACGGTAGCCTCTGGCGCATCCGCTACAACTGCCAATGCCGAGTACGATAAGATGCACGATCCCAACACCCCCCTGCCGACGCCTCCAGTGCATGCAGCGCGACTCAGCCAGTTATTGAAGGCGCTTGCAAATGCCGAGAGCTCTGTATCTGAGGTAATCAAATCCCGGGTAGCACTAATTGATGGCCTTGAGAAACTTCTTGAGACCAATCGCTCGGCGTTGTCAAAGGAGCAATCTCTGGCTACCCAGCTATCAGAAAGAAGATTTGAGACCGAAGCGAAGAAACGTGAAGTGGAGGACGGAATCATGAGGGGTTTGTCCGCTGAAAATTCGCCGACCGTCAATCTTGGAGAAACCGGTGCTGAAGAACTCGTCACTCGCCCGGAAATTGAAGCTCTAACTCCCCCGCCTGTGGAAGCTCTCACACCCGTTGGATCGCCCAAGCAGGAGCCACAAGAGATGGATTTTGCTGCGCAGAACCATTCTCATGTGCCTCCTACTGGCTTCACATTGCCAGGCTTCGGGTACCCAACAGAAGCTGCTGAAACTGGTTTTCAAGATGATGCAAGCGGACTCCATGCCAAGCGGCGCAAGGTTATCCATGAGGAAGAAGACTATGCCAAGTTTGCAGGCGGTGATTTGGATGCCGATGTTGCCGAGCTGCTGCAACAGGAAAGCACTCTTCCAAAGTAGAAGTCTTGGCTGTGCGTGCTAGTTGGTCCTTCGCGAGAAGTTCAGCCGGTCGGCTCGTTTCGATGTGTCCTTTTCTTTGAGCACCTTAAGCTTTCCTAGTGGTGGTCCATGTATCTGCAATGTAATCGATGTGGAAAATATGCATCATATGTCATGTCCAATTGATTGTTCATATACCTTAGCCATTATAAGTTAGTAGTAGCTACTGTTTCATACTGAGGATGCATAATCGTGGCATTGTGAAGTATATTGTAACAGTCGTCTCACTTAAATTATATATTATTACCATGGTCTCTGTTAGGCGAGAGCTATCGATGTATGTCAGGATCAGCCCATTTCCGTCTTGCGGCTTGGGCCGAAGAGGGGCGCTTCTTTCGTCTATAGACGGTTTCAAATGCTCGGGGAAAGATAACAGGTGGCTGTTCGTTCGATTGAGGAGGTTGCTGTGGACGGTCTGGAGCAGGCGCCGGCGAGCTACTAGTATGTCGCTTTGGTTTAACCAGTAGTATAATAAACAATCCTGCGACAATAATAACCAATAGAAGAAGGATTTTGCGCTTTGTTGTACGCCGCTGGTAATTAGTGGCCTATAAATAGTACAACTAGTTAGCATCTTGTCTTGAGACATGGAATAGAACGCCTATAAAGACTTACCACCTTGAGTTCCTTATCCGCTGCTTTGACTTCCGTATTCATTCGTTCGACATTATAATCTATTCGGTCCAGCATGGTACCTTGGTCGATGACCATTGCTTGCAGTTCGCGGAATATGTCTGATAGCTCAATAATTCCTTTGGCAATATCATTGATTTCCCGTTCTCGCTGCATGATAGCGGCATCGTTTTCCCCTAGGAGTCGCTGTGATGTTTGCATGAGGGTTGACTGCGAGAACGACTTGTCCGCATCTGATTCCATTAGGGAGGGATCTGTATAGGGGTTTTGCACGGGTGTTGGGGATCGTTCGAAAGGATTCGCTGCACCCTCTAGGCCACGCAATTCTTATAGGGTCCAGTTAGCTTTTATGGTATAGATAAAGGGGAAATCCTGCAGTCTCACTCTTCAAGTATGTGCTTTGTTTCTTCCTGAACCGAGCACTAGCCTCCTGGACCCGTGCGGCAAGGGATATCTGAATATTTTTCGCCATGGTTTCGTCCCCGCTGCTTACACCACCCTGTTGTTTGGCGTCGCGGACCATAGCCTCAATCTTCTGGACCGCCTTTTGACATTCATGGAAAGAGCGAGTGATCTCTTGCGTGAGCTTCTCAATAACGCTCTCTTCTTGTTTCCGGGCTTCCTCATCCCCAAACCCTGGTAGAAGATGCTTCTGGTGTAGCTTATCTAATTGGGCGGACTTTTGCGCAATGTCAGCAAGTAGCTCGGTCACCTCTTCCTGTACATCGACCCAGCGCGGGGGTAGCACATCCATCTCAATGATCGCATCGCCATCATCATCTAGTCCGTTCGATTCAGATATAAGCCTGTGGCTTTCCTCGGGCTGTGACAATGTATCGGAGAAGCCATTGGATGTTCCGATGTAGCGTGGCTTCTTGGCCGGATGATGCGCGAATGACTGACGGTAGGAGATATAACTGAAGGAGAAGTGATGTTAGTTCTTCCGTCAATGACTATATAAACCTGATGCATAGTATCGGAAAGGATTCATTACAGGTTGGTACGATCTCGCCACATTGTGAGGGAGGAGGGAGTGTCTGGAAATACTTTGCGGTTATCTTAACGGAGTGTCCTTGAGGTTGCCTTGATCATCGTCGGTCAGTGGCTAGAATGGTGGTTAGCCGTGAACCTAGCCCAAGTATGAGTAAGAGGTGCTTGATTTGGCGACAAGCGTAGAGTTAGAGAAAGTAGAGACGTTCATCATATAGATACCGAATACACATGGCCATCAATACTTCCGCAGCTTGATCTCCGAGGATGGCCCACGTGAAGGGAGACAGGTCTAGGCCGAGTTGGGGTTAGCCGCATCAAACTCCCGCGGGCGGATCACGTGCCATTTCTGTACCGGCTGTAACTAGTGTAGTGTTGCCCCCCACAGCATCTCGACCCATAGCGGCCTTGAAAGAAGAGTACTTGCGTTATAGGACACCGATACTAGGTCTGTGTATGTATATTTCTGATGGATTGAAGACAACGATACCTTTTCCTTCAGTATCCTAGGTTTTGTACATCACAAAAGGAGAGAATTAATATAGATTACTTTTAATCACACTATGGGTGATATTAACCAGGTTGTATGAACTGTACATCCCACCGCGATATACGGTCCAGTCAATTAAGAGCAAGGCAGTATGCCCCATATAGTCTTGATGCGCAGATCTATTTGGCGCAACATATGAACCAGGGAGCATCGACAAGGTTCAATCTACCGCACGTTGTATGTTGTTGGTGTTCATAAAGCCTGATGGGGTTCAGGTACCTGAAATTGCCACCACTAAGAACCAGTAACCGAGTAACTATTGCCTTCAAGCTTTCCGTTATGAATGAATGGCGGGGTGCCACGATGCGTCGTCAGCAGCTGAATGCGAGTAGTCTACATAGCATAGTATGTACATACTGGGCTAGGATATACTTAGAACAACAGACTAGTGATCGATTACCTACTCGCTGCTATTATTTTCCCGTAGGCTACAGGATCTAGGAAGGGAATTGATTCTAGGCAGCTGAAGAAAAAGATCGCGCGGTGCTTGACTTTCAGCCTTCCCTCCCTTTATAGGGCGCTCGGAGCACCTGATGGCTCTGGCGGGTCACGTTTTGCGACCGCCTTGCCAGGTGCTCAGCTCTGTGGTCGGCCAGGCTAGCCATTTATTATGATTGAAGTAAGTTGGGTCGGCTCCCCTTAAACAACGCTCGTCTTTCCCTAACTTTCCCCCCACCACTAACTAACATCGAGGTCCCCGTTAAACCTCCCACCTGTCCTCATTTCTTTTATTTTCGTTCCCTTTGGTTATTCTATCGCCTCCTTTGTCATATCCCTTCCATACTCACCATGGTATGCAATTTTCTCGTCCTTCTATCCCAGTCGTGTTGAAAATCCCCCACTTTGCGGGGCAGATCGTCTGGCATTCTGAACGAAATTGCTGACAGCGCATCGTCTAGGCCGACTCTTTGACTGAAGAACAGGTTTCCGAGTACAAGGAGGCCTTCTCCCTATTCGTAAGTTGTTCTACCTATTCGCGAAAACTGATCTTTTCTGATGGTCTTGGTGGAATGCATACTGACTTGAGTTTTCTTGGGCTCCTAATAGGACAAGGATGGTGATGGTTAGTACATCATGTTCCATAAAACCCCCCTTCTAGTGCGACCGACAGTTTTCAGCCGCTATAATCGTCTCCATATTTTTTATTGTTCGATCGGCTGAAGTCTTGGCGTTGATAAATTGACTCGATATGCAGGCCAGATCACCACCAAGGAGTTGGGCACTGTGATGCGCTCTCTGGGCCAGAACCCTTCTGAGTCGGAACTCCAGGATATGATCAACGAGGTTGATGCCGATAACAATGGCACCATCGACTTCCCTGGTACGCGAGGGCTTTCCTACGGCTCACAGACAAAGAAATTCTTATTAACGTTCGATTAGAGTTCCTTACGATGATGGCCAGAAAGATGAAGGATACCGACTCTGAGGAGGAGATCCGGGAGGCTTTCAAGGTTTTCGACCGTGATAACAACGGCTTTATCTCCGCCGCGGAGCTGCGCCACGTCATGACCTCCATCGGTGAGAAACTTACCGATGATGAAGTTGATGAGATGATCCGCGAGGCGGATCAGGACGGTGATGGCCGGATCGATTGTACGTTGAGAACAACTCCCCATTTCTTTTACCCGCTGAGGATGAATGTGGATGTGAATCGCGGATACTGACCGGCTCTAGACAACGAGTTCGTCCAGCTCATGATGCAAAAATAAGCTCTACCTTCATGGTATATCCCGCCAATTGATAAGCGAAGATGAGTGAGAGCAAAGAAATTATTAATCATGTCTCATTCTCCTTCTTGCCATTGCCTGTAGTCTAGGCCGACTCCAGCGGTCGATGGCAGTCGCCTATGCGTATCCTTTTGAGCGTTGTCTTTTTCTCTGGGATGAGTACAGTTGGATGGGTTTAGACTGAGGCGAGCGATCAGAGATGATGTGCTGTTACATAAGGAACACTGAATATCTCTTGGTTGGCCCAACTCTTTTTTGCTTGAAATTTCCTGCGTCATCTCCCCTTTGCCCATTTCCTTGGTCTACTATTCATGTTTATCATACAGCCCATCCGCGTCCCTGATCTGTGTTCTTAAGCTCTTTGATGCCTGTAGCAGATTTGGCTGCACGTTATGAAAAAAAATTAACAAGAGGTTCTTTGCATGCCTCGTATCGGCCATCGTGTTTCTCTGTTCTGTTGGACATAAGCTGCTATAATGGCTTTGATTCCTCACCTAAGTGGCGACATCTAAACGGCTCATCCGCCCGAAACCGAGTGCAACAAAGTAATGACTACTAATCATCTTTATAAATGTGCATTGCCCGCCTTTCAGCGATTAAATCTAAATATCTCCATAAACTGCCTGGCCACATCAACTCCAGCTTCTGGGTTGGGGTCTTCATCCAACTGTTGCCCGCTTCCATCAACACTAGTAGATTTCTGGCGTACTCTCAGGCTCTCTCGCTGCTTCAACTTTCGCAACTGTTCTTTGGCCTCCCTACCAACGTCCGGTACCAGTATCGCTTCCCGCGCCCCTTCAATACCCAAGCGTGCCCAGAATTCCCGAATCAACGTCGCAGTCATAACGTACTCCGCGTCAATGTCTGCCTCCTCAACACCATCAGGAAAAGCCATATCGATTACAGAGTCCTCTTCGTCATGGGATAGTCCGTCACCCCTAGGGCTCCCAAACGGCCTCTTGGACTGAGCAAACAACGACGAAATAGACGTCACTAGCGATGGGCCCTTCCATTCTATCTCAATGACCGTACCCCTAACCCTTGCAGCCGGTTGCGTCTGACGAACATCGCCAATCCGGACCCGAAAATCCCCAACATCATACACAACGCCCCCCGGAACCGTGACAGTGTGCCGATGACACCAGAAAGGCTGGCAGGCGTAGACAAAGTGCTGGAAGAGCGTGCTGCACGCCGGTAACGGTACGGTCGTCATCACCATAGCCGGCTGGCCCGGCATTGGGGCCGGTGTTGGCGTCCCTGCCTGTTGCGGGGTGGGTGCGGGGGGAACAGGCGTTGCCCTTGCAGCTACTGTGCCGGGACTACCGGCGCCGGACTGGGCGTGGGCCGCCTGCTCTGGCGATGGGGATGTGTAGATGAATCCATGGTTGGGGAAATAGGTTAGTGAGAGGAACTGCATGTAGCGCGGTTGCGCGGGACGCTGGGACGCCGATGCAGGCAGGCAGGACGGGGTATCCCGCATCAATTTGTGTTCGAGGGCCCAGCGGCCCACGAGAACGGGCTCGTCGGCTAATGATGAATGGAGGCGTTCTGTGACTGTTGCGAAGGCCGTGGAGGCGTTTGGGTTTGATGGGATAAAGAAGACTCTGCTGTTGTTAGTATATAGGCGAGTTTGGGAGGTAGAGGTGCCTCGTACCCCGTGATTGGCATCTTGTGAAGAGTCTGAGTGGTGGTGGCAATTGGACTCAGAGCTGATATTTCTTCAATTCAGGTGTTCAGCTGGATATCAAAGCTGTTGTCCGCGGCGGACAGTTGGTTGAAACTTGAAAGCAACAGGAACCAATGGGGTATCTAAGGCATAGAGAGCAAAGTCTAAATGGCGACAATATAATAGCAATTGGATCTACGTTCGCCTGGTGGAATTATTCAAGAGGTACCACAGTATATAGTAGGCTGAGTCGCATGTCAAGCTCTGGCATTGTCAGTGACTATGACAGAAGGCGGGCACGAACGAAGTCTGCGGGCTTGACTTCATACCTGATCAATAAGAACAATATCGGTGGATATTAGATGCCTGTCACACTTGTCGTATACCAGTAAAGTAATACCGTATAGATAGATTTGACCCACGCCCGCAGAACTATGATATAGTTTATCCAGTAACAATTTCCGTAAGTAGCAAATCGTTGGTCTTTGGAGCAAAATACTATTGCCTGAGGCATCAATACAAACAGGACAAACGTCCGTGCCAAGGAAGGCACACGACCTTCCATTTCCCAAAACGATTTCATCTCCCCAGGAAAGAAACAAAGTGGAACTCTACTCGAAATTCACGTGTGGTGTTGAATGATATTCCCATGGGAATATCTCAGATCATGAATTATATTGACCTTTGAATACTTGGCTTGGTATGCTGTACCACTGCGCTGATACTCGGTCATGCCACATTCTCACCATAAACAAAAGGTACAGAACCTGTCTGGGTCGCCCAAGCCCCAAGACGCGGCCCTGAGACAGTGGGGCACAAGGGGCACTTTTTGGGCGGGATGTCAAGTTAAGAATAGCACATTGGTCAGGCTAAGCCTTCACCTTCCAGGCCCCCGAAGCTCAAAGGGTCTCAGGGACCACTTTGATTACGCAATGCCCAGATGCATCCACTATATGATCAATGCTGCCCTTTACTCACTACGGCAGGACGCCGCAGCCACACTCTCCTCTTCCCGATCAACATGCCAATCATAGCCTAGAGGCTTGAATAATGAAAAGCCATTCACTTACAGCAGGATTCCTGATTCATCGACCCCATGCTTACCTGCCAATCAAGGAAAGAGATGAGGTCGTACCAACGGCGATCACTGGGGCTGAAATGCTCCTCTTGACTGTCCATATTAACAGAGCATTAGTATTCGGGATGATTGTTATTCATCCCCCCTTGATGGATGTTCTGGCCTTTTCCTTCCTTGAGCTTGCAAACCTGTATCACTTCCTTTCTTTCCCCTTCAGCATTAGAGGTGCTGGCCTCGTCCTTGAATTGGCCATTAAGCATGCTGTATCTACATTTCTAAATGTTCTCTTCTCTCTCTTCTTGTTGACCTAAATCCGAGCGCTAAAGAGCTCATTTACGTTCTCTCAACCATTGTTCTTCCACTTCCCAGGTTAGAACTACTTGGGTGGATTGCCATTCCTTAGCAATATGCTCTGCGTTCGGAAGAGCTATTTCCTTCCAACATTTTGCTTAGTCTTTCTCACATATATTCTTTTCACTAGTCTACCGCCGGGCGCGGAACTACCGTACATTGACGACCCCGCAGGATATGGGCCTCCTCCCCCTCCTCCTCATCCAAGGCCTCCAAAAGGCAACAACCTGATCCACTATAAAAAGCAGCCCGAGCAACATCCGGTGGAAAATTATATCCCTCTCCCCACAGCTGCCCCGTCCCCCATTCCCCGCATACAATATGACTTTCCGGCAGAATCATGGTTCACCCGACGAAGAAGGGTGAAGAAACAGAATGCCGTTCGGAATGCTTTCAAGCATGCATGGAACGGATACAAGAGGCATGCATGGCTACAGGATGAGCTCTCGCCCCTTAGTGCTGAATACCGAGAATCATATGGCGGATGGGCAGCGACGCTGGTCGATTCTCTCGATTCACTCATCGTCATGGGGTTGACCGATGAACTCGAGGATGCACTGCAGGCAATTGAACAGATCGATTTCTCGACCACCAGTGCCACGCAGATCAATGTATTCGAGACGAATATCCGATACCTTGGCGGCTTTCTGGGGGCATACGATTTAACCAATGGAAGTTATCCCATACTTCTGAAGAAAGCAACGGAGGTCGCCGAGCTGTTATATGGTGCGTTTGATACTCGCAACAGGATGCCCCAATCGCGATGGGAGTGGACGAGGTGAGACGCTCAACCGAAGAGGGTCCATACCTCGGTGATAGGAGACTATCATGATAGCACTAGAAATCGATGTTAACAAATACTTAGGTCGGCGTTAGGAATGGGTATTCAACCCAGCCGCAACACCATCCTTGCTGAGCTGGGCTCCTTGAATTTGGAATTCACCCGAATGTCACAGCTGACAAATGATCCGAAATATTTCGACGCTATTCAAAGGATCACTGATCGACTGGAAACCGCACAATCGCGCACCCAGGTGCCTGGTTTGTGGCCGATGATGGTTGATGCTCATGATATGGAATTTAATGACCCTCGTTTTACTGTCGGCGGAATGGCTGACTCCACCTACGAGTATCTCCCCAAAGAACACATGTTGTTGGGGGCTCAGACGGACCAGTACCGCAAAATGTATAATTCTGCCATGGACTCCATTAAAAAAAGGCTGCTTTTCAGGGGGATGACCAAGGATGGAAAGGACATCATGTTCCCGGGCAATGTCCGCGCTACTTCTAAAAACACCATCGAGCCCCAAGCTGAACACCTCAAGTGCTTCCTTGGAGGGACCGTAGGCATTGGCGCTAGGGTGTTTGACCGTCCCGAGGAACTGTCGATCGCGCGGAAATTGACCGACGGCTGTATCTGGGCGTATGACATTATGCCCACGGGAATCATGCCCGAGGCATTGTATGTCAGTGCTTGCAAAAACTCAGATGACTGCGAGTGGGATGAACAAAAATGGCATCATGATATCCTTCGTCGATTTGCCAAGTACTCTCAAGGGGAAGAAGCTGCTCGGACTCTCATAAGCAGCCACAAGCTACCGCCGGGCGTAACTGAAATCCCGGATGCAAGGTATAACCTGAGGTATGTCGGCCCCATTTCTGTCTAACTCGTTGCTGTCGATGAATGGGAAGTACTAACTATTTCCATTTAGACCCGAAGCCATTGAGTCCGTGTTCATCATGTACCGTATCACGGGAGACAAAGAACTGCAAGATGCCGCATGGCGGATGTTCCGTAGCATCGAGAAGATGACCCTAACCCGCTATGCGCACGCCGCTATTTCGGATGTGCGAAACCCTCATTCGACGCAGCTGGACTATATGGAAAGCTTCTGGCTCGCAGAGACGCTGAAGTACTTCTACCTTATCTTCTCCGAGCCCCACGTAGTCAACTTGGATGAATACGTACTGTAAGTATTCTGAATATCACCGGAGGACAAGTACTCTGGCCATCTGGGAAACCAGAGTGACTAACTGCAGTACTATAGGAACACCGAAGCACACCCATTCAGGCGCCCAGACGCTCCAACCTAAAACACTACCATTCTTCCTTCATACTTTTCGGATCATGTATAGTCAGGGAAAAGGGATCATCGGCGAATAGGGATTCCGAATACATCAATTAGCAGGACTAAACTCTATCCCACATATACCGAATTGTAACATAAATTATAAGAAAATTTCATAATCCCAACATAGAAGCTACGTCGCATCAATTCCGCTTTTGACTCCTATCAAACTCAACCGTATACTGTACATCCTTGCGAATACACATATTCGTCCCCCCACTACACTCAGCCATCCCCGAATCCCCGCTCTCCACCAGCTCAATTGATGAATCTACCAGTCCAGCCTGTGCCGGACCACTCTCCCCACTACCCAACCGCTCATGGGTCTTTGACGGTGCCCCCGATCGTGACACGCGCCATCTCTCCCTCCCATCCACCACCGAAGTCGTAACTCTCGTCCCTGACCTAGACGAAGAAGACTGATCCTTCGGTGTCCTCGACGTAGATCCACTCTCTAAATTCACATCCCCCGCCGTCCCATAGAACGTACTAACAGCCGTCATAAACGGCCGGAGACAAAATACACTACACGCGACGAGGGCATAGTTAAGCTCGACCTGGGACCAAATAATCGGTTCGACGGCGGCGAGGGTAGGATCCGGCGAGGACATGTTTTGGTTCAAAGTATGAATATGCAGTACAGAGAAAATGATCAATCTATAAAAGCAATCAGCAAGCTCTTAGAACATATTAGAAGAAGACATAGAAAGGGGGGAGGGAAGCCCTCACGGCAGCCGAAAGAAAAAGGCAAACCCAATAGGAAGTTTACGTTTAAGGGGCATGAATAGGCCCGCGAGGAGGGTGACTGCGAGGGCGAAGAGGAGAATCTCGGTGAGGATATCCATTGCGACAATGAATTGCCAGCGTTTTAACTTTAAGAGTTCATGTTAGCTTGTGGTTTGTATGGTGGAGACATCATCTTGAACTTACCAGATTGACGCATTGTGCGCCAGCACCTTTCCAGGGCCGATTCAGCTCGCAGTTTACGGCGATGATGAGTATCGCGGTGGTTATCCATAATGTGCAGAGGGCGAGTGTGGTCTGGGATATTCGGTTGTGGAGCTTCTGGGGGGTGAGGCGGAGGTGGATGCCCACTACGCAGCATTTAGAGACGTAGATGGTGATTAGATAGAGGATGTCGCTGACCGTGAGTAACTGTGGGTTTTTTTTGGTTCTCTGTTAGTGTTGGGGTTTTTGATTTGGGGGAGATTGGATTAGGGCACGTGCTGTTTGGATATTGTATATTTGATTTGGTTGCAGAAGATGAATGGATGTTCCGAATCCTTGAGTTACAGCGGCGAATAACAATGAGGTCTGGATGACTGCGAAAATCTATTATAGCCGTGGATTTTTATTTTCTTGATCAGCTATTGCCATTTTTATTCTTTATCAAGGTAATTTGAAGTATAAAGCTCACCGTCGCTCCCAACAGCAGAAAATCATCATATGCGAACGGCGGACTGAGCACAAGCCGTACATACAATCGAATGAAAAGGCTGACCAACGAAACGACTAGACCTAGAGCACAAGTGATGATAATCCAAGCGCCATGATGGTAGTCGTCTACCACCTGAAACGGAGGCGAATACCCGGGAGGCATATACACGCCCATGACAGCTGAGACGGGAGTTGACCTCAGCCGAGGGAGCGAGATAAATAAGTTTGGAAGAATACCGTCTCAAGGGTGGTTTTGATTTATGCGTCATGATTACAAAAGGCAGTGATGATTTTCATTCTTTTCTTTTTCTTTTTCTTCTTTTCTTTTTCTTTTTCTTCTTTTTCTTTTTCCTTTTATTTTTTATTTTTTTTATGATTACTTCCCCCATTCTTGTCTGTTACCAGTTCCGTTATGTGTTCTGGCCAGCCTTAGGGCCAACCACGCCTGAGCCAAGGTTGGATATTCTGCTGATCCTTGAAAAAAAAGCCATCGCAATGGCAGCTGACACAATTACTTAATTACTTCTCGTCGATCACCCGCGGCAATTGCGATTGAGCACGGTCTCTCGAATGAGATCTGCAGAATAAAAATGAGATTTCAAAGAAGCTCAGACCTTGGGATATCACATCAACTCTTGCCAAGAGCAACCTCCCCTTTCCTTGGAGCTACAAAGAAAACAAGGCGGTCTTTGCAAAGCTTCGACTCCCCCAAGAATGATGCTAAGCGAGAATTCCTGTTCTATTTGTGGAACCTCGCTCGTGGGATACCATTTCAGTGTGGTCCAGGCTCAAGTTTAAGCTCAGTCAAGGGGTGCCACTTCCCGTTGCCATTGGATCCATATAAATCGCTCGTGATAGATCTTTTGGCTTTTGACTGTTTCAATAGTCGAGTCGACTAATGCAAACCCAGAGACTGTCCAATCTAATTTCAGGGATTAGACTGACGGTTACACGAGACCTGATATCCAGCAGGCGGCATCGGGCGTGGGGGTGTTTGCTGAGCATTCGTTCCCTTCGACAAGTTGTTCATAGAATGACGCTTGCTTATTTTCAGTCGTCACTCCTGTGTGATAATCCTGCGTGAACAATAGTCCACGAAAGAAAACTCCCGCCGTGTTCCATCTCATACTCGACAGTTTCCATGCCCAAGCAGACGACGGCACATGTAAGGCATCCGCGGAAATGAGAAATAAACTCAGAAAAAGCAACCATAGCCAACGATCAACAGGCCATAGAATGACGCCCCTCGCAGGCCTCCAGCAACCAGGATAGCAAGCTCATACATTCCTCCTTTTTTTCCTTTTTGAATCTTGCTGTCCCACGTGGCTAAAACTATCTCTTTCACATTGGGCCACAACCAGAGAATATCGTTTTTTACGAAAATACTTCTCCAGTACGAGGGGAAATTTACCCCTTTCTACGAGAGAAATTTCTCCATCCATTTTAAGAGATCCTCCTGTACTCTTTGTAACTTATCTGTAACTGTCAATCTGGTGGTGCCTGCACCATGGCGCACGCTGCTGGCTTCAAACACGGCTTGGGAACACTAAGCATTGAAGATGCTGAACATGCTTCCAAAGGCCATGTTAAGCCCAAGTATATGGGCACGGTAGCTGATCGAAAAGATATGAATATTCTAGGTCGAGTCCAGGTTCTACGGGTGAGTTATCATATGTCAGCTCATATAATTAGTACTGATATCGTTGGTTTAGAGAAACTTCCGCTTTATCTCAATTCTTGGGTTCGGTTGCACATTGATTTCCACGTGGGAAGTCATATTAACGTTCGTTCCTTACTTGTGATACCCCTAAGGCTAGGTACAAGACTAATCACCCGACAGGCTGTTGAGTGCTGGCTTGACCGATGGTGGTACTGCTGGCTTGATATGGGGTTTCATCATTGTCTCGGCAGGGTTCACTCTTGTCTTCGCCAGTATATCTGAGATGGCATCAATGTACGTTATTTCGACTGCGCCAGTCCTTCCATGGGATTCAGACTGACCTCGGCTTATTAGGGCTCCGACATCTGGGGGCCAGTATCACTGGGTATCCGAGTTCGCCCCTCGCAAGTGCCAGAAGTTCCTCAGCTATATCACAGGTACTATCATTCTCGATCCCTCTTTAGTTAATGGGTAGCTGACAGTATTAGGCTGGCTCTGCGCGATGGGATGGCAGTGCGCTATTGTATCTATTGCATTCCTTGCCGGCACCATTATCCAAGGACTGATTGTCCTCAATGATTCAGCTTATAGTTTTCAACGATGGCACGGCACTCTTCTTATAGTAGCCATTACCGCATTCTCTATCCTTTTCAACACTTTTCTGGCCAAAAATCTTCCAATGGTGGAAGGCCTGATTTTGATGCTTCATGTCATCGGACTGTTTGCGATCATAATCCCTTTGTGGGTGCTTGCTCCCCGTAACAATGCCAAAGCTGTTTTCACGGCGTTCAACAACGGCGGAGGGTGGGACAGCCCTGGTACTGCGACTTTGGTCGGCCTGTCAACCACTATTACCTCTATGATCGGATATGATTGCTCGGTGCATATGTGTAAGCGATGGCCTTCATTATGATGTGCAAGTAACTAATCTATATGAAACAGCCGAAGAAATCAAGGATGCTTCAGAAACGCTACCGAAGGCAATCATGGCTTCTGTTGGAGTCAATGGTGTTTTGGGCCTTATCATGATAGTTACACTGTGTTTTACTATGGGTGATGTTGACAGTATTCTCAACACCCCGACCAAGTTTCCGTTCATACAGATCTTCTACAACACCACCAATAGCTATACGGCAACAAATGCAATGACTGCACTTTTAATAGTGGCGTTGACAGCTAGCACAATCACAGAGGTGGCAACAGCGTCTCGACAGTTGTGGTCTTTTGCGAGAGATGGAGGACTCCCATTCTCAACCTTCTTCTCTTATGTACGTTTGTTCTTGCTAGTATCGGTTGGATGGCTTTTCCATTATACTGAGTCATGAAAGGCTAATAGGATGAATTTAACCCAGGTCACACCAGGGTGGCACATCCCACTCAATTCAGTCATGGTCTCTCTTGGAGTGACTATTCTCCTCTCTCTAATCAACATCGGCTCCTCTGTAGCCCTGCAAGCCATAGTATCCCTTACAATCACCTCTTTGATGTCTGCTTATATCCTTTCTATTGGCTGCATTGTCCTCAAACGAATCCGAGGCGAGCCTCTTCCGCCCCGGCGATGGTCTCTCGGATCTTTTGGCCTGGTGATAAATGTTGCGTCATTACTATTTCTATTCCCGATTTTTGTATTCGCCTTTTTCCCTCTCGTTGCATCTGTTGACAAGCAGACTATGAATTGGAGTGTAGTCATGTATGTAGGACTGATTGGCTTTGCATCGGTGTATTACTGGGTTCGAGGGCGACATCAGTTTATTGCGCCGGTGGCGCTTGTCAACAGAGCGAAATAGCCAGAAAAGCTTTGGCTGCTATAGCTGTGGCAGCTAAGGAAACGACCTTTTCTCAGGTCTGGCACAGCAATAGTACATTGATGTATAGTAATATGAATCTTGACAGTTTAACCCCATCATGGCTGTGAATACGTTCTATCGGTGATTTTCTCCAGTTCATTCCTTGTTTATTCCATCTCACACATCTTCACCTACTGTACAATCAGGTAATACTACCTTATATCATTCCCAAAATCATTACTATATCAATGCACTTCCCCTGGTAAGCCCGCCCTCTACCTTAAACCTTACTCCACCTCTTCAACCTTGAACCCTAATACATACGAGGTTTCTGTGGCTGACATCAAAATGACCCAGCGCTAGCGATTCTAGTACTGTCAAATCTGGCCAAGTTGGGCCTAATCAGATGGCCTATTCTACCCCTACTCCTGGCTATAATCCTCTCAACCACTATCATCACCCACACGAAAAAGATCATGGCCACTCCTCATTCGCATTGGGAATCCGATAATGCGAGAGTAGCCCCCACACCTGCTGCAAACTGAGTGACGCATGGATCATCATGGCTGTCTTAGTGCACCAAAGTGAAGGCTACCTGCACAGAGGCTAGGGATTCTGTTCCAACGGACTAACTAATGGAGCGATAACAAAGAACCACACCGCCCCTGGAAGCAGCACTCTGAGACAGCTGTCCCAAGGAAATTATGATATAGAGCCACTGTCTCTACCAGCGAGTTCTGGGATCTAGTGGCGGAAAGCAGATGGCCTCATGCACATGTGCGCCTTGACGACTTTTGATTACTCAAAACGGTTGCAGTGCGTTCCGCTTCTGACTGAGTTTCACTCTGGGCACGCTTGGGCTAGTCGCGTCCCCATAGGCAAGCCGGTGCTTATTAAATGCCACGAGACGACTTTAGTTTCCCGTGTGCCGTGGGTCCAACACTGATATCCAAGACCTGCTGCAGCTTACAACTCTACTTCGGATGCTGCACCCATTGCCTGGAGGTGAATCACGAATTCTGGAGGGCCAGACGACACTTGTGCTCAAGACATCGAGGGCTGTAGCCTCCGATTGAGGCCGCAGCAGATGCTGTTCAGGTGGCTCAAGGTCCAGATATACCCACCCCTGACACACCTACATCCGGTGTTCAAGGTCGTGTGCGACGCAAGGATCAAGCTATCCATATAGCGATACTCGTGCAGTTGTTCAATTTGACAAACATCCTCTCTCAAACTCGCAGAGTGATGAATCCCACATGCGCAGCATCGAATCGATAGCCTTGCTAGCTGGCGAAAGCACCCATGTCTGAACTTTTTCAAGTTCCAATGGAACTTTTTGCTATCATGCTTAACTCGCACCACCAGCCCTTTCGCGCTTCTTTTACGGCTTGCTTGGATGTATCGGACAACCCCCCCCATCGAAGTTATTGTTCTTCGTAACCTGGCAACCTGGTGGCCTATTGCCCACGGAAGATGACACATCTCCTATCGAAAGGTTCGATAAGTTACTGCTGAAGGTACAACTACACCTTTCAACACTCCGCGAGGCAATCTCCGGTTCGAATATGATTTGAGGGAGAGCAGGCTCCCTTACCACGGCTGCCATCCCCACTCTGACCAAAGAAGAAAGAGGAGCAAGTTAGAATCTATACATAGTTTAGCTAAATAAGTAACAAGAAAGCTAGACGAATCAGGTTGCCAAGCGAACTCAGTGGTAGGCTAGCCCACCAAGAGCCATGTTGCTCGTTGCAAAGCCCTCAATAATGCTATCTGATGGCCTGCAAGGTCAAGGGGGACTGCATTCTAGGGCCGCCAAGATGATTGAAACTCTAGGGCCAAGTTCCTGGTGTGTTTCGATATACGGAATGTTTCAATTATCCCCAAATGCCTCAGCTAGCTTGCGTACCGCGCACAGTTCCCGAGCTATCAGAACCCCTACCCAGGGCTCTCAGCCGTTCGAGACGAGTTTGTCAAGATGCTTGAACTCGCTATCCTCGCGAAATCAACTAAGCATAATATCGTGGGCTAAGGAGACTCGGGCTCCTTGGTTTATGGTTTGTGACAAACGGTCAGTCTATTGTTCGGTGGTCATCTCCAGGACGAGATATGTTACTCTACACACACTAAAGGCATTCTTAAGGGCATCCAAGATCATGCTGTTGTCCAGGGAGTTCACTATAACGATCCCTTTGGTCGACCCAGTATTCTAGTCCGCCGAAGCTTCGCAAGCGTTACGCAGTCACGCATGTGTTCGAGTACCCTAGGTCACGCCTTGGAGGCTTGTCTGACAGGGCCTACAGTACCGGCTTTTGACTTCAACTCGGTAGGGGGCGCTCAGAAAGAAAGTAAATTCTCGACCAGGTCAGAAGTGCATTCCGATGCCCATCCAGGACCGTGCCTAGTACTTCCGGTTTCAACGTGGCTCAGGCAGCATGTATGGTGTGCAGTCATCCAATGTCTATGCACCATGATTATTGTTAGTCTCTTCCCTTGCTGTCGGCCGCGGTGTATCCGTTGGGTGGGTATACCGATCTAAGTAACCCCTGTTCAGGCATGTATACGGGCAAGCCCCTCATGTGCAAGTACAATATTAGTGTGTTTATAGGGCTATTCTAGAGCAAAATAACTCTCGAGGAGCTGATGGAGAATTGATTGGCCTGGGTGAAAGTCAAACACCGGTTCCTTGCGGCCCACAAGCGCGATAGGCCGCAGGGGAAAACTTCAAACTCCGCGGGGATGATAGACGTCACCTTGTAACTGGGAATAAGACGGTTCACCGCGGCGATACTACGACTCTGTCGACCACACCCCGGTGATTCCGTTGGCCAACCTTCACGATATAAGAGAGGATACCATGACCTCAATACTATTGTCAAGTGGCCTATGGTCGGAGATAAGTATGACCCTACCCTGGAAGGGGACTGACCCCCCGCTAGGGTCAGATTGGACCACGTTTCGTCATAATATTCGGGAAATTGGAATGTGTGCAGAAATGTAACCCTTTTGCGATGATACTGAGGCCAGTGTACACCTCTTGTGTCCTTAATGTAATGTAAATTGACATCTAGTAGGGGTCGTACTACCCAGGAGGAGCAAGTATGCAAACTTGCCCCTTAAATGAGGCACCTTGGTCCCGTGATGCCTCCGATAATGATATTCTAGTCCTACGCAGTAACATGTTTATAGCCTTCCATATGGACTGAGACTTTTATTTTCCCAGGCTGGAACCAGACCAGCACATATATCGTAGTTTGAATCCCGCATGGGCTACCGCAACAAAACCCATCCATAGACCGAAGTTTTTGGTTATTTGAGCTTCACGCTGAGCACAACGAGGCCTATACAGTATGAAAACGTGATCAAAGGCTTTGGGAATGACATGTATTTAAGCAGGCTCGTGCGTCGTTCAACAAAGCTATCTAGACCAAGAATTTATTTAGAAGTCAACAATATCGAGCATGTGGTACTTGCAAATGTTTTTGAGAGGGATGAGCTCGTTGGCTCAGAGCATGCTACTAGAAAGCCAGCACTTAACTGCAGATGTTGGAACACGTATCTCATTTATTCCCACACGACGTACCAGGTCGTGCGCCACTCTCTGAACTTGAGGTGACTCGTGCAAAGAAGAACAGTCGACAACACGCAGCCTGCTATCGACAACGCCCGGGCTACGCAGTCTGTTGTCGGCACATGAAGTGTTTTATGTCTCAATGTGCTCTTTAGCTTGGGGATAGATGAATATAACAAATCTCAATTGGCAAGGTTCAATTACAAGGGTCCGCACAAACACTACACGTCATTGTCTGCTGACAGATTATGATTGATTGAAAGCAACTGCTATCTGACACTGGAGATGGGGGGAGGTTGATAGTACCGACTAGATTATCTTTGACGAATCCTTCCACGTAAAATATAGAGACTTATGGCCTCCCACTCTTACTAGCTCCACGCACCTCGGGCCCCCGCGAAGTTCCTACTAACTAGGCCTCGGGTTGCTTTCCCTATCCCTGCGCCACGGGCCGTTTTGAAGACCTGAACTTAGACGCAATGGGATATCATCAGAGCTAACCAAGATACATCACACTGATATGCGTATGTTGGCAATCATACCTTTGAAAGGGTCAGCCAGACGATAGAAACCCTCTACAGAAAAACCTGGCCATGACGGGGTCAGGTTTCTGGTAGCTACTATAACCACAACATCGGATGGATAGGCTACTTAGAACCAAGCTCATTGGCTGAGGGTTTTGTTACATGTACACATTGCTGCCTAGTTTATGTCTATGACGTCTAGATCGGTTCTTGATATCTGGCATGCATCAGTAACTCTCGGTCGTCACCGAGCCTCACCTTAAACCGCAGTCATCAATACATCGTCTATTTACTCCGTGCGGGGTACAGCTTCAGGCGCTTAGGGCTAAGCTATAGGGAGAGTGTTTTTCCGAGCGTCGACAATCTACTAGTAGACATGAGTTGAATTATATCAGTTCCGATTTCTAGATAGGTTTTCGATATAGATTAATATAATGTGATAACGTGCTTTCTAGAATAGCCGATCACGATTTATGCAGCACAGGGAGCAAACCCTCCTAAAATAGAATGGGGTATAAATCCCCCGAAATCAGCGCTCGTCTCAGATAAGGTACTTTTGCGGCCCCCTTCTCGCTATAACAAAAGAACCAATACCGGCAAATCAAATACGCGGAGCCCAGAACCCGAGCCTTGCCAGACCAACTATAACTCATTATGAAGAGGCGGATTACGTGGAGCATTGGCGGCTTCACTACGGATACTACTAACAGCCCTAAATTAGATCCGGGTTGCAGCGAGTTCTAGAACCGATGTGGGCTATCCGATAGAACACTAGGATGGATGCTATTCGGCGATATAAGTCTGTTAATATGCCTGATTCAGAATAATTAGAGCCGGGGAAGCAGCCGCTTCGAGCCGCTTATGACCAACGCGGGAATACCAAGGCTCAGCTTCTGCAGTCTGACCGCTATGGGGAGGAACGGAATCAGATTTCCATCTTACGTGGACTTTAGTCGGGATGAGAAGCGAAGCGCCGGTGGAACGTCTTTGGTGCTGTTTGTCTTGCAAGGGGGTTGGTTTGAGGATTTGGAGTGTGATTGGAAGGATGCCGGCAGACGTAAAATCCTCGTCAGCTGTCAGAGGTCGGCATGCAGGACGCATTGCACATAGTGGTATCAGTCAAGGGATATTTTAATTTCTGATCTCATACCACCGTGGATCATATGTGTCTAGCAAGGGGAGATCAGGAAGGGGGTTGAACGAGGTCGAAGAGAGGGCAGAGGACTTGTAGGCGTTCTGTACTCTTGGATGACTGCTAAATGCAAACCATTCCGTACAGAAAATCTTGTTTTCCCTAGCTTAGGACCAGTCGTTTTGCTCTTCATACAGGGTAGAGAAGGCAGGGAGAATTTCCCTCAAATGGGGCCAAGTGGAAAATAGGTTTTTCACAAGATTGGAAAGAAATTTGACGGTGGAGAGCTCTTAGTGGGCCTTAACGAACCATCCCTTGCTTAGCCTGTCTTGTCCCAGACGACCGGTCCTACTAGGAAGATCAGATAAGCCGAGACAGGGATGACCCGGCCGCTTCAGATAATTTCGTAACTGTACCGTCCTCCTTACCCTGCTGGCACTTGAATCGTTTCTTAACACCGGGATGCGATGCGCGACCTGCGACATCTAAGATACAGGTGTGCACACATTCCAAACTTCGAGGTATTTCAATATGCCGCTAAATGCAAAACTTGCATGCGGAATCGTCTATCAAACTTAAGGGGCAGGTCGTGAATTTAATTATAAGACTGGTCCAGAGGGATACATCTGAGACGGAACGCAATCCGCCCCATAGCTGATGGAAGAGTCACCATCTGGAAAACCTGTAGACCTTCCAGAAACCTGAAGAAGAAAGTGGAGGAGATCAGAAGCGTCATTTTGTTGGGCATAAACGGGAACCACCTAAGGCTAAAGAGGAAGTGTGAGTCCCTGCAGAAGCAGCGTGTCTAAATTGTCTAATATTGTGTACTGAAACCTAGAAGCGGAAACGACGAGCAACCCCGGAAAACTCGAAATAGCTCCTACCCAAACTAATCGCTATCTGATTGATATGATCCATTCGCCGACATCGGCGCGCGCCCCACTGATTGATACAAAGCACGTCGATCCCGGGCATACAAGGCTGCGAATACGGAGATGATCTGGCTGGAGTTAAAATGGAGGGGAGGGTGGAATGATCACAAAAGTATAATGATTCCAAAGGGGTGACTGAGGGAACATTCTCCTTTCTCTCTCAGGAGGTTCGTGTCGAATGCTTCCGGCGTGGGGTGATGACTCGGAAGAGAACGGCGCCATCCACTAGTTATCTGATCTGGAACCATCCCTTTGTGGATCACGTGCAATCCCGGACTGAAAGGCAACCCAACAATGAGGGGGTTTACAAATGAAAATGGCACCTGTGATTCTATTAGCGAACACTAATAAGAGGCATGGTTGTTGCTCTGCACCTTAAACTACAGTGTATTATTCTGATAATCATAAGAGCCTCGGGTGGAGGGACTTTGGACGTCAAATGTTTAGCCGAGGACGGACGCCGAAAGGGATAGCAACCGGATCTGATTAGATTGGTAATCTATTCGGCTACTCATCCGTTACAGACCGGTACCTCCTCCCGTTCTGTCAAAGAGTTCTTGTTCGTCAATCATTCTACGTGGAGATAGTTATGAGGGCCTGATTGAAAGTATTCTGCCCGATCAATAAGAATGAAATCAACCGGAGAATCATCGCTCAGCAGGTTTCCAACACTGCTGGACATACCGCTCTTTTCCGATCCTCTGACTGCGCGTTTGCTTCCCCGCTTGAGTAAAATGTTCCGCTTAGCTGCAGATCTGGCTGAACACTTGTCATCTCCACGGAGATCTAGTCTCGTTCTCCTCCTATTATCCAACAGAGATAGTAAGCAGCGGTACTTTTGGAGTAAAATTTTGTTTGCCAGAGATTCAAGATCATGTTTCTGCTTCAAAAAGAAAGTGTCGTGTCCCCGGTTGCCCGGAAGTGGGTAAACGTTACAATCGGTACCAGTAGCGTAATGACATTTTACTCACCGCGGATGGAAAAAATGAGTGGCAAGACTTTTTCTCGCTTTTTTCCTTTTCAACATCATTCTTATGTATTTCATTTTTCTTATCTGATTTCAGTTGCCCCGTTCCGGTCTTGCTAGACCTGTTTTCCCTCCCCTCGACAATCTTTTGCTTTTTTACCTCCTTGATTCTTTCCCTTCTTCAGTCCACTTCATTTACCTGTTCTGGAATTGCGATTGAGATCAATCACCATTCCATAAAAGACGAATGATCGGCCCTCAGCTGATCCGCTCCATTTCATAGCGTCAACGGAACCATTCTCCCGGCGCCAGTGTTCTGCCCCAGGTCCAAGAATTTCCTCCCACTCTTGTCCACTCCTCCGATTTGCTCTCCTGATCCTTCCGGTGTCAAACGGTCATTGTCTTTCCACTTCGCTAATTAAGACCATTCCCAAACCGCTTGGCTTGGTCCTCCCCTTTATCCACCTGGCCCTTTCATAAGTTCATACCACGTCCGGCACTGCAATCATCACGTCTCTTGTCTCCAGTTCTCGATTGATCCGGCCAATCCTTTACCAACAACTATTTACATCTGTATTGTATCAATTACCTATCGATCCAATGGGTATGACTCTCCACTGTGACCGTTTAGGGCCAATTGGTGACATTGACCTGGTAGCTCACATTTGTCTCTTTTCACAGTGCACGCCGTTCCTTCACCACCGCCGAGGCCCACGGCGGTGTCAAAGACCTCTCATAATCCCAATGGCGACCACCATGGCATTCCCGTGTCGTCCACCTCGCACCCGGATAACCCGGTGCCAGAAGAACCTCGCGGCGTGAGGTCATTGTCGATCACCGATCTGAACTTCAATGTCTCTCTATCGGAGACCGACATCACTCCCAGCTCAGAGACTCCATCGACTCTCCCTACTGAGCCTCAGTCTGACGCTGAAGAGGTAGCCCAGAAAAAGTCCGAGGAAAATGGCACTGGACATCGACGACGAGCCTCTACCGTGCTCATTTCCCAGAACTCTGCTGATATGAGACGGGTTCTGCAAAATGTCGGTGCCCCAGGAACGCAGAAGATCCAACCTCTGTGTTGTGGCGGAGGATGCTGCCGTAGTCAGCCTCTGATCAGAAGTGACGGACCAGTCTCCGGAATTCTTATTACTCCGCCTCAGAATAAGGCTTACGATGCCCTCAAACTGAACGTCGATCTCCTTACCGTGGACAGTGAGCTCACCGACGTTGTGGACCTTCCAGCAAAGACGGTGTCTTTTGCCGCTATCCCTACATCGGCGGTCGAGATGAAACTGGGACCTGAGGATCACCCACCCCCGTTTGTCCAGCCTCATCCCCCATACAATGTGTATCGTGCTCCGCTTTACCATGCACGAGAGCTCACCGGATCGGGCGCTGAAAAGCGGACCTACCACTTCGACATCGACGTGACCGACTACCCCGCAGAAAGTGGCAACGTCGACTTCGTCGTTGGTGGCGCAATCGGTGTGTGTCCCATGAACAAACAGGAAGAGGTCGACGATATCTTCAACTGCCTTGGAGTTCCCAAGTCGATCCGTGATAAGAAGATCATAGTGCGCACTACCACGGGCCGGTGGCCCACGATCTGGGGCGACGAGCAAGCTCGAGAATTGATCACTACTCGGAGGGAGCTCCTGAACTGGTGCTCGGACATTCAGAGTTACGCACCCTCGAAGGACCTGTTCCGCCTGCTGGCCGAGTACGCCAGCGAGCCAAACGAGAAGAAGATCCTCATGTTCCTCGCCTCAGCTCAGGGGCAGGGTGCCTTCTGCGATCTTCGCACCGCCTCACATGTGTCAGTGTCCCAACTGCTGCACGCATTCCCCTCCTCTCACCCACCTTTGGACCACCTTCTTTCCGTTCTTAACACTTTGATGCCCCGTTTCTACTCTCTGTCGCAAGACCCTCTCCTCTCCTGCGGCCAAAAGGGCGGCCAATCCCGCCGTCTTGTCGAAGTTGCCGTTACGGTGGCAGAGTCCAAGGACTGGAAGGGCGGATTGCGAACTGGTGTAGGATCTGGATACCTTGAACGGCTGGCACGGCAAGTGATGGAGGCGGAGCGACAGGGCATCGACCCTCAAACTCTCAACCTCCATGTCCCCATGTTCCGGGGGCTGATGGCCAACCCATTGGCCAAGCGGTTTGCCTCGGACGGCCCGATGCTCCTCATTGGTGCCGGCGTGGGTATTGCCCCCTTCCGTGGTTTCGTTCAGCGCCGTTTGCAGTCGGCCAACTGCGCCAACAAGGTGTGGGTGCTGCAAGGTGTGCGCGATTCCCTCCTGGACGAGCTCTACCGAGGCGAGTGGGGCGTCGATGAGGAGAAGGTGCGAACTGTGGTCCAGAGCCGCCGTGGCGAGAGCAGATACGTTCAGGAAGAGGTCCGTCATCAAGCTGACTTGGTGTGGTACGTTATCAATGCCCTGGACGGACGTGTCTTCGTCTGTGGTAGCGGAAAGGGTATGGGTGAGGGCGTTGAGGCTGCTCTTGTCGATGTAGCTATGGCCAAGGGCAACTTGAATGAGGAGGAAGCGAAGTTGTTCTGGGACAACAAGAAGGAAGCTGGTCAGTACATTGCTGTAAGTCAATCTTTCTTCTCTCATAGTGACGCGAACACTTGACTAACGACGATCCCTAGGAAACTTGGTGATGGCATATATATCTTTCTCAAGAGCTGAGTTGAACTCGGCTGTCATACATTTGGGTCTTCGTACTATGTTGTAACTCACGCGATGGATATTGTTCGGATTTACTGGGTTAAGTACATCGTTTGCTTTTGTTTGCTTGTAATTAGCGGGGTGGTTTTCTGTTTCTTCCCTGGTTGAGCCAGGTTTTTTATTTCCGTCAAAACTATGGTTTGCATCATAGATTAGCTTGGTAGCAATACCAAATCGACATTCCTACATTCCTGAATTATACTGTACTATATATATATATATATATATATTCACTATACCTACTAGTATGAACCCTGAAATCGATTCTAATGATCTATGCTCTCCATAAGCGAGGAAAGACCTTACCTAGTAGCTATCATTGAGGAAAACTGCGTGCCATATACAAATCCCAGTATCATACAAGCCCTAGTTCTCCTTTAAAGTGACGATCAACAACAACCTCGATTAACAAACAACCGTGTTCCAAACTATAAATTTATTGTTTGACTAAATCATACAGAGGATTCCAGAATTTAGATTCACTCTAGCCCTAATGACTAACATCAATAGATAAGCCGTTAATTATACGCAAAACCCAGGGCATTGAATACAGCAAAATATAAGCACTAAATAGGAGTAGCTGCTAATATAATCTAGTCTACCGGGCCCGGCAAATATACATATATATATATACCGCATCCAGCAATTCACCATTCCATTTCCCATTCTGTATTTATCCCAATCTCATAACAAAGAACAACGACCAACGATATTATGAAGTTACATCACTTGATCACCAGAAATAGTGACATCCAGCAAGGATACTGTCGGTGTCTCTACTCAGAGCCGAGTCTAGGGCTGCCAGGGCCATGGTTAATGGGAGAGAATGGCTAAGCTTCTTTGTTTCTGCTGTGATGGACTTCGGTCGAGGCTTTCGGGAGGTCATTGTCTGCCGAAGGCGAGTCCTACCCATGAGGCGACATAAATAATTGCCGCGAACTAGACGACTGAAGGATACTCCTAGTCTAGTATACACAAATATCGATGTATCAAGTTGTGCTGAACATATCTCTTGCCTATACTCCTATAGATATAGATATAAGACATTAGAGATCAATCCTAGACACATTTTCACTCTCCAACACCCATCCCCCCAAATAATAACAACATCCAAACCCCCAGAACCCGACAACAGAATCCAAACCACCCAAGAAAAGCAAAGAGAAACACAATACCTAACCCCCAATCCATAATAGTAAAACCTTTCCCAAAGGTGAATGCACTCACAAAGATATTTCCCCCCCTCCCAAGATCCCATTAATTCCAACAATCGACCCCTCTATCCAAACCAAAACCTCTCCCAGTTCTCGGCGTGCAGGCCAAATGATTGAATCCTTCACTAAAAACCCCAAGACAAACAAAGGAAAAACCCCTATCAAAGAATGCACAATTCAAATTCAATTAATCTACCATGCCACAGCCCTAAAACCCCTATATAGATCTCATATTCCTAACCCCAAAGACCCAGAATCTGTCGGCAACCAAATCACAGTCCGTGTGAACCCTTTCAAACCTGATCATCGACCTTCACACTTCTGAGCCTCAATAACCCCATACCCAGTCAAACAAGACCAACATAAAGACCCTAGAGACAAAACAAAGCAATCCAAACAAAGCACTTGTTCGGCAAAGAACTCCTGTCTACAAAGCCACTCAACCGACACGTTACTTTACCGGCCCAGAAGCCCCAGTTGGCCCTTTTAAGATTTACGTACTGTACTTGAAGCTATTTTCGCAATATGCGGTACGTTTACTATGCCTCTTTTTATACGGAGTCGGCTATGATTCCTGCCGGGGCGCCGGAACGGGAGTACTGGGTTCAGATGGCTGGGTTTCTGGAGGAATGCTTGAGGGTTATAGAGTTTGCGGAGGATGATCGGTTTGAGTTGAGGAGGGTTGGGCTGGAGGCTTTCAATATGAGGGATCCTACTGAGATTTACTTTGATTGTGAGGGGTGGGAGTATGATGATGATGATGATGATGATAACGATGATGGGTTTTATGAGTTTGTGGAGGAAGGACGGATAGGTGAGACTGGTGAGGATGACTTAGAGGGAGAAAGGAGTCAGATTGCCGAGTTCGTTCAGGCCACGCAGGATGGACGGGATATTGGGGGCGAGACCAGAGAGGAGATTGAGGACAGAGAGGTCAGGGAGACCATCCAGCAGCATGTTAGCCAAGGCGAGGGAGGTGATAAGCGAATCTACAATGATATACTCATTACGTTCAAAGCGCGCCATCTTTATGGCGCAACCTTTGAGTGGCATGATGAGCAGGGAAAACCGACGCCTTCTGATATCAGAGACCAGCTGCGGCAGAATGTCACTCATGATCTCCGTGAGATCGATACTAAGCATGGCGGCCGACTGTACAAGAAGCCTGCTCTTGGTTTTCGGTGATTATCTGGTTCATGCTCAGGAGGATAGTGTTCGATGTTTGTAGGTATGTGTATTTCAACAATCGATGTCTAGGGGGGTTGTTATGGATGAAAGTCCTTCAACTGGGGTTAATTGCTCTACCAAAAACGTCGGAAAACATGAAAAAGGAAGTCGTTGGTGGGAGTTTCAACACAGGTGAGCAACGCTCCCTGTCTGTACCAGGTGGTTTCTGGAAATCTGCCAGTGTGTAATCCTTTATTGTTAACATCACTACTCAAAAAAAATGCCATAATATTTTATTCATTCCTGCTAACTACCTTACACCTGGGCGAGAGTGACATATAATATCAGTAGAGATATACCAGACGAGTACCCTGACAGTATAATATAACTACCGTTGCTTAACCTTGACAGACGGGATAGAAGTACCATAGACCACGGTTCTCTTCAAGACTTTCTATAATCCGAATCTGACTGGACACACAAGACACCTTCCACCGTTGTCCAATGTAGGCCATAAGAATCTAGTCCACAGTATCATCCTATGTAGCAGTAGACACATATATACCTATATACCTCAAGCTAGGTAAACTGAGACCTGATCAAACACCCCCCGATATGAGCCTATCTAGATAGTAACCACAGATGTCGTTCACTCCAGGCACATTATCTAAAAGATAAACCCGTCAACAACGAATCATCACTCACTACACGGCACAAACCATCCCTTCCCTTCCCTCTACTAAGCTTCAGTATATGCAAGAATCCCAACATATTCCCGCAAAACATACCCCTCAATCTCCCTACCTAACAACCAACGCATACCAACGACCCAACTCCAACCTCAGGCCCCCTACACCAAACCCCAAACTCAAACTCACATACAGACATACATACAACCCCGGCCTAACTCAAAAGAAAACAGGAAACAGAAAGAGGAAATTAGAAGGCAAGAAGCAAGAAAAACAAACCCCCCCCTTCGCACAGACCCCTTCACACCCCCAAGCTTACCAACAATTAAGTCTCTATATATGTATTCCACATAAATGCATAAATCTCCAAAAAAAAAAAAAGTTATAATAAATAAAAAGAAAATAAAACGGTAAACAAAAGATGACGCAACCCAAACCCGCATGAATCATGCACAGCAAATTATAAATTTATAACACATATGCCAGAGCACAGACACAGACACCGACACCAATTGCAACATTACGGTACCGTAATCCAGCAAATAAGCAAGCTAGGCAATGTAATCCAGTAAATACTCTCTGTAAGACTTGAGTAACTAGTTCTTAGGTCCTGCACTAGAGCTGCGAACGCACGGCCGCTGGGCACCTGCACGTACATGTACACTGCGCATATGATATATCCCTAGCCCAAATCCCGAATACCGGGATGCGGGAGGCATCGGGTAGAAATTGAACGGCGTTATTTTGCAAGGCGCAGCTGGTAAGCAGGGTATGCCTGTAACTCGATTGGGGGATGGGTAGGTTGCTGGACTTGGATGGTGATGTCTGTGTCCCTGCTTGAGGGGAGTAGGGGGGTTGTGATGGTTGTGGGTGGGGTGGGGGTTGTTGTGCAGGTGACACTTTTTGTTTCACTTTGGTATTTTATTGTGGCTTTTCTAATTGCTATTTAGGTGGTACTTTTGGTTTACCTGTTTTCTTTTCTTTTTGTTGGGGTTTAATGTCCTGTGCTTTTGGTATTAGGCTGGAATTACTGGTGCTTCCGTAGGGGTTTGGTCGATTATCTACGGGGTATTGAAGGGAGTAAGTACTAAGGGAGAAAAGTGGGTAGAATTAGATAGGGAGGATATGATCCTCCTTCGGTGGTTACCTAGGTCTCTATCTATTTAGGTGCTATAGTGCATATGTTATCACAGTATTCGTCAACACTGTAGCTGGGTCTAGGTTCCGGGCGATGCTATTGGACAAAACTTGATTTCAGATACTGTCTGAGCGTTGCAGATGGGACTGGCTCCGCGGAATGTATGTATCTCTATTAATGGTGGGTATCTGGCCATTTCTACATACCGTACATATATTTATGCTACTTCGCTCTAGTGGATAGTAGATGAACGGGGGCCCATTGATTCTATAGATAGTGCGTTGATGGTGAAAATATTGTATATTGAACTCAAGGGCAAAGGAATAATTAGCTGCAAGCATGGCTAACCCATGCCAAGGTACGGGGTCGGAGAAAGAAAAGAAACATTCGTTAACTAGAAAAGGAGGAGATAAAAAATTGAATATGAAAATAAAATTAAAAACAATAAAAAAAAGTAAAAATGAAAAAATAAGAAAAAAACATAGTAGTGGATCCAACTAAAAACCTCAATAGTGGCTGGTGCGTGGCTCTACTCTGTATGTAAATATTTACCCTAATTCACCTAGTAAATAACGGAGCTCATCATGTCCTGCATGATCCTTACCGACTCCCCAAACCAACCTTGCAGAAGAAGTTCCATTCCAATCATCTACGATGCGAACTTTTCTTGTGCTGCAGGCTGACGCTGCTGTTTCCGGTAGTACTACTACCTAATATAACCCTGTACGCAGGGATGAATCGGGCTTGCTCGGCGATTTCTTTTCAATCCACCCCTTTCACCGTAACAGGGTGAAGGGGACCGAAGGGAAACGCTAATTGCTCGATTCACGCGGCTTGGCGATCTCTCTTTCAAGACAGGGAAGGGAGATCGACTGCGGGTGTCTCGGTGGTGGGGTGCAGATGGGTGGTTTCCTGGTTTTCAGTCTCACCCAAAGGGGAATTTCTCTGACAATACTAGGTGAGTAGTAGCCCTTTTTCTATTTTCCGTGTTCTGTATATGTAGGTATACCGGTTTCTGTCAATCTCATGTCGGCTGGTTAAAGAGGGCGCCACTTTACTTACCTTAACAGAATAAGACACTTGTCCGTAGATCAGGAATGCTTGAAATGGCCAAGTATTTGTTGTCTCCACCTTCATAACCGTTGGACTTTTTTTTGTATTTATTTATTTCGTGGTGTACTCTTTATCCTCCTAGTTTTTTAATTTTATTTTTCTTTGTCTTTGTTTCAATGTTCCCTTTTTCGGTTTGTTTACCTGGGAACCCAGCCCTAAGTCAGCCTAAACCCACTTGCATTTTTGGCATCTCTGGGCAGCATTCCTTCGATCTCATATGATGACATAATAAGTACTTACTGGACCCCTTAATAAAATGGTTCTATTCCGAAGTAATTCCGGGTCTTCCCCCCCACCCAATGCGCCACACTAACTCAGCCACACCGATTCACCGCCATGTGATAGATCGGATAGATCCCGACTGGCCTTCCCGTCCACTCAACCCCGTGCATCGTGCATGAGCGACCGATCTTTGTGTCACTGTCAGAAAACCTAATAGGGTGGTACTGGAGCATTGCTGTCATTCTCCACTGTCTTGTCTTCGCCTCGCACAGACACTACGATCTGAAGATCCAAATAGAACGGGAAAGACTCAATAGAGGTAGAACTTGCATAGTACCTACAGTCAGTAATTCATTCTCTCAAGATTGGGTGGCAAGTTGTTGGCATCGTAGTGATCGACATGTCTCGTATCTGTCTGTTTCCATTACATGGAGGAATGGGAGAACAGCGCCACCCCCTCTTATGAATGGATGGTCTAGCTCAGCCACATGAGAGATCGGATGGGGCCACATAGTACAAATCTAGTACTACTAGTAGTAGTAATGCTACTCCAGCTAGGGTACTAGCTGACCGACTCTCATCTGTAGCCCCAGTTGTGAGGGAAAGGATCTTGAACGGGCCACGAGGCCGGCAATTAAGCGCTCCCAATCGAGTTGTTCCATCTAGTCGGAACCAAATTTTAGGGTCTAATCCCTCATGACGTGGTGACAGCGCGATTTCCATCCGCCGCTCGGTGAGACCCGGCCTCAGTTCCATAGCGATGGGTCTGGTTGCAGGTCGTTCCATGGTCATTCCTTCGCGCCATCGAGACTTATTCGAAACTAGCTTTGTCGCCCTGGTCATCCATATTTCCTGACAGGATCTGCAGCGGACATGTTACTCTAATGGTAATCGACATCGAGAGTTCCCTGGTAACCAAGATTTTGAAATTTAGACAAGTAAACCGTGGTATGGCAGGCCGATGAAAGGGTCATGTCCAAAAAATGGAAAGGTCGAGGGAGAAGTGCAATATGCCGCAACAAAAAAAAAAAAAAAAAAAAAAAAAAAGTAATTTCCAATCTATCAATTAAATATTCAGGGACCAAATGTCCCGTTTTGTCTATCAACAAAAATTCCAAGTCCAAAAGCCTTGAGAAACAAAAGAAAAACATTCTAACCCTTAGTATGCTGCCATGAAAACCATACTTGATACTGTACATGGAATGTCATTCAGATGCTTGATCCTCATCAAGCGAAGTCTCGTCTCGAAAACCCAAAAAAAAAAAACTAAGGAAGCCTAAGCAAGGTACCAGTTATTGTGTAGAGCGCGAGGGAAAAGAAACAGAAAAATCCAAACACCTAGAATGCAATAATCCAGATCAAAATAGCAATAAAATACCCCAAAATATTAGAAAAACGCCCGTGGCTTGAGTAATTGAGATCCTTCCCAGACGTCATAATTCACGCTCATAACCACCGCGTGTTGCTTTCATGCAAAAGGTAGAAACTTGATTAGTGAAATGATAGAGGGTATCAAAATGATCTCGTCGATGTCACTCGGCTCATTTGAGAAAACGATAAGAATATTAAGTCGGTAAAAGGAGATTCGTCAACCAGATCTCGTACGTCTATGCGGTTTTGACAACCTCTGTCCCATGACTCATGATGATGTACTGCATCTGCCTCGTGATCGTGTTCCAAGGAGGAAAGAGGAAATAATAAAAAAATGAAATGAAATACGGTCGGTCCCTCTCATAATTGTCCATGATTTCCAAAGTAGAAGAGTTGGGCTCGGTCGGAGTAACGTTGTTTCAGATAGAGGCAAAGGATAACCATGATGGTTCACCTCGTAGAGGCTAGCTGGTTGGGAGAGGGCATGGATTCCGAAGAGGCGTGGTCCATATCGCTAAAGGGCGACTGGCGTTGGGAGTCGAGATCACTTCCTCCGGTCCGCATCTGATTTCGGAGCGCAGGGAGCTGTCGTCTTCTTGCATTGATGAACCAATTGCTGATCTATACAATGGTGTTAGTACGGGAAATTAGGACGGGATATGATTCCTTGATATGTATTACCTGGCTAATAGTGAGCCCGGTGCGGGTCATGAACATTTGTTTATCCTCCTCGCTGGGATAAGGGTGATCCAAATGCTCGTGGAACCAGGCCCGTAGGATGTCAGTTACCGGCTTGGGAAGGTTTCCCCGCCTGCGTTTGTTCTTTGAATCAATCGAATCGCCCAAGATGCCAAAATTAGAAGGCTGAGCATGCGACACGCCCTGTGGGGAGGTCTGTTCGGAATCACTCTGGTAGGCCATCGGATAAGGATAAGCCACCTGGTTATGCATGACAGTCGGTCCATTGTAAGCGTCCGCGCCACCCCTCTCGCCCATTGGCCCGGGTCGATTGGCTGAAGTAAAGCCATGCACGGCTGCAGGTCTCCCCCGAAATTCCTGTGCCGCAGCCGCAAATGGATCAGGTCGCGAAAGCGCCCTAGTATCTGGGAATGGGGCAGTCGACGCATTTGCACCCCGTTCTGGCAGTGACTGAAGATCCCGGATTGGCGGCAGAATAGGGCTTGGGCCACGAGAAGGGTACTGAGGCGCGTTCCTCCCTAGTTGCGGTTGGATAGGACCGAAGTCTCCGGACAAAGGTCTGGGTTGGGAAGCCATGTCGCGATTCGCTGATGTAGGACGCTCGCGCGAATGTTGGCGAGCACTGAAATATGAAGTCGACTCAATTTCATCGTGAAGGTGAGGCGGAAGTAGCTATCGGTGACCGGTTAGCCTCTGCATGAAATTTATTGCGCCAGGATTGGGTCAAGGACGGTTTCAAGAACTCACCTCTCTAAAGGAGGGAAGGACCTGAGCGTGATCGGCCGGTAGCCCACTCGCGTACGAAATGGCCATTTTCTCAGAACCCTTGCCCAATTCACGGGACTGGGACATAGAAAAGAACTGTTGTGGGAGGCGGTATGGTGACGAATAGGCAAGAACCACCCACTTCTGCGTAGCTACAAAGAGGGTCGAGTTTCGAGGTTTAAATAATCGCACAAAATATAGCCGGCCTGCGGCTCTGTTATAACCCAAGCTACCGGTGATTGGTAAGAATTTCGGCGAATGCAGCCGTTTAGATCACCGATGCGATAGTGAGCGTGGGTGCGGAATGGCGATATAGTTTCCGGGGAATGAAGGAACAGAGTGATAGAAGAATGTAAAGGAGGGGATATAAAGTATTAGGGGGAGAAAGAGAGATGGATGCAACCGACAAGTGGGCGAAGTAAACCTTATGAAGATAAGAATTCTGAGAAGAGTTTGGGAAAGGAATAGAGGAGACATGGGCGAACAAATAATATAATAGTAGTAACTATTATACTACCAAGAGCTGAATTAAGAGTAGCTTGACATTGCCGCTCACGATGACGATGGAGACAGCTGAACCAAGGTTATGCAAGGTAAGGAGGGAGGCAAGCTCAACAATTGGATCTGGTTTCGAGTGGACCAGATCTCTCTTTTAGAAATAGAAAATAAAAATTCAAAATAATTAAAAAAAAAAGAAGAAAGAAAATAAAATTAAAATAAAATAAAACATAAAAATAAAAAAGGTTGTTCAAGACTCTTTTTTTTCCTATTTTCTTCTCTTTCCTCCCCCCCGAGTATTTTTAATCTTGGGCTTGTCTTTTCTTTATCTATCATTTGACTCGAAATCATGTCTCAAAACATCAAAAACCAAATAAGAGCCAAAAGAGAAACCAATTCTGCTCTTAGAGACTGAGATAAAAACAAAAAAATTTCCCTGACAATTTCGTTATGCACGCTACTCTCTCCGAAAGTCCTGCAAGACCTACCTGGAAACCAAAAAATGACTGAATGAAATCTTTGGGTAATAAACCAGGCAATCAGGCTCTCCCCGTGAGAGCCAGTTCCATATTGACTATGCCATCCATGGAAAGACGCAGCAACAGGGATCCAAATAAAGCGACGATCGTGGGTGGGAGTGGAGACGAGCCACAAACTACCGTCGACCGTCACTCCCTCCGTCGGTATCCAAAAGGCATGCGCAGGCTGAGAAGGAAAGGAAAACGAGAAAGAGGGGCCGGTTCCCAAGGAAAGAAATAAAATAGTAAAAAAGAAAAATTTTCCAACTAGGAGAGTTTTACGATTTATCAAAACCGAATAATTTATCTATCCGTTAATTGAATTCTATTTTCGTTTTCTTTTTCTCTCTTTTCTCTTTTTTTTATTTTTTTTATTTTGACCCTATCAGGTCGTCGATTCTTAAGGTTGTCTTGACAGATGGGTCCAAGGGATCTGGAAGTGATTTCCTAACTCGGGTGCAGATACCAAATAAAATGGAGATGACATCGGAGGGTCCCAGAATAGCCAGTGAACATAAAAGAGGGAAGGGTAAGAAGAAGGGGTGGGGGGAAAAGGGAGGAGGGGGGAATAAAAAAATAAAATAACAAAAAAAGAACGGCGAGATAGGATAGGATAGGATATCCGATCGTGTAGGTGGCGTTGCAGAAGAACAGTTCAGAGGAACAAGCACCCTGTAGTGTGTGTACATTGTCAACCATCTCCTTTGGACTAAATATGTAGGTCTGACTGCCTGTCTGTGCCCTATTTAATTTCATGGGGGTCCTGTATGAATGTTCTCCGCTTGTATGTAAGTATGTATGTCTAGATGTATGTATGAGATTTCATTGCCGCCCTATTTCTCGGAAAGGGTTAATTTCCAAAACACCTATTACTATTCCTCAAATCCATAACTGCCACATTGTCTTCTTGGACTAATTGGAGATAGTGCTATGTTTACTTTTCGGTTTATTTATCCGCGCAGTCACACACGGATTGTTCAATATCATCATTATCATCATTAATTACTATACTAACTCTATAACTTTATTATTGCACGTCAAACATGAGATGACAGCATCGCTAAGATTTAGGGCCACACCAAGCCACAAAACATGGCTGAAACCCCGATCCCACAGTCGCAGGAAGTTCATGACTAGTGGACTTCCAGAAACGAGCTAATGGCTTAGTTCTCGTTTTTCGAAACACTGCGTCCCCCTCCAAAGTCGCTATACCAACTTTGGTTAAGTGTTCTCTCAATGACATTGTGCCGCCAAGCCATGTGCAACTTTTAGTCTATGTCCTTAGCTTTTCATTGATTCGAAGTTATATCCACCCGAGTATTGACGTTATGGTCGAAGTGGAGAAAAGGACACCGTAATCAATAGGAGGCGAAAAAGGAAAAAAGTACTAAACATGCCACTCGAGTCAGTCCAAGCAATGAAAATTCGACGGAAAAGTGTTCCATCACATATATGCGGTCCGCGAATTCCAAACAAAGAACTAGGCCCTTCTATCAAATATGTACGTATGTAGAGTACCACCTGTATTCCCCCGGGTGGCTCAGTCCTACGAAGGTACATACTACTGTTATTATGAGAACAATGTACTCCGTAGCCCGCAGGCGTAAGGAAACAAAGTAACTTTTGTCACAGAGCGTCCGGAGCAGGAATGGCTGCGAAGTCTAAAAGCGAAGAGGAATCTGGGAGGGAAGTTCCAAGTAGTAGTGGGGCGTGCCCACGGAATTTGATTTTCCCCCAAGAAAAAAAAAAAAGATACAGTTCTTCTCATCCCAAACAATTGGAAATTTTAAATAAAAATTCTTAAACAAGGGAAAATAAAAAAAATAAAAGTGGGAAGAGATCATCGGATGTCCCTCACTGGGTTGGATCCACTGGAGGGCATCGCAGGTTGTGTCATGGACGCTGAGGACAACCATTTACTGGAGATCACAAAATCGTAGCTTATCCTAGACAGTGGGTGTGGTAGGCGAAATTATGTAGCATACCTAGCACAACCTGCAAGGTGATGTGAACACCGACGGCAATGGCTGCCGCTCCCGCATCATTCCCGCTGCAAGGCAATTAATTCATAACGGGCATGTTCGATCGGGACGCTCGTTAAGATATCACACTGGGTAACAATGTGACTGACAGGCAAACAGAGTTCAAGCCCGACAAGGGGGGCAAGGCTGTGTGAGTTGGTTGACAGAGACTTGAGTCTTGGCTTGTTGACAATATGTTCCCAACTTCCAGGTCAGGTCCTCAGGGATCCGATCGCCGAGGGTGTTCTTCGCCATGAAACTCCCCACTTCTTCCCTTTTCCCTTTGAGACGAGCTGCAATCGAGGGTGTTCAGCCTGGATCCACGTCGGTATCTGGCTTCCGTCACTGTACGTCAGATCTTTTTCAACCTAAAACAAAAGGCTTTTTTTCCCTTCATTCAAAAATTTTTTTTTCGCCCCTTCTGGTAAATGAAAGTAGTATCAACGCCGCCTTGCTCAGAAGGGCGGGGAATTATTGCTCTGATTTCCATATGTCCGCCATTAGACTATTTCCCTGTTCCAATAATCCCAAGATCGGGTGCTTTGTAAGTACAATACAGTACAGTAAGCGTGGCCCTCCAAGGAAGTAAAGTGTGACAAGAAAACCAGGAAACTATAGGTACCTAACTTCACCAGCTCATGCGGATGACAAGGAGGAGTGGCTGGATATGATTGGTGTGACCACCTATTAATATGCAAGATTCATTGCCCCGTGCATATGACATCTCAGGTCGCCAGCCAGGGGGTTGGGTAGGAGGGGGAAAATTGACGTGCCGTCATAAGAAGATGAAAGGAAGAGAGTGTGTTGATTAATATCAGGTAACCCTCGGGTGCTGATTCTATCGTATCGTATAGGCTTTCGGAGCGCGAATATGACAACGTCAAATCAGAAAGGCTGTTTGAGATTGGCCCTTTCCCCATGGATAGGCCGCACCACGAGGGATTGCTAGTCCCAAACTTCGGGTTGCCTGATCGATGGATCACCGGAACTCTAAGCTCCATATTTTAAAGGACAACCAGATGAAGTTGTACAAGATGACAGCGAGGGAGACCCAGAGTGGCTAGGTATTCGTAATTTGTATCGAGATTTCACCGATTCATATAGTTGGGGAAAAGTTTTTCTTTCCCTCAATGTATATAGTCTACGGAGTATATGCGTAAGAACGCCCCCCACCCCCACCCCCCAATTATTAAGGCCCCAGTTTCGTCAACTTGGGGTCGCGATAACTTACCAAGCAAGGCCCACGAGATCCCCTTGAAAGAAAGCTGAAAAATGGAGTCGCGATGGGGATGAATTATGAAGTAGGAATCCTTAGCGCGCGGGTCAACTCGGTTCACCACTCACAGGTCCATGACGTGCTCCACTGGGATGGACGATCGGTAAGCCGCCCATCAGACAGGCCCGAGTCATTGGTTCTACTTGGGAGAAATTTCACAGTTAATTCCAAGGGTTTTGTTTTATTTTATTCATAAGGAGTTAGTATGTCAGTTGTCAAAATCTGACCTGCCTGGGCAAGGATCGACTTTGATGCATGTGCGCTAGTCCCCTCGAATTGGCACACCTGTGCCTGAGGAACCAAGTCACGCCGTCATCCTCCAATCATTCCCTCGCTCAGAGGCTTTCAATAGCTAATTTTGTTCTTCATCTCCTTGTTTCAATTTCCTCTCCGATCTGGAACTTCGTCTGTCAGCCCCATGTCAAAAGCCGAGACCTGGAATTAAAAGTAGGTAATTTATCCAAGTGGACGGATCTTAGGGTTAGTCGAAAGTTAACAGGATCAGCCTTCTCGGCAAGTTTCCGTCAATCCAATTCCGATCTCTTATCATAAATAAGCAAGGCTTCTGCCTGATGGCAATAATTCCCGGTGTTATCTTAGATGAGGATTGCCCGCTTTCTCGAGAGGGTAGAAACCCCGGGAGCGTACTTTGGTTCAACCAAAGAAATGAAGATTGAATCCTCAATAATTAATCTTTTCGCATTCGGCTGATCCATCAGCAAATAAGCTTTAACCGAACAATGCCGCCAGTCATATTCCTGGCCTAAAATGACCTGCCCTCGTGGCTAGGGACGGTTGTTAGGTGGATTGCCGCTCATTAGGAATGATTTGTCAAAATATAGTACATACAACTAGTGACCTACACCTAGTTTCCAACGCTGCGCTTGGGTCTTGGGGGCAGCTTCAATGATGCAAAGGGACAGTTTGGTGTCTAATCTCCTTCCTGAAGAGGCCTGGACGTAAAGCATCATGCATATATTCTTCACTATCTCACCTTTCTGGTATTGTACATACATAGAGATCGTAAGTTACTCCGATATGAAATAATAGATGAACCCATGTATTCTACCATACCGGCTGGGGATCATGGTTAATTTCTTTTCGAGAAACCAACCATGGCCGCAGGTGACGTACAGTACAGACATCCATCCATACATTACAGAAGTCACCCACCACCTCTTGTCAAGGGGGATTCCGGGACAGGTCAACGCCACTAGGGAGGGGCTTCACACTAAGTCTACCTGACACACACACACGCAAAGAGAGTAAAAAAAAATATAAAAAAGAAGAAAAAAAGAATATTCCCTCCCCCTCTTGGTTTAGTGCGGTGCTCTCCCTCAATTGCCAGACAAAGATCGTGCAGGGATGGAACAAGGGCGGCGATCAATGCTCGATCTCGCAGCGCCAACCATAGATCGCATCTCCCCGTCACCATCTTTCTCCCAGAGCGAGTGGTATTATTCCGTATGGTAGAGACTCTGGTCTGGTGGATTCTT